GCACTGCCGGGCTGTCCCATCCCCATCACCGGTGCAGCACCTCTGGGCTGTCCCAGCTCTGTCACCTTTGTGGCACCACGGGGCTGTCCCAGCCCCGCAGTGCCCGGAATAACCCGCGCACGTTCGGCCGTGAAGCCGCGGGCAGGCTGCCCGGGGCTGCCGGGGGCTGCCGGGGGCTGCGGGCTGGAGCCCGCTCCTCCCAGCCCCGAAAGCTAATGAAGGCTATGTGCCAGCTGTTACACTCATTTTGCCGGACCCCAGGAGGACAGCATGAAGACAGTCAGTGATCAAAGGCTCTGGAGATCACTGAGGAGCCGAGAGCGGCAGGAATGTCTGCTTGCTTTCTCTTGGAATGCCACAGGCTTCAATACCTCCTTTTTTTCTTTTTTTTTTCTTTTTTTTTTTTTTAGGTGTCTTGGTGTGAGATTTAATGATCTAACTCAGCTTGCTCACGCTGAAGCCAGAGTATTTTACTTAATTCAAGGGGATTCATTTGCTCTAAATTTAGGTGGTTTGAAAATTCGTGGGGTTTGTTGTACTGATAACAAGTTAAAATGAAATTTTTCTTGGTAATTCTAATAAATGACCTAGGGGGAAAAAAACCAATTTGTTGAACTTTGGGTGTTAAATCACATACGGCACTATAAAATGAGGTGAGATAAATCAATTTTGAATTGATGCTGTTTAGGAAGAATGGGAAATGTGTGTATCCAAAGCTGGTACACTGCAGAGGGCTGTCACAGTGCAGCTGGTGGGCAGAGCCGTCCCCAAGCCTCAGTCACTTTTTCCTTGGGCTTCTTAGCAAAGGCTGTCAGCTCCTGGAGGCGGAGTGGGCAACCTGAATAACTCCCTCTGTTCCTGAGCGTGCTGTTTCCTTCCTCCTCCTCCTTCTGCTCTACCCAACATTTATAGGACCTGGAGCGTTTGGGTAGTGCAGAAACCCTTCCTCGTTTAGCTGCTCCTCGTGGAGCAGCTCACTGAAGGTTGGGAGAGTGTTGGAGCGGGGAGTGGTGGAGCAGGAGTGCATCAACACATCGAGGTGGGGTGGTGGCTGTTGGGAAGGGAGGTCCTGGTGGTGTCCTGCCAGCTGGTCTGAGATGGCAGGAAGATGATTCAGGGAGCTAAACCAAAATGGGGATGAGATAATGCTCTTTTCATAGTGACTCTGCCCTCAGCTGCAAGGGTGGAGAGGAGAAGTTCACGCTCCAGTAAATAAGTGGGGCAGGATCTCAGCTGTGTTTGGAAGGACACAGGAGCTTGGCACCATGGGAATGCATGGCAAACAGCATTTTGTCATCTTCTAGAGTGTGTGGAGGGCAAGCTTGGGTAGGAGTAAGTTAATTTGGAGGTGAGGGCTAAGTTACAGTGCCAGACCAGGCCTGTGAGCTGTACATTGAGGACCCCTGGTTTCTGGAGAAGCAGTGACAAACATGAAGCTTTGGGAAAGGACAGGAGGGTCACTGCCAGGGCTGCAGAAATCCTGGCTGCTCTGCTGCCTGTGCCTCAGTAGGGTGCTTCAGTGGGCCCACAGGCTGCTCTCTGGTCCAGGGTGACCCATGGCCATCCTGGTGAGGTCTCCAGGCCATGCCAGCTGTGTGCCAGGCTGTTGTGCCATGCTGGTGTTGGGGACAGCCCTGCTCCCGTGCTGGGAAACCACTGTTGAACTGTGCCCTCCCCTCTGTTTGCAGTTAGAGGTGATGGTTTATTTTCCTGCCTGTGCACAGCATTCCAGAGGTTGTGGGGCTGAAACTGGGAGCTGCTGGACTCCTGTGCCCACAGCTCTGTGCTGAGGGGTTCCTTTCATAAAAGGACTTGTCCTCTGTGACAAACGAGGCACACAGCTAGAGTTGTGTCATGTGCAGAAATACTCTGTCTTACTAATTATGTGCAGAAGTAGCAGGCACACGTTTCTGGGTGCCCCTGTGTGTGCAGGATGCTTCCTGGGGCAGGCATCCATTGGAATGGTCGGGATGACCCCTCCCCCTGACACAGGTCTGTTATCTTCCTTGTTTCCCTTGATCCATGAGCAATAACATACTTCAGAGCTGACAAGGAGGTCAAGTGCTGCATGAAGATAACTGGGGGATGACTTTAGGTGAAGAGGTCTGGGTGGAAGTAGGAGAAATGTGGCCTTTGCCATGCTGTGTCTTTCTGCTGGGCTGGAGAAGTGGCCAGTGAAAGTGAAATGTACATTTTCCTGATCCACGAAAACCATGTCTGTCTCTATTCAACCTTGAATATTATTTATATTAATAACTCCTCTTTTAGTGTAACATGCTCAGACAGTGACACCTCTTACTAAACACCGACACCTCTTACTTCAAAATAATTCTGACTATTTGATCCACAAGTGATGGAGGTACATCCTTCCAATCTAGGAACAGTGAACAGTGGGCAGAGTTCTGAGCAGAGCTCATCTTGGAGTCTAGGGCACTAAAATGGAGTCACACCTAATAAAGATGCTCCTCTTTCACATCCCAAAAGGACCCCAGTGACTGGTATTTGCTGTCAAAATGTCCTAAATTTGCTGTCAAAATTACCTGTCAGGGTTATTGAAAAGATAGCAAAGGGGAAGAGTCATGTTTTTCCATCCCTAGGGCTTTTTTAATACAATATTAGAGGCAGAGTTTCTCCATGGGATTTCTAAAGACCAAAAGCTATGAGCTGAGGTCTTTCTCTCTTCTCTGTTTTTAACAAGGGGCTTCTGTATTGTCACCATCTACAGAAGAAAAAGAAAGAAGCATTTTTGGGTTATGTTGTGTTGCTGGATCTTCCCCTGTGTTCCCAGATCTAGCAGTGAGCAAGATGTTTCTGCCATCCCTTCAGAAGCAGAAGTTGAGAAGCTTCATTCAGATGCCCAAGTGTTGGTGCTGAACAATCCTACTCCAGTTAAAGACAGTATTTTTCCTTTATTTCCCCCAGTCAGAGAACTTTGGTCCTTGTGGCTCGCTCTGTGTACTCAGTGCTTTGCAGTTGATCTTACCACTCCACAAGCCTGCAAAAGCCAAACTGGTAGGTCAAAAGAGGAGTAGCTGTTGACACTGGCAGCGAGGAACATGTAAGGAGAAAGATAAACAGAGGGAAATCAGAGCCTGGATAAAGTAGATCTCCAAAGATAAAGTTTAGTTAAAGATAATGAGCTGGCCTTGTTTAAAAAGACAGCTGCAAAATAACCCAGTAGCTCCATGTGCTGGGGTTAAAGTTGACCCAGAATATACGTTTCATTGCTTTTGATAAATAAATAGTGGAGGGAAGATTTGGCAAAAAGCAACATTGCCCCCAGCCCTCTTCAGCAAAGTGTTTGATGTTAACAAGTTCTCCGGGTGTTTACTTTGTCCTCTGCGTGCGCTGGTGGAGCGGCGCTCCTGCCCTTGAACCGAGGGAGAATTCAAATAAACCAACCCCTTCGGCACAGCTGGGCTCTTCTGCCATCTGTGGCTTCCCAGAACAGCCCCAACTCGCCTTGGGAGCCAGCCTGGGCCACGGGATCGCTGGGTCTTCCCAACAGCTGAAAGAAATTTGGCGGATCAGATAAAACTGCCCAGAAACGGGAGCAGAACTCGACAGCGTTTCTTGCTGCCCTCTCAAGCTGTCAGTGTAACCCAGAGTGCAGTTTGTGGGCAAACAGCTCCATAAAATCCAGAGTGATCATTTAATTATGATTGGAGGCTTTTCCTGATGCTTCATTTGCATATATACTTTACAGGGATGCTGTGATGATAAAATATGGTTATTTTAAAATAAACCACAGGAATAATTTTGCTGTTGATATCTGGATCCAGCTTGGAAAGCAACTGGCTCTATGAACACTCAATAAACTGGGGCTTATTCCTACCAAGCATGTGTACTGCTGCACTTGTTTCTGTGCTGAGTAAAACAGTAAAACTCCCAGTTATTGTGTGTGTGTTGGATACATGTTTATATACACAGCTGATAGATGAGATGTTTAAAGTCTACGTTGAGTGTTATCAGCAGTGGAATTGTATGGCCAGGCTGATAAATGAAGTAACTGTGCTAAATGAGCTCAGATCTTATCCATCATGGCATTACACAAAGCCAGTTGGACATTTACATGAATGACAGCTGTGCATTTATTGTTTTCTTGGAGAAAGCAGTGTTTGATTGAGACTCAGAGTGTCAGAAACACCATTCCTGAGACTCACCTCAGGCAAGTTCTGTTGCTGGTTCCATGATTTAGTTTTTATCTTGCTGGTTTAACAATTTATTGTAGAGTGATTTAGGTTGGAAACGACCTCTGGGATCATACTTAGTTTGTGTTTTGCTGGTTTAATGATGTAGTTTTTATTTTTGATGATGAAAGTGAGATCTCATATAGCTGAATGGTCGAGTGTGATATGGCCAAGGAAAGGACTGCCCTCTCTAGAAGGAGCCGTGGAGATAAAAGCGGATATAATGCATGGCACAAAAGGATATAGGAGAAAGCACCATTTTTTTGGGAATATAAATGAGAATGAGACTAATGTTGGTGTTTTTTCATTGCTATGGGTTGCCTGTAAAGCCCAGCAGAAGCAGCCAGCAGATGACAGGTCTCAGTGAGCAGGTTTAGAGCAATTGAGAGCGGTAGCGGCATCGCGGCAGTAGATTCATAGAAACTTGTAAAACAAGTGCGGCCTGATGATAGATGGTCAAATGATTATTGTTTGCAAACAATATTATCTCCAATAGATAAGCTGTTTACTTTGGACTCCAGCTCCTCTGGGTGGAACAGAGTCTAATTTATCAAGGCACAGCGGTTCAATGCGGATGCCTCATGCCCCAGCTGTGGAACAACTCTTACATTAAGAATAGTACTTGGAACCACAGTGAAGTTCAGCTCTAACTCACTTTTACAGATGGTTTCTATATTGCAAAGAATATTAGCTGTTTCCTGGTTGTGCTTTTTTTTTTTTTTTTCTTTAAACCCCAAACACTTTGTTGTAAGAGAGTTAAAAGACAAACTCCTGAAACTCACAGTAGACATGTGCCTGTTTGTTTTGTAGCTGTTTCTGTGCCTCGTCTTAGTCTGGAGCTTTGGGCTTTCAATTTGGATAATCTGGCGCTATGCATCCAGCCCCTGGGCGTTTCCAGGCACTGCTCCTCATTGCTGCCACCAGCCTTGTCACTGTCACCAGCACAGGTAAGGCCTCCCCCAAGCTGAGGAGTTGGAGGTTTTGGGGTTGAGCTCAAACTTTGGAACAAACAACGCTTGGGAGCGCATTTCAAAGTGGCCAACTTTACTGGATATTGTCAATAAGCTGCTTTAAGGAAGCATGGAGCACTGAAACACAGCCTTACACTCAGTATGACTTTGCTTGTGAAAACTTGGCTCAGGACAAGCACCAGAACATGGAAAACTCTGGGATACGTGGGTTTGTTCCTTGGGATCTCCATGGATTCAGCTGGACGCCGGTGCTGCTGCACGCAGTGCATCTTGTGTTCCCAGGGGTTGGGAGGGGTTTGGGTTTTCAGGGGGAGAGGGGAATCAGCCCTTTGAAATCCAAAAGCTGATGCGTGGCTGCAGTTGGAACAGCTCTGGTGTTAAAAAAAAGGAGAGGCATGGTTTTAATTGACACATCTGCTCTGTGTAGTCAGCTTGTCTTAACGTAACCACACAAAAAAGAAGCTTTTACTACTTTTAGCACTTCATAGCCAATCGTTATGAGCAAATGGGATAAATTTTATTTTTCAAGCAGTCATAGGAGATAAATTCCAGCTGCAGGGTCACTGCTACCAATTTTGCCTTTTACGCGAAGTGCAGTGTTGGTGTCAGAAGTGAGGGCAGGGGCGAAGATGAAAGTAGCAGTATGATTTCATAATAATTGGTGGCAAGCAAACTGAAAGGTCAGTGCTTCCCTCTTATCCCTGGAAATTCAAACTGAACTAATAGGAAAAACAGTTTTCTAATTAAAAGCTAAAAATGGACATCTGGAGTCCTGCGAAATGCTTGGATACCATTTTTATGGATTTCATCTTTTTTTGTTAAGTGAAGCCACACTTTAATTTCCAGTTTTATTTTATGTTTATGCAGATAGTTTATGGTTCAGTTAAAAATGTGCAGTCTCTCATCTGAAACTCATAACCAGAGCTGGGATGGACTGACTTGAGAAGAAAAGCATGAACCCAGGGCCCCACCTATAAGAAAACTGTCTCTGACTTGGATGTCATTTAATATCATCTTGACCCGTACTATCTGGAATTCCTTAAGATCCTTTACAAAATAGAAGTTGTTTTTCCCTGCCAGTGTGTCTATTTTTAATTTAGTTTTTTCTCCTAATTTATATTACTAACCAATTAAATATTACTGGTGTTAATTGCCTTTTCTCTTGCTTCCTTCATGCAGAATCTTTAGTGGAGGATTCAATAGAAAACAAATGGAAATACTTCCCAATGTTTCATTGGCCAGGATAGGAAAAAATCTCTTCCAACAAGCAGGAATTTTCTTTTGGCAAATAAAGGGATTCTCATAACCAAGTTCTGTGGAATTGAACCTTTTATTTATTAGCAGCTCTTCCTGTTTCTGTTCATCTTTACTCAGTAAAGATAATGGATGCCCAATTCATCATCCTTGTCCTGATGAAGTCCATGTATTTGGAATTAGCAAGAGCCTTTGCTGTTCGTCCAGCTTTTTTTTATCCGGCTATTTTTAATTAGTTCTGCAGACTCGGAGACGGTTCTGTGTAAATACCTGGCAGGCTCCTGCCATTTCTAGCATTTTACAAGTCACGTCCGGGCCTGCTTCATATGGGACAGATCAGCTACAGCTGCGTGTTCCTGTGCTCCATCTCTTCAGGTGATGGCTGCTGTTTACCTCTGGATAAATCCACTGGGGTTGCAATTTTTGCTGGCCCTGGCAAGCATGACGCCAGTGCCTTGTGCTCACTTGGGGATGTACCTCCCCCTTACTGCACCTACCTCCATTTAATTGTTGTTACCCCCTTTGTGGGATTTGAATCTTGATGTTTTCCCAGTGTTTTAGAGTGAGCAGGGATCTCTCCTGAGTTCCTCTTGCCGAGGAAAAGGCAACACTTGCTTGAGTATCAGAGTTTAGAGTCCCTTTATATGGTGAGTCTTTCCTTCCAGTCAACACATTGTTAACCTGATCACCTGTGTCCATGCAAAATTCTGGTCTCTAACTCAATATATGCATATTTTTCCTTTTAGATCTAACTCCCCGTTTTATTTCTGAGCCCTCATCTACTGTCCAGAAGCCTGGTGAGCCCGTCCAGCTCCGCTGCTCTGCCGAGCCCTCCTCAGCTCACATTTCCTGGCTGTTCAATGGGGAGCCTCTGAGCAGCAGGGTGGGAGAGGTGGAGATGCAGGCAGGATCTTTGACAATCGTGTCCCTGAGCCCAGAAACGTGCGGGCGCTATCAGTGCGTGGCGAGCAGCGGCGTGGGCGCCGTGCTGAGCCGGCCGGCCACCGTGTCCATGGCCAGTAAGTTCATCTGCATTCCTGTTCTTTGCTCCCTGCCAGTCCTCAGCTGGCTTGTATGGCTTGTCCTTTGACTTTTAGATCAAAATGTTCTGGGATAATATGATGGGTTGTACACTTCTTGCCTTTTGTTTAAATTACGTCATCTGAGACCTGTCAGGTGATGCAGCCCTGGAGCAGATTCCTCAGAAAGCTTGTGGATACGCATCCTTGGAGGCTTTTAAAGCCTCAGTTACACCAAACCATACCTGATGGATTCAGTGTTGGTGTCAGCCTCACTTTGAGTTGAAAGACCTCAAGGGTCTCCTTCAGTAAACACAAATGTTATTCAATGAAATAATAATTAATTTCCATGAATTGGCCTGAAAAGACAAGATTCCCAAATGCTTCCCTTCACAAAGGATGTTGAAGGAGCAGTTGAGCTGCTACACCATTGCAGAAGTGTAAGAGTTGAGGAGAAATCTGTGGGAATTGTTGCCTGGGAAATAAGTGGGAGCTGCAGATTTTCATTTTCATTTGATTTAATCAAACCAGTGTTGATGTTCTTCAGGTGGGGACAGTCTTCTCACCTCTTAGGGACAGCTTCCCTTCTCTTAGTTGCACTGGTTCTTCTGATCAGCCTTTGCCTTGATGCTTGATCTGTAAATTGTGTGACCTCCAGGGAAGAGGAAGGACAATGTCTTCCACAGGGAAAGGACAGTGCAGTGCTGAGAATTGGAGTACAGTATTCCTGCCTGAATGTGGCTTGTCTGCCTGGATCTGTGGGCTGTCTGAATCAGGTCTTTGTCAAGCAGGGTTTGAGTGATTTCTCTGGAAGGGTACCTCATCTATGGAGCATGTCCAAAATCCCCTTGGGAGGAAAATCTCTTATAAGTGTTTTGGTAAAGTACTGACCCATGGCCAGTCCCTCTCAAGAGAGCTCCAAGGGTGGCCAACATAAGAAAACTTCACAGCCTCAAAGAAGTTTGAACATGGAGGGAGTAGAAGAGCAGCTTTCACACTTCCCTCCTGCCTTGGAGGTTTGGCAGCACACAGGAAGGTGCTGGGAGCTCTCTGCCTGCCTCATTATCATCCCAGAAAGACAATTCCACGTTTTTATGGACAGGTTTCCTGCTGTCAGTGTGAATTGTCTTCTGTAGTGCCCGCAGAGTGTGTGAGGAGTCCTGCAGCCTTTCCAGTGTCTCTGCTCACTTTTCTGGGAGCAGTTGAGGGGAATATAGAAATTATTTTTTCTCCTCACTGTTCCCAGGTAAAAGCTTTTTGTAGTAAGGAAGTGGTTAAGGAGGGTTTATGGTGTTAGGGGCTGCAGGATAGACCAGGCCTGTTGATGTCAATGTCCAAAAGCTGCAGCAGAGAAGATAATCAGCATGAAACCAACTGTATTGTGAACACAAACACTGAGCTTACTGCCCTTCCCCTCTCCCATGCCATGGCTGCTCTTACCCTGTTCCAACTCTCTCCAGGTTTAGGTGACTTTGATGCCTTGGGGACAGCTGTTGTTGAAGCAGAGGAAGGAGGCACAGCTCTCATCAGGTGCAAGGTGCCAGAAAGTCACCCCAAAGCACAGGTTCGCTTCCAAGTGCGGGGGAAGTGGCTGGAGCAATCAACAGGTGAGGGGTTTTGTGCAATATAAGTATCCAACAAAAGCTTGCCTAGAGTTTTTTCTTTGAACCTAAAGGAAAAACACTCCTCTGGAAAGTTGCAGAACTTCCTGTACAAATTACTTTATCTAAACCTACCCTTATAAATGAGTCTCCTTTGCATGGGGATTTCTCTTTGATTCTGTATTTAGAATAAATAGCTATAGCTGACAAATTAATTTTAAAAATTACAAAAAAGAAAGACATCTTTTGAAACTAAATTAAATTTAATCCTCTTTTCACCTTCCCCTCTTGTTCAGACAACTACCTAATTCTTCCATCTGGAAACCTACAAATTTTGAATGTATCTTTAGAAGACAAAGGATCCTACAGGTGTGCAGCATACAACCCAGTTACTCATGACCTCAGAGTAGAACTCACTGCACGGAAGCTCACAGTCACACGTGAGTATTGAGTTCAGCTTTCCAGAATTAATACAGCTCAAACAGAATAAATAACATCCCTTTTAGCAAGGGCCTATCAGTGCCTCCAACACCATGGTATGCAAGATGTCTCCTGCATTCTTTGCACATTCAGTTCTTATTTCCCCTCACTGTGGAGGAGCAGCATGGCTTTTCAAATCCCAGGCAGTCACCTTTGGAAAGGGAATACTGCTAATACATCTGTCCCCAAATCTCTTTTGGAGCAGGACTTCTGGAAGTGCTACAACATCATGCTCAGTCCCAAGTGCAGTGTTTGAAAGACATGGAGGAGGACAGAGAATGGGGTGGGGTTTAAAAGCTTGGTTGGTTTCTCCTGCAAGGAAAAGCTAAGAGAATTGGGATAGTTCAGCCTGTAAAATAGAAGGTTTAGGGGTGACCTAATTGTGATCTTCCAGTACTGAAGGGAGCTTTCAAGAAAAATGGAGGGAGAGGGCCTGGAGTGACAGAGCAGGGGGGAATGGCACTGGTGGAGAGTAGGTTTAGATTAGATATTGGATTCCTGTGAGGGTGGTGAGATCCTGTGAGTCTCTCTGCCAAGAGAAACTGTGGCTGTCCCACCCCTGGAAGTGTTCAAGGCAAGGATGGACAGGGCTTGGAACAGCCCAGTCGAGTGGAAGGTGCCCAGACGCCCAAACCATTCTGTGATTCTATTCCACATTTCGTCTCCTTTCCTGCAGGCCCTTCTTCAGGTGGCTCCCACATCCTTCACCCGCTGGCTCCCCAGAGCCTGGCAGTGCCCCAGCACAGCGCCCTGACCCTGGAGTGTGTGGTCAGCGGGGCAGCTGCAGCCCCCATCCGCTGGGTGAAGGACGGCCGGGACGTGCTGAGGACGGGCAGGTGGAGGCTGCTGCACTCCCACCTGCTCACCGACAGGCTGGAGCCATCCGATGCTGGGAATTACTCCTGCCTGGTGGGAGGTGACTCCGGAGCAGTGAAATATGTTAACTATTCGCTTACTGTACTTGGTAAGAATTAAAGATATTTTCACATCCAGGCAACAAACTTACCCTTCGTATACCTGCTAGTTTTGGCATCTGCTTCCAAACAGCCTTGCATTCTTGCTCAACCTTAAGCATATTAAAATAAAGAATACAGATCTCTTTATAATGACTGTATCCCATCATTTCTCCCAAGTTAAAATCCGTAATTATTTATCTCTTCAAGCCATTTGCAGTCTGAAATAATGAAATAGTGAAGGATAACAAACTCCAAGGGAAGAACTGATCCATTTATTTTCCTACAGAGCGCCAGTGCCAGTAATGTGCCAGGGACCAGATTTGCTTCTTTTGAGGTTCTATGTGAACAAAAACTGGTGAGGGAAGGTGATATGTTTGGATGAGAACATCAACAAAAGCAAAAGAAACATAATCATATATTTGGCCTCTTTTGTTTGGCTGCTAGTTATTCCTCACCTCCCCTTTCCATTGTAGCAGATTTTCCTAGTATTTGAGTTTTTCTGCATTTGTGACAGATTTTGTTTGGGTTTTAAAATGTGTGTGTTTGAGTTACTCAGAAAACAGGGTGTTGATGCACAACACACCTCTTCTTGGGGGATGTCACTAATTAAGTGTTTTGAAAATAGAAGTCTTTTATTTACAAGATTACTGCAAACATGTGGCTGTTGAAATAAAAGGGAGAACCCATTCAAATAAGCCCACGTGTGGGAAAACCAGCTTCGGGCTGTGCAGCCTGTGGTACTTGTTCAGCCTTTGGATGTGATAAGCCTGTGTAATGTTTTACAGCAGTTTTTTCAGGATTTAGCCGAAGTCATTTATGCAGAATCGTTTCCCTTTGCAGAGCCTGCCTCGCTCTCCAGAGGGCTGCAGGACCAGACCGTGGCCGCGGGGGCGAGCGTCCATTTGTGGTGCGAGGCCGGGGGCAGCCCCGCTCCCACCCTCGCCTGGCTCCACAACGCGGCTCCTCTCGGACCCTCCCCACGGCATCTCCTCACAGGAAACCGCCTGAGGATCTGCGGGGTCACGCTGGGGGATGCTGGCTTGTACCAGTGTGTGGGAAACAACGGGATTGGGTTTGTGCAGTCCACGGGGAGACTCCGTGTCCAGCCAGGTAGGAGCACTTGCAGCCCTCGAGAGCACACATTAAGCATTCATACTTTAACCTTTATTCTGTTGTGGTATTTTTTTCCCCTAGATTATGTATTCATTTGTTTCTGATCACTAATCTTGCAAAGAAGGTGCTTTCAGCTGGACTTTAAGAGATGCAGGGATTTCTGGGGTAGTGTGGCTACTTGATACTTAAAACCTGGATTATCAGCTGCAATCAAATCAGCTTATGATTGGACTTGATGGGATTTATTCTTAAATGGAATCAGGATCCTGTTGTGCTGGGTGAGCTGGTACTCTTCGTAGTATTGGCTGTTGAGTAGTTAAGCCTGTTCCATAATCAAGTTTACACAACAATCATCAGGTCTGGGGTTAATGCACACTTCCCCTCTATCAGATTGGCAGGATCAGGTTCCAGCAGTCTTTTTGATCTCTTTTCTCTCTAAGATACCTTCTAATACCCAGAGAAGTTGATTTCTGCTGGCACAAGGATGCTGGCAAGGCTGTTGCTGTCCCCATTCTCTCCCTGTCGTGCATAGCTGAAGCTTTGAACCTTCTCTGGACCAGCTATGGTTGGTGTGAGCTGTTCAGAGCCTGGCTGAGCAGAGATTTCGTGGTCTCTGTGTGTGTGGAGTGGACTAAGCCAGTCTTGCCTGTGCTGTGTTCCTCACTGACAGTCAACTCTTCATCATTTAGAGAATTTAAAGCACAGTTTAAGTGTAGGTTTTTATCAGCCTTCTCTGAGGTGGAGTCTGTGCTGATCTCTTCAGTCTGGATGGGAAGTCTAGAGGTGCTTTGTAGAGAAGGATTATTTGTTAAAATGGTTAGAAAGAGCCACATGTGATGTTTTAAATTGTATTGACGTGTTCCGGCATTAAGTGTCATATCCCTTAGCTGAATTCCTGCTTTGGTTGTGTTTCCCCCCAGGCAAAGACTCCGTCCCCACCATCATCTCCTCCCCAGCCAACACCACCGTGGTGGCCGGTGGGGACGTGACCCTGTCCTGCAATGCCACGGGCCTGCCCGCTCCTGTGATCCGCTGGTACGACAGCAGAGGCCTCGAGATCAGCCAGGGGCTCCCCCCTGGAGCACAGAGCCCTCCCCCAGCAGGGCCAGAGCCCCGGTGCCCCTCGGTGCCCCGGGCGGGCTGGGGCTCCCTGCGCCTGCGGAACGTCAGCGCCGAGCGCGCCGGGCGGCTCCGCTGCGAGGCCAGCAACGAGCATGGCTCTGCCCTGGCCACTGCCTTCCTCACTGTCGGTGAGTTACTGCCCCTGCCTTCCCACTGCCCCTGCCTTCCTCACTGTCGGTGAGTTACTGCCCCTGCCTTCCCACTGCCCCTGCCTTCCTCACTGTCGGTGAGTTACTGCCCCTGCCTTCCCTCTTGGCTCCCTGATTTGGGTGAGAAATGCCTCAGGATAAGAAATGAGTGGCAGGTGGGTGGGGTGGAGTCTCAGGGGAAGGAAGCAGAGATGTTTTAGTTGTCTTCATGGAGCAATTCCTCCATCCCACCTCAGGCAAAGGACGAATGCTGTGTGCATTTCACGGGCTTAGCATCTTCTGTGTGAAAAAAACTATCTGAGGGTGTGTCAAACTAAGCCCTTTTCTGACTCAGAGATGGGGCAGCTGAGGGGATGAAATGCCTTCCATGCCTTAAAGCAAATCATCTAAAATTACCCCTCGTAGGTCCTAATACAATACATCTTTCATAGTTCTATTTCTCTATTTCTATTTCTCTGTTTCTCCAAAGTATCTAGTCTTTTTTACAAAGCCATCCTTTAAAACTTGTTTCCATTTCCATTTCTCTCTCAGCAATATCTGTCCCATTCCATAGCATTTCTAAGTCAACATTTCTTGTCTCAGTGTTTATATACAAATACATACTATGTGAGCCTTCTGTCAGGTTTTGAGATTTTTCTACAAATCCATTTCCCACAAGGGTGGTATTTTTTATTTATTTCTTTAAATTGCTACTAGGAAAAGACAGTACTTACATTAAAGCAAAATGGGAAAGAGCCTTTCCTCAGATTGGAATATTATATGACATTAATAACAGGTTTGAATTCTCCCAAGTTCCCTTCACAAGAACCCAGATTCAGATTTTTAGTTACATGAAGTTACTTAAGTTTCTCAACTCTTTCAGCACCTTGCCTCAGTTAATTTAGCTGAATGCCAGGGAGATTTCAGGTTAGTGGGATTTAATATGTGGCCCCGTATTTAAAGTTCTTTGGTTAGAGTTTAAAACTCCTGTAAATAACATAAAAAGATGCTTAAATGTTCACTTAGGGGAAAAAAAGAAAGAAGAAACCTCAAGAAAGTGATCCCATCATGTAGTTTTATAAATCAGTTATTTTTGGACCTTGCTGAGTGGAAAAACGAAACTAAATATCATCCCAGAATTCAGCCTGTGTTAAAGAGAAAAATCCCAGTGCTTTGCCTCAGAATTTTATGGCAGCGAGTTCCATTTTAATGCTTTGTTTATTAACTTTTATCGGTTTCTAATACGTTGTACTGGCTGCTGATTATGGTGCAGAGGGTGGTTAAGGCATTTGGTTTTGATATAAAAGTCTCTGAGGACTTTCTGGGAGCTGTTAGGGGTTTAGAGCAGCTCCCAGCCTTGCCAAAGACATGCTCAGACACTCAGCTGTTTAATGAAGAATTCCTGCCAGGTAACACTTCCGAAGCACCTGAATGACTTCAGCTGGGATTCCATTGCTTCAGCAGAAGGATCAGCTTAAACACCTCTCAGCTTCAATACCTGGTCCTGTAATTTGCTTTGTCCCAGCACACAGTAAGAGAGCCCATTTGGCTGAAAAATATATCCTTTTTTTTAAATTCTGCTGGATCTGTTCCAGGCTGTGATTCATTGCATGGTCTAACAGTGGGCAGGACAACTTCAGCTGCCATCATAGTGAGAAACCACCAAAATGTAAAATGATGCCTCAGGATCCTGTACCCACGGCCTTCCCTTTTTTGGGTCTTTTTTAGACAGTTGCAGGAGCTTCCCAGAGATACTGGACACAAGGTTAAATCTCCAAAATAACTTCATGTAATGGAAATGAAGGAGAAAAATACACTGCAGGCAGTTTCAGTAGCAGGAAAGGGAGTGAAAAACAGAAGGAGCATTTAGTATACACAGGTGGGTGTTTCAGGGATAAACAGGCTGAATTGCTCCTACAGAAACCTTAGAGAAGCTCTGAGAAGTCCTAATGTGATTTGAAACACGTGCCAGGTGTGGGTGACCTCAGTGATGTGCTGTGTTCAGGTTTTCAGAGGGCTTCCCCAGCCTGTGCTGAGGTGTTTGGAGAGCTTGGAAAGAGGGAGGATCCTCTGGCTGTGAAAGGAGCAGGGAGGAAGTGCCTGGGAATGTGACCTGTTTGCACAGCAGAGATAAAACCCAGAGCTGCTGGCTGTACCCTGGTCAGGAGGGAGCAGGAGAACAAGCAAAGGTGCTGTGAAACACAGCAGGTGGGGAAAGGTTTCTGCAGGAGGAGAGGCTGGAAAAGTGAGAGCTCTTCCCCTTCAAAATGAGGCAGCTGAAGGGGAGAAACAACAGCGAGCAACAGAGTACTGGGTATTGTGGAATGTGTGAGTTGGAGCCAGACTGGGAGAGTTGGGATAGTTCATCCTGGAGAAGAGAAGGATCTGGGGAGATCCTAGACCCCCTTCTCATGCCTAAGAGAGCTGGAGAGGGTTTTTGTACAAACCTGGAGTGACAGGACAAGGGGGAATGGCTTCACACTGCCACAGGGCAGGGTTAGATGGGATGTTGGGAAGAAATTCCTCCCTATGAGGGTGGTGAGGCCACAGAGCAGCTGTGGCTGCTCCATCCCTGGGAGTGTCCAAGGCCAGGCTGGACAGGGCTTGGAGCAGCTTGAGATAGTGGAAGGTGTCCCTGGACATGGCAGTGAGGTGGAACTGAATGGCCTTTAAGGTCCCTTCCAACCCAAATCATTCTAAGATTCTATGAATACAATTCTTTTAATGCCCAAATTTGGGTCATTCAGTCCTTCTCCACTTGCTGGTGGGATCAGGATTTTGGGTGCATGTGGCCTTTGGCCTGACTCTGCTCAGTGCTGCTGGTGTTTCCAGTGGGATTGGGGAGCTGAGGAAGAAAAATCTCCATGGCTAAGGAGAAAGGGATGGCACTGAGAGCAACAGCCAAAAAAAGTTGCATAATGACACAGCAGCAGAGAGAAGGCTGATGTGCTGGGTTATATGGGTAGTAATTATACCAGAAAGTTTGCAGAAAGAGCTTTGATGTGAATTACTCAATGGGAATTGTTACCCGGGGCTTGTTTTCCAAAGCAAAAATACAACAAACCCAGCAGTTGTTGACGACTCCCCTCCTGCAGCAATAAACACAGCGCTGGCTGTGGGTCTGCTGTCACCAGCTGAAACCACAACTCATCCTCCACTCCAAGAGTCCATTCCCCAGTGCCAGCAGGCACCAAACCATGCCCACCCACATCCTCGGGGTCCACCACAGCGCTGAGGGCCTTCCACCTCCTCCCATTTGTTTCCAATATCACGCCCTTCCCGCTGCTCCGCTGACAGCAGAGATACCCTTTCACTCAGGGATTGTTCTGGGAGTGTCTGGCATTTTAGGACCATCTGGGCTTTGGGGACATCCTCCCCACGTTGTTGCCTTCTTCCTGTCTCTGAATTTTGTGGCATTGCTAAATAAATGAGAAGAAACAAACAAGGAATGCTTGCCGAGAGCATGTCTTCAATTTGAAAAGAGAACTTTCCTTCCCAGCTTTTTAAAAAGTGGCCAAAAATAGCAGCCACACTTGCTGCTGGTATTTTAATGGAGGTTTGAAGGAATCTGAGTCAGCCAGGCTAACACTGCCTAGGCTTTACATTACCAAGGAATTTGTTTGTTTTGTAAACCAAGTTCCCTTCATTCCCTTCCCCTTCCAGACCCCGGCACGTAACATAAACCTACACAAATCTGAAAGGACGGACAGGGCTCCGAACATCTGGCTGTCCCACTGCTGCCGTGTGCAGCCTCGAGGAGCTGTGCTGCTTCCCAAACCTTCTTGCTTTAAGTACTGATGTTTTCTTGTCCTGGATAATCTCACATGTCCAACCTGCCACCATTTTCCTGCCTGGAATTCTGACGAGCCCTGCATCAGCCAAACAGGGCTTTTTTTTTTTTTTTTTTGTCTTGTGGCCTCTTTTAGAGTACTGATACCATATAGATTTCTTTTTCATACCAGCAAAAGTAAATAGGATGGAGGAGGCTGGAGAAGGATTTCTTGAAATGCGTTGGTATTAAATTGCATATAGATCTTCCTGTAAACTGAGTTTATTCTCAGCATAAATTTTCAAATGAAGTAGTTGAGTTGTACAGCTTTCAAAGCTTCTCTAAATTACAGCTAAAACCTCAGAAACTGGGGTAGGAGAATGTCCTCTTGTGTGCATGCCAGTGCAGGCCATGAAAAGTTCCTTGTACAACGACATACAAATTACTCGGTTTGTCTCACAAATTTAGCTATATACTTATTTATTTCTTTTAACATGCATTGCCATGACTTAATTTAATGGAGATATGGTCAAACTGTGCCTGTAGACCTTGAGTTTCAGGTTTTCTCTCTTTGCTACTGTGAAAAAAACACCAAACCAAACAAAACAAACCGAACCCCACTGCTGTGCCCTGAAAAAACACCCAGGCCACAGCTTGGCACCAGGCTCAGACCTGTGTGGGCACCTCTGGACCTGGCGTTTTGCAGCAGGGCTTGTTTGGAAATGTCACTCTGAAATGATTTAGCGTCCCCTCGGCGCGGGGCGAACGTACGTCATGGTGGGGATGTAACCAGACCCTCCCTTTGCAGTTCCTTCAGCAGCTGGCACGAGAGCAGGAGAAACAGCTCCTCTGGAGCTTGCCCAGAGCGACGAGAGCGGCGGCGATTTTGGTGCAGAAATGGCGTTTTCAAGCTCGCCTCCGACAAAATCTCCTCTGGACGCGGCCGCCATGGAGAAGGCGTCGAGCGCCGCGGCGCCGCCCGAGGCTCCCATCATCCTGAGCCCCCCACAGACGCCCAAGCCCGACTCCTACAGCCTGGTGTGGCGGCCAGGCCGCGCTGGGGGCCTGCCCATCAACGCCTACTTTGTCAAATACCGCAAGGTACCGTGCCCAGCCCCGTGCGGGGATGCACCGCGGTGCTCTGGGTTTCACAAGGAACAGCAGGGCTGGTGGGTTGTGGTGGCTGGTCAGGGGTCTGATGGCTCAACACGGACACTGCAACCTTCCCAGGGAGAGCTCAGCAGGAGACGGCTTCTAGGGGTCTCAGGCAGTCCTTCAGCCGCTGGGTAACCTCAGCAAGGGGCAGGCACCTCAGCTCTCAGCAGGGATTTCACCTCTTAGCGGGGATTGCACCTCTTAGCCGGGATTTCAGCTCTGAGTGATTTCAGCTCTCAGCAGTGATTTCACCTCTTAGCAGGGATTTCACCTTTTAGCAGTGATTTCACCTCTTAGCAGTGATTTCAGCTCTCAGCAGGAATTTCAGCTCTGAGCAGTGATTCCAGCTCTGAGCAGTGATTCCAGCTCTTAGCACTGATTTCACCTCTTAGCAGGGATTTCACCTCTTAGCAGGGGTTTCACCTTTTAGCAGTGATTTCACCTCTTAGCAGTGATTTCAGCTCTTAGCGCTGATTTCACCTCTTAGCAGTGATTTCAGCTCTTTGCAGTGATTTCAGCTCTGCCTTGCAAGGTGTCCCCAGGCCAATACAGGGATAAAGAGACAGGAGCTCCCTGTAGCAGTTCCACAGAGTTCCTTTATTCCTGCAACCCTCTGAAGGAGGTCAGGGCTGACGGCTCCCTCCCAAACAGGGCAGAAGGTGGGGTTTTTATGGGGAAAAGTGGGGTGGTACAAAGGGGGAAAAACCAATGGGTTACACAAAATCTACATGGGATCCAAAGTGTGCTGGGAACTCGCCATGACCAAGGAGGGTTCCTCAGTCCAGGAGGGTGGAGATGATCTTATCACAGCCCACTCAAGGGACATCTCTCCAAGGGAGAGGTTTGGCATGCTTATCTGTCTCCACACTGCTGTGAACCAGGACATGGGCTCAGGCCAGGCTGGACACAGTGTCTGAAGCACAATGTCACACACACAGCTGAAGCACAGTATTCCTGTGCCCACACAGCTTGTTTGAGGGATGGCTGACATTGTCACCAATACACTGCTCTTTTTAGTTTTAAGCCAGATTTATCCAAGCTTTTCTGTCCTTTACAGTGTCATTATGGAGAATGGGGCTCCAGGGCATGTTGTGTGCAGTCAGTGAGGTTAAAATGCATTTAAGTGTGAGCCAGCTTTAATCTGTGTGTGAGAGCAGAAGGGAAGCTGAGTTTTACCTTAGTGCATCACTGAGTTTGCTGCTCTGGGTCCCAAAAGGACTTAATTAAACCAAAGTTATCAAATATGAAAGTGAACTGAAATTTGCAGGGCAGTACCTACTATAGCATTAAAAATGGTGTGACAACACCAAGCTCTTTTCCTTAATATCACATGGTGGGATTCCTGGGGTCTCTTGTGCAGAGCCAGGAGTTGGACTCTGTGATCCTTGTGGGCCACTTTGAACTCCGGATGTTCTGTGATTCTAAAATCAGAACCAAGCAATGCCTGCATCTGTTCTTCCAAGCAAACCAGTTTTCTGCGTGGCAAAGCTGTTGGATTTATTTTTCATAAGCTTTTTAATCCTCTACATCCTGATCTTGTCTTAGCCTGGAGGGAATGCTTAGAGTTTTGACCTGTTGGTTCCTGAAAACCAAGTGCCAGAGTTTGTTGGTGATAATTTCTCATCCAAAGGCGGTTGGTTCACATAAGCCCTGGAAGCTCTGGATGCTTTTTTGACCTTTTTGACGCTCTCCCTTCTCTCACACCAATCCTTTCCACATTAAATGTGCTCACTCATGCATTTCTCGGCACTGAATTTATCCTGGTTTTTAGGGTGGTGCTCTCTTTGTGTCATTAAATTATTTTATTGATTTCCCTCTTTTAATAGAGGAAAAAAAAAGTTGGGGGATTAAAAGCCCTGGAGTGGCTGCTGTAGAAGAAAAGAGTTGAACAAAGACCTCTGGCATAACCTTTGATAATCCACAGTGTTTAGATCTGCCTCCAATGTTTTATTAAAGTCTTATATTGTTTAGTAGTTTATTTTTGATGGAATCTTTGTCTTTTCCTTTGGGATTTGGGGTAATGTTTTCCTGCAAAGGTCAAGCATTAAGAGACTACCCAGAAAGTCTTTCTTTTCTTTAACGGAGCTGATTTTTCACTGCTAAGTTAAAAAGTGTTTCTGCTTTTAAAAAAACAGAAACATGCATTGGTAAACCCAAATCTTTGATATCCCTGCTGACTTTTTTGCCATCCTTAACTAAGACATACGTTTTGTTGCCCATTTTAGCCAGTAAATATTTTTAAATGCTGAAGTTTAGGGGAAGCTGGGCAAGTACAGGGGGTATTGGGTCCAGCCCTTTAGTCGCACACAGCTGAAGGCTGACTGAAGGCTTGAAAATCATTTGGGCTCTTGTAGTTTTAGCCACAAGTGAAAATGAAAAAACACCAGTCAAAACCAACTGTGTGTGTGTGTGTGGAGAGGGAAATAAGTTTATCCAAGGAGTGCTATGGTGCTTATTCCAAGGAGTGAAAGTGGGTGCAAAGCTGCTGATTTGTAGTAGAAGCACTTAGAGACAAACCATAGGTGAATGCAGGAGAACACAAGGAGTTTTAGTGAGGAGCAGAGGTGCTTTGGGGCATGATTCAGGGTGTGTGAGCAGTCCCTAGTTCTGAGCATGCCATGCTGATGGTTTCTCCCTTGTGAGCAGCTGGAGACAAACCATAGGTAAATGTAGGAAAGCAGTTTTGGTGAGGAGCAGAGGTGCTTGGGTGCCTGTGTGTGGAGTGATGCAGGGTGTGAGCAGTCCCCCATTCTGAGCATGCTGTGACAGTTTACCCCTTGTGTGCAGCTGGAGACAAACCATAGGTGAATGCAGGAGAACAGCAGGAAGAGCAGAGGTGCTTTGGGGTGTGATTCAGGGTGTGAACAATCCCCAGTTCCAAGCTGTGACAGTTTCTCTTGTGTGCAGCTGGACACAAACCACAGGTAAATACAGAAAAGCAGTTTTGGTGAGGAGCAGAGGTGCTTTGGGGTGCAGTGCAGGGTGTGAGCAGCCCCCGGTTCCAAGCATGCCGTGACAGTTTCTCCCCTGTGTGCAGCTGGAGATTAAGCATAGGTAAATGTAGGAGAACAGCAGGAAGAGCAGAGGTGTTTTGGCGTTCAATGCAGGATGTGAGCAGTGCCCAGTTCCAAGCACACCATGCTGACAGTTTCTCTTGTGAGGAGCTGGAGACAAACCATAGGTGAATGTAGAACAGCAGGAATTTTGGTGAGGAGCAGAGTTGCTTTGGGGTGCAATGTGGGCTGTGAGCAGTCCCCAGTTCCAAGCATGCTGTGACAGTTTCTCCTATGTGCAGCTGGAAACAAACCGTAGGTGAATGTAAGAAAGCAGTTCTGGTGAGGAGCAGAGGTGCTTTGGGGTGCAGTTTGGGGTGTGAGCAGCCCCCAGTTCTGAGCACACCATGCTGACAGTTTCTCCTGTGTGCAGCTGGAGACAAACCATAGGTAAATGCAGGAAAGCAGTTTTGGTGAGGGGCAGAGGTGCTTTGGGGCACAATGCAAGGTGTGAGCAGCCCCCAGTTCCAAGCACACCATGCTGACAGTTTCTCCTGTGTGCAGCTGGAGACTAAGCATAGGTGAATGTAGAACAGCAGGAGTTTTGGTGAGGAGCAGAGGTGTTTGGGGTGTGATTTGGGGTGTGAGCAGTCTCCAGTTCCGAGCACACTGTGCTGACATGTGCAGCTGGAGACAAACCATAAGTAAATGCAGAAAAGCAGTTTTGGCTAGGGGCAGAGGCGCTTTGGGATGCAGTGCAGAGTGTGAGCAGCCCCCAGTTTCAAGCATGCTGTGACAGTTTTCTCCCTAGTGAGCAGCTGGAGACAAACCATAGGTAAATGTAGGAGAACAGCAGGAGGGGGCAGAGGCACGTTGGGGTGCCATTCGGGGTGTGAGCAGTGCCCAGTTCCGAGCACACCGTGCTGACAGTTTCTCCTGTGTGCAGCCAGAGACTAAGCATAGGTGAATGTAGGAGAACAGCAGTAGGAGCAGAGGTGCTTTGGGATGCAATGCAGGGTGTGAGCAGTCCCCAGTTCCAAGCACACCGTGCTGACTGTTTCCCTTGTTCCCCTGTGTGCAGCTGGAGACAAACCATAAGTAAATGCAGAAAAGCAGTTTTGGCTAGGGGCAGAGGCGCTTTGGGGTGCAGTGCAGGGTGTGAGCAGTGCCCAGTTCCAAGCATGCTGTGACAGTTTCTCCTGTGTGCAGCTGGAGACTAAGCACAGGTGAATGTAGAACAGCAGGAGTTTTGGTGAGGGGCAAAGGTGCTTTGGGGTGCGATTCGGGGTGTGAGCAGCGCCCAGTTCTCTACACACTGTGCTGACAGTTTCCCTTGTTGCCCCGTGTGCAGCTAGAGACAAACCATAGGTAAATGTAAGGAAGAAGTTTTGGCAAGGGACAGAGGCACATTGGGGGGCATTTCGGGATGTGGGCAGTGCCCAGTTCCGGGCACACCGTGCTGACACATGCAGCTAGAGACAAGCCATAGGTAAATGTAGAACAGCAGGAGTTTTGGTGAGGGGCAGAGGTGCTTTGGGGTATGATTCGGGGTGTGAGCAGCCCCCAGTTCTAAGCTGTGACAGTTTCTCCTGTGTGCAGCTGGAGACTAAGCATAGGTGAATGTAGAACAGCAGGAGTTTTGGTGAGGGGCAAAGGTGCTTTGGGGTGCGATTCGGGGTGTGAGCAGTGCCCAGTTCTGTACACACCGTGCTGACAGTTTCCCTTGTTTCCCCGTGTGCAGCTGGAGGACGGCGTGAGCGCGGCGGGCGGCTGGCACACGGTGCGGGTGCCGGGCAGCGAGCACGAGCTGCGCCTCACCGAGCTGGAGCCCTCCAGCCTGTACGAGGTGCTGATGGTGGCCAGGAGCGCCGCGGGCGAGGGCCAGCCGGCCATGCTGACGTTCCGCACCAGCAAGGGTAGGTGCAGCACAATGTGCCCTGTGTCCTGGCCTTCCAGAGACATTTGTTTAATGACATCAGTCCTTTAATGGCATCTGCTAAGCCATATGTGAAATATTCTGCGATTTATTTGCTAAAGAACAGCCTCTAATAGCTGAAATTGCTGGAGGGCAAAGTTCCTTGAGTGTGAGGCTGTTGGTAAGTAGAGGCTATTAAAAGCTTGATAATATTATTTTTGGGGTGATTGTTAAGATTTGTGCTGTGAGGTTTCTCTTGCTTTAAGGAGCAAAGTCAGGAGTAGTCTGTCCTTGTTGAGATTTTTAATCACAGAAGAAACTCTGCACCACTGAGTTTTCATGTGTCAACAAAGCTGTTCCTGGTTTGCTTTGCAGACACCTCAGTGACAATCTCTGCTGACCACAAGCCAGCTGTTCTGATAGTTGTGTGCAGACAGCAACAAGCACAACATTCCTAATCAGAGCGTTTTTTCTTCCAAGCTTGGACGCTGCTGCCTGTGCTCTTTAGCACACAAACAAGTAGATATTTTTTGTACTACTGTCCAAGAATGGCTTTTAAGTGACAGAGGGTAGGGTTAGATGGGATATTTGGAATAAATCCTTCCCTGGGAAGGTGGTGAGGCCCTGGCACAGGGTGCCCAGAGCAGCTGGGGCTGCCCCCTCCCTGGAAGTGTCCAAAGCCAGGCTGGATGGGGCTTGGAGCAGCCTGGGACAGTGGGAGGTGTCCCTGCCCAGGGGAGGGGGTGTTGACCAAGGTGAGCTTAAAGGTTCCTTCTGACTCAAATCCTTCTGGAATTCTATGATGGACAGGATAGCTTAATTTTTTTTTTAATAATTTCATGTCTTCATGAAATTTGTGAAACATACTTAGATCCTTTGCCCAACCATCCTTCTCATCATTCTATCAATGAACAGATACAAAACTGATGGCCCAAAACCTCTGAAAATCTCTCCCCTGCTAAAAAAGTCAACAACTCCCTAATTGTGACCTACCCACCTCCCAGCACATCTCTGCCTGATGAAACTTTGGGTCTCTCCCAGGCACCTTCCCAACAACTCCAATCCTGGCTGGCCTACTCACCCTCCACAGCCCAGCAGACACAGCCCCAGCCTGCACCAGCCTTGGCCAGACACACAGAAATGTTCAGTATGGCTGACTGGTCCCTCCCCTGCTCCAAAGGGAGCCTCATTCCTCACCTGCATCTGTCAGCAAGCTAGATGAGGATTCTGTGGCTCCTACTTACACAAAGAAACCTCTAACACAGGAGTCCTTCTCCTGCTCCCCCTTCATGGACTGTGTGCTAATGAGGTCAAACACCATTTTGAGAGGCCACAGTCATCCATCCCCAGCCTCTTCTCAGCCATCCCCTCCCCTGCACAGACCCTCAGAGGATGAGTCTGAGGAGGATTCTCTGTAGAACACCCCACATTTACCTGATTTTTTGTGCTACACCTCCTCCCTTTATCATCACAGGTGCACATTCCTCCACCCCACCTTCCTCCACGTGTCAGGTTCAAACAGCCCCCAGGGCATTGCACCAAACTGTGGCAGAATCCCATTCCACCCATTCTTTTCTGTAAAAGACATCCTGGTGTTCATACTCACATTCCTCCTCCTACAAACCCTCCCAGCTTACTGGGGGGCTCAGAAAGCTTCACACCAGCAAAGCCACTTGTCACAGCCCATCATATAAACCCAGATGATGCTTCCTCTTCACTGTCCTGTGATAAATCCCTGGCAAAGTCAGGGCAGTCAGTACTGCCACCCCACCCTGCTCCACACTATCCTGCCACAGGTCAAAAGCCCTCTCAGCCTGGTGTGCTGGCTCCAGCTGCTTCCACAGCATTTTTATTCCTCCTCTAGACATGGATTTCAGTGAGTAATTTTCTCCATCTGGTGATGTTGTGATGAGTGGGCTTGGCAGCACAGGCAGGAGCTGGCAGCATCACCACTAAGCACTGTGGATGTCAGTACTGCAGATGGACAGGCACCCACCCACAGCCTGGGTGGGAAATCTCTCCCTGATTGCTCTCCTGACTGTCCAGCTTGGGGTTTGAAGCCAGGGCAGCACGGTAGCAAGTGAGCATTGACAAAGAGCATTTCCTTATGCAGGCCCTACACTGATGTACTGTCTGTCAAATCTTCTTAGAAAGAACATCATCCTCGAAGAACACACAGGCTCCATCTCCACCTGCAGGAATCCCCAAGCATCCCATTGTTCATGAAGGCACAAACAATAACTTTGGTGTCATCCTCCCGGACCTGTCTCGCCACAGTGGAGGTAGGAGTGTGGATGGTTTGTGATTTGGGCACTAAAAGTTGTGTTGCAAGGAGCTGTGTCTGAGTTAACCTGTGTTTATTACTGCTCCAGGTGCTTGTATTGCCTCCTCTATTTCCTGTTTATTCTGTTACATAGGATATTTCCTAGGATGTGCTGCCTGCATGTGTGGCTCTCAAAAAACAAGAGAATTTTTGCTTACAACCCACATTCTTACTGCTCATTTTAAAACCTGTGGTATCTTTTTGCTAAATACTCTGGTTTTCTCTTTCCTTCCACTGAGAAAGAGCCAGAGGAAGAGGAAATGGGAAATGGCTGTGTCAGAGCTTTAAGTTCTCAGAGTGTGTGATATCTGTTCTGAATGTTTTCCTGTGGCTTCCCAGGGACAGGCTTATTTCTGATGGGGAGGAGATATAAGCACTTCCCAGTAGATGTGATGTTTGGCCTGGTTTCCAGTGAAAAGAGCACGTTTATAGTCCTTTTTCTCATCCCCTGTTCCCCCAGCCTTTGAACTCCTTGGCCTGGTTCAGGCAGATTTACTCAGGGGCTGAGATCTCAAATTATCTAAAATTTGGGGTGAAGCCAAAGGTGAGTGGAGAGGTTTAATAACACAGGCAAGGAGCTGAGCTTGTGGCAGCACTGAATGTCAGAGGAGCCACACAAGGGCCTTACTGGTGCCTGGCTGCAAATGCTCAGCTGCTTCATGCCCCAGAGCTGCCAGCCTGCTGCTCCTTGCTCCACTCCTCAGCACCAGCTCCATGGATCCAGGCTGGTTATTAAAGCCTCACAGCTCTTAAAACCAGATTTACTAACACCCCTCTTTCCCTTCTCTCTGTCCCACTGCTGCCTGTAACTTCAGTGAGTTCCGTAAGTACATCCTGCTGCATGCTTTGTTCTCTGTTCCTACTCATTTCTCCAGCACTCCTTCATGCAGATGGGTTGAAGTCCCATTGGGTCTGGGGGGATTTTGGGGACTTGAAAATAATAACCACCATGTTTTTCTTGTTCACTTAGTGTATGCGTCTGTTTCATTGTAGAAATGGTTGGAGTAGTGCAATACCATATAATTTTTTTAATATTATATTGGTAAGATAATAAATTCCTCTTGAATTGTCTGCTTATCATCCATCCTCTTCAGCAGTGGTGATTTCAGGAGGATTTGAGATTCTCCTTGTTAATATGTGAAATCCAACACAATCATCAGCAACGAGCTTAATCTGTTGTTAGTCAAAATTAAGTTTCAGCTGACTCTAACCCTCTTGTACCCGAATTTCCCCGTTCAGTTCCAGAAGCTCCTGACCGACCCACGATATCCACGGCCTCGGAATCGTCCGTCTACGTCACGTGGATCCCCCGTGCCAACGGGGGCTCCCCCATCACTGCCTTCAAGGTGGAGTACAAACGTCTGGGGCGCAACAGCGACTGGCTCGTCGCAGCTGGCAACATCTCTCCCTCCAAGCTGTCTGTGGAAGTTAGGAACTTGGAGCCAGGTAGCAGAAATGATCTTTCATTACTGCAGCTCTTCGGGTTTTTTCGTTTTAACTTCTGCTTGGATTACCCCGTTTCTGCTCGATTAGGTTTGGGTTTTGTGTATGGCCTAGGAGCTCGTTACATGAATTCAAGTTGATTTCTGGCTCTCCAAGTGGAAAAAAAACCCACCATAATTTAATACTTGTTCATGTGGAGAGGAGGGTTGTGTATCACTGCTATTTTTAACTTAATTGTCCTTCTAATGAACACTCAGAATGTAGAGAAAAATGCAATAATGGAAAAATGTCTGTCCTGACTTCTTCCAGTGTCTAGCCCTGAAAACTCAGGCAAAAAACACAAGAGAAGAGGGAGTGGATGGTGATAGGGATCCTTTGAAGCATCTTCTCAGTGCCCTCAGTTTAGGGATTTTCTGGGCTGATGGAGGTATCTCCAATAGCCTATTGGAGGTATCTCCAATAGCCCTGAAAACTCAGGCAAAAAACACAAGAGAAGAGGGAGTGGATGGTGATAGGGATCCTTTAAAGCATCTTCTCAGTGCCCACCAGTTTAGGGATTTCCTGGGCTGATGGGGGTATCTCCAATAGCCTTAGGACATTCCTTGAGTTACTTCTAGAAGCTGTTTATATCTCCACACCAGCCTGTGGCGAGGACTCCTCTCCTTTTCTAACTGCATGCTGTGCAAAAAGTACTTCCTAATCTGTTTAGTCTCCCCTTGAATCCTCTTTCCAGCGCTTGTTTTGCTACAAGGGCTTCTTTCTTTTCCCTCTTTCCCTTAAAAGGAGAAATGTACCGGTTCCGCGTGATCGCGGTGAACACGTACGGGGAGAGCCCGCGCAGCGCGGCGTCGCGCCCGTACCAGGTGGCCGGCTTCAGCGGGCGCTTCTCCAGCCGGCCCATCGCCGGCCCGCACATCGCCTACACCGAGGCCATCAGCGACACCCAGATCATGCTCAAGTGGACGGTGCGTGCAGCTCTGCCTCTTCTTGCTGTAGGAATGACGGGTGGAGACAGATGGAGACGAGAGATCTCTGAAGCCAGGGCTGGAATTTGGGCTTTATTACAAAGGGCCTGGGTGCAGGGACCTGCTGGGAGCTGCCAAACACAGCTCAGAGCAGGCTGAGAGAAGAGAGGGGGAGAAAGGATGAGAAGGTAAGAGAGTAAAAGGGTAAGAGCGTAGAAGGGTACGCTCTTATGTACGAAGGGTACAAGAGAGAGAGGTTCCCGTTACAATACCATAAATCTTCTTCTGTGTTGAATATTCTAATTCTCACTAACCAATCTAATACAAGATACAAATCCTATAGCATTTCCATACAGCCTATAAGAATCATTGCATTACCATCCTGTGTTACATTTTAAACCCTAAAAACTCCTCATTGGGCCCCTTCTGCCAAGCCAGTAGGGTCTGCTCTGACCCTTGGACCTGTCTACAAGCAGAGGGTATTGTTTGATCAAAAGGGAATTACCTTCAGTCCAGCCACACCATTGTTTTCCAGTTGTTCAGTAACTGAGGTATCTCAAAGCTTGCTTTCATTTCAATCTCGCTTATAGTTTCTATATTCTCAAAATCTTTTGCCAGACAAACATATTTATAAGGCTTTCCTGTTTCATCTTCCCCAACACTTACCACAGTTTGTACTTGAAAGCCAAGGATTAATGCTGTTTGTAGAGTGGTTTTCCTCCCCACAAGACCTGGAGATGATCGTGTTCGTAGGATGGGGCTGAGGCACTTCATGGCTGTATGGTAGAACTGGGGCACTTAATGGGACTTGTGCCTCTCAAGCCCTTTGCCCCCATTTCCAGACACTTTTTCCCGCTCAGAGGCAGCCCTGTCAGTTGTCTGTTGCCTTTTGCACCATCTCCCAGCTTCCCTCCACCCCACTCCCCTTCCAGCTCCCCGGGGACCCGCACACCCCTCCTCGGGTTACGCCAGATGTGCCCAACTGGCAGCTCCAGTGAGAGGCTGCAGCCGCCCCAGTCCACCTGCTCTGGCACACGCATCTCAGAGGCACCAGTGGGCTTAACTCTGTCCCAAGCCCTCTTCATGCCATGAGTTGTGAGTGAGTTGGCTCCGTTTCCTGCAATTCCTGCTGCTTTTGTCAATCCAGGCCGGGGTGGCTGGGAGAGTGTTTCAAACCCGCCGTCTTCCCTCACATCCAGTGGAGGTTTCATGTTAGAGAAACATTTTCCTTTCCCCTGTTACCTCGTCTATTGTAAACAAGTACTTTAAAGTCCTTATTGAAACCCACAGAAATTCTTTGCTCTTGTTTTGAAATCTAACCCCCTGGTATACTTTGGAGGATTTAATGTGTAGAGTTCCCAGTGTTAGTTTGCTCTGCTAGCTCAGCCTTAAGAGATGTTAAGGATAATAAACTTAAAATAACCTCTGGTTCCTCAGGAGGCTGCATAACTTAAAGATTCTTGAGCTGATTTTTAGAGTGATCTTAACTCTTTCTGAAGAGTTTTATGGTTTTAACTTTTCCATTTCCATTAATCATGCAGATTTTCAGGCTGTGCATGATCAAACCCTAACTGAGGGTTTGGGGAGGGATACGGGAGGAAAGAATAGGCCCAAACTCAGTCTCTTGTACCCATCCTACTCTCTGTCTACTCATGGGAGTTCAGTCACTTTTACTTACACAACCTTATTAAAAATACTCATATTTGCAGAGCATGAGCTACTCGGTGGCAACAGCACAGCGGGACTCAGTTAAAACTTTTCTCCTCTCATGCAGTCTTAACATTCTTTTGCAGTACATCACATCGAGCAACAACAACACGCCCATCCAGGGATTTTACATCTATTACCGGCCCACGGACAGCGACAACGACAGCGACTACAAGCGCGACATCGTGGACGGTACGGTGCCTGCCTGGAGAAGGGGAAGGACACCCTGTAGCCATGTTGGCTGTGTTTATATGAAATCTAAACTGCTTTTCCCAAGCAGTCTTTATAATATATCTCACAGGAGGAGCTATCTCAGCTCCCTAACGTCGGGGTTTGCCCACACGTGAGCTGGTTTCTTCCTTCTGAAGCCTCTTTGACGTGGAAGCTTGAGGGCTAAATGCTGGGTTTAAGTTTGGCTTGTTATACAGCTGCAAAGCCTTAATGAAGGTCTATTTAAACTGGTGTAGCTTCAAGTTGTATAAAGAGAAAGCAATCTAAATGAGGTTTAACCCAGGATAAAAACATCTGGGTTACAGACTGTACTAACAACTAGCTGGCTTTCAAAATTATTTACCCCAGCATGGACTTTCTAAGCTGGTAGTATCTTGTGTGTAATTGCCCTTCTCTCCTCTTACCTCGCCTAATCACTTCTCCTGCTATAAGGAAGTTGCTTTTAGCCTCAAGTGCTGCAGCACTCTGCAAATGCAGCTATGTTTGTGCTTCATTTTGCCTTTTAATCAAGTTATTTTTTTCCCCTGTGCATATTAGATCATCATTTTCCTGGAAGAAGTTATTAGATAATGTCTATATTAGTCCAGAAGTGGAAAACCCTTTTAAAAATATTTTATTTAATGTCCTTATTGCTCGGCCTGAGCAAATGCAGTGATCTCATTCTGGCCCAATGACGTTAATTATTTTTTTCCCCCTCATTTATTCAGTTACAAGAGGAATGGACCTTTATTTTGAAAATTTTCCCCTGCCAGACAATACTGCACATAGTACTTTGATGCATGACATAAGCTTTTGCACACTATAAAGCTATTAAAGGTCCAGAGTTTGAGCTCAGAGGCTTTAAAGAACCTTATGCAGGCTTCACCTTCATCTGCAAATGTATTTTAGCCTTTGCTAGACAGAACTTGTGTGTTTATAAATCTTATACACTGAGCAGTTAGTTGTTTAAGTGGGCTCCACTGTGCTGTGAAATTAGCTTGTTTCGGGTTTTTTTTCCGAGCGTGTGTGTATTGAACTCTTTGTGGCAGTTTGAAACCATTAGCAGCTGCTCCGCTCTGCCAGAGCCTGCAACAGAAATCACTCGGTGGAAAGATTTAAACTTCAGCTTCTCTTTACTGTGCTCCCCTAAATTAGCTTTTCAGGAGGAAAAAAAAAAAAAGAGAGAGAACTATTTTCAATTAAGTTGTGATTGGAAGCACTTGATGTGAAATATGTAGAGGAACATGTGACTTAAGGTAATTTTGCCATAAATCACTTGTTCTTTGCTCTTTTTTTTCCCCCTCTGTTACCTTTGAATTAATCTGCTTTATGACAGGGAATTCTATCTTGAAATGACTGCATGAGTTGTGGAAAAAGTGTTGTGATGCCTGTGCTAGCTAAGTGCTTGCCGCAGGCTTTCCTCACCGCTTCCTGTTAAGTCTTGTCTTTCGAGACATTCAAAACTCTGCAGAAACCTATTTTTTTTTCCTTATAAATGCCGCTGCAGGCAAAATCAGATTTTATTTGAAGGAAAAAACAAGCAGAAAAGCTCTGATGGCTCCTCGGTATCTCTCAGCCGCTTTAGGCAAAAGCAAAAAAAAATCACCCCTGTCCTGCAGCGATGGTCTGCATTTCTCCGTTTCTGGTCTGAATTTCTCTGTTTCGGGTCTGAATTTCTCTGTTTCGAGAATCCTGGAGATTGAATTTTAAATGTAAATGCAGTCTGATGTCAGTTGTTTAAATGTTTTCCCTTGCTAATGGTGCACGAAGAGGACAGTTAAAGTGCCTGTACTGATTCCAGTTCCACTAATGGTTTGAAGCGGAAACCTAAAACCTGGTGTAGTAATTACCGAAAGGAATGCTTGGGGGTGGGGGCGCCGGGAAAAGCGAGGCTGAATCTTGGGAAAAACGTGCGATTTAGGGAAAGGCAGCTCCAGCCTCAGCCAGGGCTGGGGATGTGGACACGGACCGTGCTGGGCAGCCCCTGGTGCAGAGGGGCCCCGCTGGGGGTCCCGGACCTGGGCTGGGGTCCCCGAGGAGCTTGAGCAGCATCACGGTGACAGCCGAGCACGCCCGAGCCCTTTTATTAATGCTTAAATCAGTAGGTGGTAGACAGTTCCTTAGAAACAGTGGAAACAGTTCAAGGTGGTATTTTCCAAGAGGGATTAAGAGCACTCAAACAGTTAATTAAACTCCCCCTCCAAAAAAAAAAAAAAAAAGGGTCGCTGTTTAGTAAAATTTGTCACAAGCCCGTGAAAGTAAAAACTGGGAGTGATTTATCCTGAAGTGCTCAGTGCTTCAGGAGGGTGTCTAAATGAAAAGCTGGCCGGGGGCCAGAGATGACAAAACCATCCTATTAGAGAAGATTGCTTGGCTGGGGCTGGGGCTTGGGCTCTGCAGGGGCAGTGGCACCAGGACAGCTTTGCTGCGTTCCCAGGATGGTTCATAAAATGCACCTTCAATTATTTGGGGTTTCAGCCAAACTGAGCAACTCAGATGTGTCTTTTCCATGTCACACTGATGGCTGCAGTGGTACCTTGCACATCTGGAAAATCTGCTCACAGCCAAGTTCTTCCTTGTCCCAAGCTCTGTGTGCCAGTTTTGATTGTTATTTGCCCAGTGTACTGTAAATAGTCAGCATAATCCACCCTAAACCCATCCCTCTGACAGTTCCATGTTTAGGGTGCACAGGGCTGCTGTTGAACTTAAATGCACATGTGTGGACATTTGGATGTCTGGGTTTTGAGTTTAGTGAGTTTTGGCTTTTGTAGAGAATGACTTTCTTTGAAAGAAAATACTGAAAAACCCTCACTTTAATTCATCAAAAGGTCCTTCTAATAATCAATTTCACAAGATAACACACGTCTTAGAGAGTCATGGAATGATTTGGGTTGAAAGGGACCTTCAGGATTATCTAGTTCCAGCCCTCTGTCATGAGCAGGATGCCACTTGTGGACCATGGTTTCAGTTAAATCCATAAACAACTACTGAAGATTTTTGTGCTAACAAGACAAGCTGCAGTGCTCCTGCATTTGGTAGAAAAGGTTCCTGCAAAGCACTCTGCCATAATTCTGGCTCCTATGGGTAAATGAATTGCAATTTACTTTTTGTCCCCTCCATAGGTACAAAGCAGTGGCACCTGATCAATCACCTGCAGCCTGAAACTTCTTATGACATTAAGATGCAGTGCTACAACGAGGGAGGGGAGAGCGAGTACAGCAACGTGATGATCTGTGAGACCAAAGGTGAGGCTGTGGGGCCGGGCTGGGCTGGCCTTTGGGACGGGAGAGATCCACTGGGGGGATTTCTGTGCAGCACAAAAGTCAGCTGCGAGGATGACCATAATTTTCTGGAATGTTTCGGAGGATTGTTTTGTCTTCCGAGGCTGGGATTGTTTTGAACATATGGAAAGTGATCCTTTGCACTCCTGAGGCTCTGAGCAGAGCTCTGCAGCTTTGCCTGCCCTCAGAGATAGTGCTGCTGCCTCTGCTCTGCTGATGGCCTCTCCTTAGGAGACAACCATGCGCCTGAAGATGACAGAATTGATTTGTACATCTGTTTTATGTCTTCAGGGCTCTGTGACACATTGTATAAGTGCAGACCACAGCAATTGATGGCTGTGTTGGCTGCCTCCATCCCTAATCCTGCATGCCTCTGGCACAAAGTTTGTACTGTTCTCGGGAAGTGTCAGATATGGCAGTCACATTTATTTTGCGAAGAATTCCTGTCTCCTTTAATCTCTAAAACCAAGTAAGGCTGTAAAGGGAAAATGCAGACAGTAAACTTCAAATGCAGTGCTATGAAAAAATGTTTGAGAAAAAAAAAAAAGAAAAAAGCCCTCTGGGAGCGGAAGCATCAAAATTCAGTGAAGTGAGTAGTGAAGCCTTTGAAGGAAGGAGTAGGAGCTGCAGGGCTTCAAGGCTGTGCACACAGTTGGTCTCCCTCCTGCAAGGAATATAATATTCTTCTCTAATTTTAAAACGGGCAAGATGTAATCTGTCATTCACACTGCCTCTTCCTTAAAATTTATCTCCCCCAGGCTTGTAAGGGTGATCCAGCTTATCCAGCATACCTGCATGGAGATGCTTGTCTCTCTCTGACCAGCTTCACTCCTAAGCCAGGCACCTCTTTTAGGGTTTTAGTGTCAAATGAAATCAATCTGAACTGTGGTGTACTGGAAACTAATGTAAATGCAGTTCCTGGGTTAAACCAGCATCTCATTTTCAGTGATTTTCTGTTCATCTCTTGGTTGATCTTTAGCTGTGTGGTTTGGAAAAGGGGTTAGCAGGGTTCACATCAGATAAGGGCAGGTCATCTGGCAGAGCCTGGGCGAGAGAAATGAGTGTTGTGGTTTTTCCTGACCTCAGAAGTGGAAAGATTTGTGCTCTTTCAAGTTGAGAGTTACAGCAGTTGCAGCCACGGGTACCTCGAGCGGCTCGTTAAAGTTCCAGTGACCTCAAGGAGTGGGTGAGCAGGGGATAATCACCATTTTCCAAGGCAAACAGTTATTACCCAATAGGAGCTGGCATTCTCATTGCAGGATTTAGCGTTGACTTGGAAGCTTTCTTTGCGAGGCATCGGGACTCAGACTCAGTAATTATTTTCATTTCGCGATGAAAAAAACACATTTAGAAAAATGCATTTAGTGGATGTTCATGTCCTTGTCTCTCCTCACCCAGTGAAACGCACACCAGGAGCGTCTGAGTACCCAGTGAGAGACCTGAGCACGCCCCCCAGCCCCCCTGAGCGGGCTGGGGGCAGCGGGGCCGTGGCTGCCGGCGGCCCCGTGCGCAGCGGGGACATGCTGTACCTGATCGTGGGCTGTGTCCTGGGCGTCATGGTGCTCATCCTCATCGTCTTCATCGCCATGTGCCTCTGGAAGAACCGGCAGCAGAACGCCATGCAGAGTGAGTGGGGGTTGCTTTCACGGGGAAAATATTACCCAGGGTAAAATTAGGAATGTCCATGCTGCGTTTTATGGGTGGGAAGCAGTTTCCTGTTAGGAGCCAGCTTGCATTTCTGTAGAGATTTGTACTTCCAAGTGGGCCTTAGGTGCAGCTTGGGTTTTTAAGAGCAGTGTCTCCATTTCTTCACACTGATGCTCCTTGTCCTGCTGGGTCCCTGGAGGACTGTGATGCAGTTTCACCCAGGGAATGGTGTGGGAAAGGCCTGGGCAAATTTTCTGCAGTTTGTGTTTAACTTTAGGGCCCCTGCATAGGTCTCTGATGGTTGCAGAGGCAGAATGTGTGTAATCATAATCACTTGTTAAAATTGTGGAAGGTTAAACCCTGGATCTCTCCCTTTCTTGAGTGCATCTGGAAAGAAAGAGAACTTGCAGCTCTAGGACAAGTCCCTTGTTACCTCTTAGTCCTTGCACAATGAGATGGCATTCAATGGCCAAGTGTTCCAGAGAGGTGTTAATAAGGAAAACCTGTTCATTAGCGAGCAGGAGCCTGGAGCAGGAGCTTTGCAAGGTGCTCTGCACCCACCAGCAACCCAGAGCCAGCAGAATCTCTGCCCTGGCCTTTTCTGCTCCTTGTGCATAAATCAGCCTTGTTCTTGCCACGGCCTGTGGTTATTTTTAAATACTCTTACTCTCCTACAGAGAGAAATGTAGGAGATAATAAAGATAGTATCTTCAGTTGCAGCCCAGAGAGATCTTCTGGAAGCAGCTTGTAGCAGATACAGCAGAAGGGCTGTTGGTGATACAAAAGGCCTGGTTTTAGGATGCTCTTGTAGTGATTGACATCAGCCAGGTCTTCCAGACCAACATTTCTGGCCTGCTCTCCAGGATGTGGCTGTTTTCCATGTCTACAAGCACATGTATGCTAAGCAGTGGGATAGCAGAGTTAGCTCACAAAAGCTGGGGAAAGAAAAGACAAGTTCATTATTTTTTAGGGTTGCTCAGTAGAAGCGCTTTCAGTAGAAATGTCTTTTGCAGAATACGACCCTCCAGGCTACCTGTACCAAGGGGCAGATGTCAATGGGCAGATGATTGAGTACACGACCTTGCCCGGGACCAGCCGGGTCAGCGGCAGCATCCACGGGAGCTTCCTCAGCAACGGCCTCAGCAACGGCTGCCCCCACCTCCACCACAAAGTCACCAACAGGGTCAACGGCATCGTGAGTGCAGGAGGAGCAGGGCTGTACCCAGGGCACACCAACTCCCTGTCCAGAACACACAGAATGGACTATGAGCATCCCCGTCACCTTGTGAACGTAAGGTCCTACGCTCGGTGGGAGGCTCAGCCCGGATCGTGGGGTTCATTCAGGGGCTGTGGAAGCAGGCTTAGTTTGGGTGGGGGAATGCTCATCCACTGATAACAGCCAGTTCCACTGAATTCCTTATCCCAGAGGAAGCAACTGGGCTGATATTTGTGATACTAACATCATGGTTTTCATTTGAGAATATCAAATGACAGCAAGAATTCCACTTACTCTGGGAAATCTGCCTCTACCCTCCTCCTAACAGCATGTAAGCTCTGAGAATGCCTCAGTGCTGGGCTGAGATACTTTACTTGTACATATGGTATTTCTCAATCTCCAAGTTAAATACATTTAATTATAGCTGCTTATTCTGCAGCTTTATGGATCACCCGTTTTTCCCCCACCTGTTTCAGATCTGTAACTCTGAGCAATGCTATTAATTATGGCAAAGCACGAATGGCGCAGGAGGTTCCATGGAATGAAGTGCCCCATACATCTTGAGCTGCAGCACAGCCATAACTGCTTTTTTTCTTGTTTTTCAGTCCCCTGTTTGTGACTGTTGAGACAGGCTCGTTTTTTGTTTTGAAATTGAAAATAAAATTAAAAACTAATTTCAGTCTGCGACCCAGCTTTTGTATGCTGTGGAAAAATACTTCATTTGCTGAAACGTGTCCTGTTTCCAAGAGAGAATAATGATTTCATTATTGTCTATGGAAACAGATGGCTTGCATTCAGACTTACTAAACTTACTCAAAACTGTGAACATTGCCCAGGAAAACTGAAAGAAAAAGTTCAAAAGTCTGAATAACCCATGCTGTTTCTGGAGAAAAAAAACGGATCTATTGTTTGTGTTGGTAATTGAGCACAAGCACTTCATTTTATTGAACAACAAATTAGCACTTGCACAGTAGTTGCCACTTCACTTCCCTCCAGTCTGAGCCCAGACCAGTCAGTTCTTTACCCCATTCTGCCCTTGGCCTACCCATGGAGCAAGAAGTGCCCACTTTTGGTTGTTTTCAAGCACAACCAAGGCCCAAACTGGGTTTTTTTTGTCCTGTCCAACCTCCCAGTGGGTGAAACTCTCCAAAAATCTCCAAGCCCTCAGGGAGAGAGGATTTGCAGTGCTCAAAAGCTTGTCTGGGAGAAAGACTGGGAGTTTGCATTCAGTTTTGTCCCCTCCATTTTTATTTTTTTGGGGGGAAAAATGAAATACATGTGTGATGACACAGGTCTTGGTGCCTGGAGCTCCTCTGTGCCATGAGGTGTCCACCCAACACCTCTGTCCTGCTGGGAGCAGGTGATGGGGTTGAGCCTTTCTTTCCCCACTCCCTGTTAGGAAAGTTTGAGTCACAGGATCTCTGCCCATGGAGAAGGGCTGGGGCTGGCACGTGGGCGAGGCAGAGGAACAGGATGTTCTGATCCTGTTAGGTTGCTCTTTATTGTTTCAATGATTGGCTTAAATGAGGAAGGGAGAAACTGGCCAGGATGGCAATCAGGGCTAATTAGGCATTTCCTCAGTGCTCCCTATCCCTCAAAAACTTCAGGGTAAGCTCTGTTTTTGCGAAAACAGGGATTGCTAGAAGTTGCCTGGCACTTGAGCTGCCAAAAGCCAGGTGAGCCTTCCCAGCCTGGCTCCCTCCTGGAGGCCAGGGCAGAGCCTGGCTCTGCAGCCCCCTTGGAGTGGCTCCCACATCACTGTCTGCCTGGTCCCCAACAATGAGGTATGTGTTAATCTGGGCATTTCAACTGGCTTGTAATGGCCCCGTTAGCCAAAACCAACAACACAAAATCCCTCTCACCCGGAGTCATTGCTGGCTGAGGAATTGCCCCATCTGTGCAAATACGAAACGGTTCAAAAATCAGCGTAGTGAAGTAAACTGATCTAATCGGAGTAATTACAGGAAAGTGGGATGGGTTTGTGTGTGACATCAGCCCTGCAAATTTAATCCTCTGTCTCCCTAAACAAGCCTTGCGTGCTAATGAACAGCAATTCGCTTTCGTGTCTGTCATCAGCGTTAAAAATAAATATATTTACAGTGTGTTTATTAAATTAGACCTCAGCATATTAAGCTGAAAACAGACCAGGGAAATGACCACATACTTGTCTAAGCTGCAGTTATTTACTTTTCCCTGACACACACACTGGCAAAGCCCTCCCCTGGCCTTTGGACAATCGCTCAGTGTTGCTGTGCCACGTACAGCCCGAAGCAGGACATTGATAATGTGATCAGAGTGGGGAAACTGAGCCAAAGAGCCCTGGGGTGTCCCTGCAGTGATTTGATTTATAATCATTAATTATTAATCCTTCCTGCTGCAGGGTGGAGGGATGTACACGGCAGTGCCACAGGCTGACCCCGCGGAGTGCATCAGCTGCCGGAATTGTCGGAACAATAACAGGTGAGAAATGACAGTCACAGGTGAGAAATGACAATCTCAGGTGAGAAATGACAATAACAGGTGAGATTTGACAATCACAGGTGAGATATTACAGTCACAGGTGAGAAATGACAGTCACAGGTGAGAAATGACAGTAACAGGTGCGAAATGACAGTCACAGGTGAGAAATGACAATCTCAGGTGAGAAATGACAATAACAGGTGAGAAATTACAATCACAGGTGAGATTTGACAATCACAGGTGAGAAATGACAGTCGCAGGTGAGAAATGACAATCTCAGGTGAGAAATGACAATCACAGGTGAGATTTGACAATCACAGGTGAGACATTACAGTCACAGGTGAGAAATGACAGTCACAGGTGAGATTTGACAGTAACAGGTGAGAAATGACAGTCACAGGTGAGAAATGACAGTCACAGGTGAGAAATGACCAGCCCAGAGAACAGCCCTCCCTCTGTGTGCTGGGGTGGAGCTGGGGCTGACAAAAGATGAGAGCTGGAGTTCTGGCTAGCATGAGGAGCTCCATGGATGACCTGGAGGGCAGTTGAAGATTTTCCATAGGACAGAATATAACAAGTTGTTAAAATTCCAGAGCTCACTTTGCTCAACATTCTCCTCTGATGCTGTCTAGGAAGTAAGGCAAGTTGGGCACTCAATTTTAGAAAAAAATCTGTATTTCCTGTGTTTTTCTTCAGTTCTGAGATAACAAAATCATTCCATATGGAGCTTGTCAAATTGGATTTAATTGGTCTTCTATATTTTACACTTCCTGACATTAAGAACACTAACCAACTCACTCCTTTGCCTTCACAATGCTGTTCTTTGTAAAACATGGGATGTGAAGTTCTTGAGGCCTTCAGGAGGAGATGACCCACCATTGTCAGAGTGGGATACATTTTTTTTCATATGAAAAAGGATTCTTGTGTACAATTAGGGAAAATCTGTCTTCTGCATTGTAGCTGGGAGTCAGAAACCTGATAAAAATTACTGAGTTTTCACTTTTGGCATTATTATCCTCCTTAGGCTTCTGACTCAATCTCTGGTAGTTTTCATGATTAGAAATAGGACTGAAAGTCAGACAAGCTGGGCTGCTCTGACTGGCAGGTTCTGGGCTTTTTTTTCAATCATACTTTGATTTTTCAGTATTGTTAAAATCTTCAGCTGCCTTTAGGTGTGCATCTGGCTAAGCTGAGTTGAAGTTAATCATTGAATCATTGAATATTCTGAGTTGGGCCCACAAGCATCCTCGAGTCCAACCCCTGCTGAACAATCAAGCTGTTGTTGAAGGCAGAAAACACATTTACTTTATTTTCATAGATTTGCTTTTTAAAATATCACTTATAATGAGCTTTGAATCCTTCTTCCTTCCATGAATATGGGCATGACAGTGAAATGCTGACGAGCTGCTGCTGGCAGGGGGAGCAGGGCATGCCTTGCCTGGCCCAGTGTCCCTGGCAGGTCTCAGGAAAGCCCAGTGCATTCCCTCACACCACAGTGCTGTGATTTCCAGCAGGCTGTGCAGCAGCCTCGTGGTAATTTGGAACATGCCATATGTGTTACACTGTAATTAAGAGCTTGCTTCCAGCGTTAAACACATTTAATTCTTTTTTTGCTCTTTTTTTTTTCTCCCTAAGAAAGCGATGGAAAGAGTTCCATCCTCAGCAGCTGCGCTGCTCCTCCCAGCCAGGTCATCAGCAGGGCCTGAACTTTGAGTTTTCACAGCCCCATTCTATATTTGACTGCTTGACAGAGAAACAAGCTGTCCCTGGGAGCTGCCTTGGCCCGGAGGGGATCATTACCCTCGGTTTGGCCGAGAGCTGCACGGCAGGGACCGCTCTGTTCCTGCCCTGCCGCTGGGGGAATGCACAGAGGACATGGGAGAGGGGAGAGGAGGGGACCGGGACGTGCCTCAGCTTTCCACCAGGGAGCTGGGGGTGCCCAGGGGGAGGAGGAGGAGGAGAGGAGGAGGAGGAAGGCCTGTTGGGTTAGTGCAGCCAGCCCAGGAGGTTTTGGCAAGCAGGAATTTGAGGCTGGAGCGTTTTCCCCATTTTGTTCAGCCCCAGTGCACAGGTGAGGGCTGTCCCCCTGTCCCCAGCCCAGCCTGGAATCCCTGCTGAAATCAGGCAGGAGGGAGGGGGTTCAGGTGGACACAGCTCTGTCAGGCTGTGCCACATCAGCCCTGTGGCCTTGGTGCCACGAATTCCTCACCAGCCCATTCCCACCAAATGCCTGGAGCTGTTGCTGATTTGAGGTGAATGCAGCAGTTTTGTGAATTGTAACCACGTGCAAATGAATCCTAAAGGTTCAGCGTTATTTCATAGCTGTTTTCAGCAACAGCCATCTCAGAGCAGGTTTTATTGTTTCAGTGCTGAAATCCCTGGGTCTTCTGTTTAAATTAGCACTTTATCCCTCATAACTTCTCGTGGAGCCTTGCCAGAGGGAGAAGCTGCTGAAAACTGGAGACCCACTTTGCTATTGTGGACAAAGCCTGTGGTTGACAGGATTGAGAACTGATCTTTTTTCTTCTCTTGTGCCTTTGTGCTAAAGCTCTCAAGATACCTGACGTTTGCAGAGGAATTTTCACTTTTGCAGATCTCTCTCCTTTGCTAATTCACTGTATTTTGATCAGGAATCTGAAATACTCAATACAGATGTAGGAACATCAGTTTGTTTTTCCAGACTTTTCATCTAAATGATGATTTTTTTAGATTATAGTTTAGTAGGGTTTCAGAATTAAGAATTGACAGAAGATGTGTTTTCCCAGTAGGGATTTTACATCACTCCTCCTCCACACTCTGCTCTGGTTATCCCCATGGCTAGTTTCCATCAAAATGTGGTTCTTGAAGCTTAGAAGGTTGAACTGCTGTTGAAACATCCTTCAAGCTCTTACAATAACACAGAGAACTTCACTGACCCCTGTATCTTTAAGAAGAAACCCCCCAAACATGCAAACCCAAACATTTAGATGGGTTTCTCTGAGCTTTTTTTCCTAAATAATAAGTGAGTGCAGTCAAAACCTCTGCGGAGAGAAAGGCAAACTAATAAATGGATTTGTTTGAGGACCAGATGTGTTTCATGTGGATTCTCCAGTGGCTTCTGTGGTATTTTGGTACTTGGAATAATGATTTTGGAGGCAGTTACAGGAGTGGGAGGACAAAATAGGAGAGTGAAGGCTGAAGCTTAGTGCTGCTCCATCCTCACAGCTTTTGGGAGGGGAGCAGGCTCCAGAGGGAACCCATTTGTCCTGTTCTGGCTTTGCAGGTGAAGAATCTGCCTGAGGGAAAGCTCATGACAGCTCCTCCTCTGACAGGTTCATTTCTGTTGTTGGGTGTTTTGTTGCCCTTTCAGTTCTGGCAGTATCGATCCCAGGTTTTGATCAGGTTTCTGGTGTGAACTGAGGCTCTGGGCAGGGCTGTAGGACAGGTCCCTCCAGTGTGATGGTTTCCCTTATTGCCATGACTTTTTTAATGGCATAAAAGTTGTTTGTGGGACTTGGGCAGGACTTAACTGAGACTGCCAAGCTTAACATGTCGTGGTTGAAACCCTTCTGAGCTCAGTGCTGGGCTGTTGTCGAGGTGAGCCCTGCTGCCTGCTGCCCTGCACTGCTGTCCCAGCCCATCTTTCCTCATTTTCAGCAATTTTTCATCTGCTCTGCTCAGGTTTGGGCCAGAATCAGTCTGGAGCAGCACACAGTGCTCTTTGCTGAGCAGGCAGGTCCCAGAGATGCATTTTTGTATGTCCAAATGCAATCTTAGAGAGCCCCAGGGATGATGGATAGCAAGTGCACTGGGCTGATCCTGTGAGCAGAGCAGATGAGAGATGGGTTTACATCTGGTCAGAAAAAAAGAGAAGGATGCTCAGAGCTGTATCTGCACCAGCACATAGAGACCTGGAGCTTGTTCAGCTTTCACAGGGGCATTTTGGGGTGTCACTGGAGGCTGTGAACACTCTCCATCCTTATTTCCATGCGTTTATCTGCAGATCCATCTCTGTCCTGCACCACAGAACAAGGAGCATCTTGATGTGTAGTTTCTCAAAATTTGTGATAGCTGCACAAGTGAACCTTTTATTTTTGGGGTAGTTATGGCTTTCTTATGTAGGAATTGTTTCTATAAATGTTCTCTGAGGCCACATTGTTCATGGGGCTGCAAACACTGAGGTGTTTTCCCTCATACCAGAATGCTATGTGTGTCAAAGTCCTGCTCCTTTTTTTTTAAAGCTTTAATACCTCAGCTGTAACAATTGATTCAGCACTTTAACTTCTGTGCCACAGCTTTACACAGGTATTACAGGGCCACAGTCTGACTTACACAGCAGAACAGGGGGGTTAAATTTGTTATATTGCATCTATTTTTCTAATTTGCATTCACTCCAATAACACTTAGTATTTATTTTTCAAGGTACCTAAGTGTGCTGCTTGGGTTTCAAGTTTGAGCTCTTTATCTTGGCAGTGAAAACATGTTTTATGGAGTTGCTTTGATGGAGAAATGGACTCACAAGTCAGGTCATTGGGTCTCAGTTGATGGGGGAAGGAACTGAGCGTGTTTTGAATGTTTTCAGCTGTCTGCTGGGAGAAAAAAAAAAACCACTCAATCCTTTTCTTAATGTCAGAATCGCTCCACAGATATATTTAAAACTGATTTGACAAATGCTCTGATCGTTGATATGGTAAAACATTTAAAAGTTGTGGGGGGAAGAAGGAAGGGGGGAAGAAGTAACGTTGCCCTCTGTCCCTCCCGCAGGTGTTTCACCAAAACCAACGGCACTTTCGGCAGCAGCACGCTGCCCGTGGTGCCCCTGGGAGCCCCTTTCCAGCAGGAGGGCGTGGAGATGAAGCCCCTGAGCCCCCATGTGATGGTGGCCATGTGCCTGGCCCCGGCCGGCCCCGAGTGCAGCGCCGGGCCGGAGCAGGAGGAGGGCGGCGAGAGCGCGGAGCAGCCCCCGGCACAGCGTCCCTGCTGCCGGGAGGGCATCAGCCAGCAGCTCTCCGTGGATTGCATGGACGGTGAGGCACCCCTCAGGGGATATCCCTGCCTGGGAGGCTGGGAATGTTCTGTAGGGAGCTTAATTTATTGCAGGGAAGACAGTAATTAAACACCTGTAAGAGCAGGCTTGGAGGAAGGTGAAGCGTCCCTGCCTTTCCCATCATGGAAAGTGGGAGCGGTGCTGCTCCAGTGCCTGCTCCTGTCATGCCCGTGTGGTTGATGCCTCTCAAAAGGGCTCACTGACACATAAGGAGGCTGTGACTGATGGATGCTGCACTCACAGCACACCCAGTGGCCCTGACACAGGACACGAGCATCCCAAAGCCACCCTGGAGGCAGGAGCTGGCACAGGGAGGGACCCAGTCTCTGTTGGTGGAAAGAGAACCTGTTCCTCGTCCCACCCTGGAATCATTGCTGCTTGTGTGCTGAAATCAGGCAGCTCCCCCAGGCAGGAAGGGAAGGGAGGTTCAGGTGGACACAGCTCTGGCAAGGTGTGCCAGATCAGCACTGTGGCCTTAGTGCCATGAATTCCTCACTGACCCATTTCCACCACATGCCTGGAGCTGTTGCTGATTTGGGGTGAATGCAGCAGTTTTGTGAATTGTGACCACGTGTTAATGAATCCTAAAGGTTCAGCATTATTTCATAGCTGTGTTCATCTCAGAGCAGGTTTTATTATTCCAGTGCTGGAACCTCCTCTGAGCTGTTCCATACAGGTGCTGTGCTGGGATAGAACCTGTGCCCTGTGCTTGTGCCTGGTATGGTGGAAATGAGCCTGAGCCCAAAGAGCATCACCCACTGGAATTAAAGAGTTTTTGGGGCATGTGGTTCTGTTAAACTGACAGAAAATCTGAAAAACCCAACCCAACCACGTGCCCTGCTCTTGCTTTGCAGGCAGCAGCTTCCTGCACTCGGAAACGTCGAACCACATTTTGAGTTGGAGTCCCCTCATTCTTCAGCCTCTTTCCAAGGACTGTAAGGAAAAACCAGGATGGAGTTCATCCGGAGTCACCCTAAATGGTTCTGGGGACCTTTGTCAGCTCCAGCTGCAGGAAACCTGAGGCAGTGACCGTGTCCCCACTCAAGGCCAGGAACTGCACCGCTGAAAGGGAGTCACGGGGGGATGTTAATTATAACAGAGAGAGTCACTATTTATTTTTTGTAGTAGTGTCATATGAATGTATCTTGGTTTCAAAATGGTTGCCTTTTTATATTATTTATGCCTTGAAATCCCTTTTTTTGTTGGTTTTTTTTTTTTTTCTTCCCCCACACACCCCACAAAACTAGCCTGGTTATGTGTATAAAAAAGAATTGTAATAATATAAAGAATGAGGATGGGAAATGTGGAGTGTGTTTCCATGGCAGTTTACCAGTGGGACAAGCACTTCTGAGGAGCCCAAGAGAGGGATTTAAGCAGGTCTGAAATGACCAACAGCTGCCACCTCCCTGGCAGCTCAGTGACATGGCACTGGAACCCTCCTTTCCATGAACACCTCTGGCCTCTCTTGCTTTCTCTGGGAAGATCCTGATGAAGAAATAAGAAGATCAGTAAGGAAAATGGGCCTTGGTTGAGTCTGTCCTGTGCAGCTTGAAGCAGAACTTGAGTCAGTGACTGTGTCTTTAAGTGCTCAATAACCCTTCTGCAGAAGTACAGGTGGAAATCCAGCCTGTCTCACTTTCCCACTCACAGAAGACAAAATCCAGTTCAGCTCTTGGTTTGAGGGATTACTAACAGCTTGGACAGCTCTGAAACAAAACCAGTCCTGGTGAAACAGCTCCCAGCAGCCCTGGGCACTGTGAGGAACCTGCCCATCCTGGACACAGCACGATGGAGGTGCTGCAACCTTAACTGCAGGGCTTGGGTGGGTGTTTTTTCCTTTCCAAATTTAATCCCAGAAAATAAACCAAACCAGTGCTTGCAAAGCACTCCCTCACCCCACAGGAGTCACAGTGCAAAGCCCCAGAAATGAAGCACGATTTTCAGAGATGGCTACCCTAGGGTGACACCTGCAGCCCAGAGCAGTGTGTCCCTGGCCAGTGTGGAAGGGAGGGAGCTGTGCCAGCCTGGCTGCAGCTCTCCAAAGCCCTGGGGAGCTCAGGGCTGCTGGTGCAGCTGCAGCAGTATTGTGTGAGGAGGAAGCCCTTGAGATCTGCTTTGGTAGCAGCAGCTCCTTGGGCTGCTCTGTGTTGGGATGGGGTTTTTATGTTTCACAGAGTTTGATTTGGAGAGACCTTAAAGCTCATCCCATCCCACCCCTGCCATGGGCAAGGACACCTTCCACCATCCCAGGCTGCTCCAAACCCCATTCACCCTGGCCTTGGGCACTTCCAAGACTGGGACAGCCACAGCTGCTCTGGGTACCCTGTGCCAGGGCCTCACCACCCTCCCAGGGAAGAATTTATTCCCAATATCCCATCTAAACCTGCCCTCTGGCTGTGGGAAACCATTCTCCCATGTCCTGTAACTATCTGCTTGTATAAGAAATCCATCTCCTTCCTACTTCAGGTAATTGAAGACCACAATGAGCTCTCCCCAAAGCCTTCCCTGTTGCATTATTTGTGGTTATATTTATTATTTTGCCCTTTTTTTGGGTTGTGCTTCCTCCCAGCTACAGCTGCCTTATCCCAAAGTTCTTTGCACACCATGGACTTCACACCCATGGGCTTTGGCTGCCACGTACCCCAGAGCCATCACAAATCTCCCTCCTCCCTTTTTGTTTATCTCTGGATTTTCCTTTTGCAGGATCTGCTGCAAGCCTTTCCCCTTTTCCCACAGAGATTGGCCCACAAGTTGTTGGGATTTAACTGTGGCTGCTTCGTTTTCCCCAAACACTGAAATTGAACCGTGGTTTTAAACAACTTTGCTTAAATCTCCCCTGTGTTGTGGGTGTGTCAGATAAAGATGCTCTGTTTTCCAGAGAAGCTGTAATACCCCTTTGGAATGTTCTGTGTTTGGAAGTGATGGTTTTGCAGGGGGTTTGGGTGGGGTTTGTATTTCTGGGGGTGGTTTGATAAAGGGATCAATGCTGCATTATGGCTGGTGTGGGGATTGATACTCTGGGCAGTGATCACAGTTGGTTTGTGTGGCTTGATACTTCCCAATGGGTTATTATTAACCAAAAACAGGAGAGAATGGCCCAAGGTGCCCTTGTCTCCACACACAGCAGAAGATGAGGGCTCAGGAAAGCTGGGAACTGCCTGACACTTTCCTTGGACCCTGCTTCCCTTTGTGCTTGCACCAATGCAGGAAAAACCATCTCCAGTCACTATTTTTAACCTCCTGTGGTTTGGCCTGAAACTGGGGAGCCTGGGGGTGAAGATGAGGCCCCTTCCCACAAAAAGCTTTGTGGCTGTTCTTGCACCACAGCAAGCTCAGCACAGTCCCCGGGCAGCATCCCCAGTCGATGCCAGCCCTGGGGCTGACAGCGGCGCTTCGGCCCTCGGCCTTTTTTCCTGCCATCGGTGAGAAACCATTTATTGTAGCCTAAATATTTATTTTAGCTCCAGCAGTAACTGCAGCCCCGGGGCTGAGCCGGAGGGGCTGAGCCGGGTGCAGGAATGGAGCCAGCCCGAGGCGCACAGGTGGGTGCTGCCGTCCCGTGGTGCGGGACAGAGCAGGACAGGGAAATGAGGAGTGGTCACGGTGTCGCTGTCACGGTGATGGTGACATTAACTGGGTCATCCGTGCTGCCTGGCGCTGCCGAGGGCGGCTCTGCAAGGGGTGGGGGAGCCACGGGTGGGCACTGGTTCAGCAGGGCAGGTGGGTGCTGCTGGGTGCTGGTTCAGCAGGGCAGTGGGTGCTGGCTCAGAGGGGCAGGTGGGCACTGGGTCAGTGGGGCAGTGGGCACTGGGTCAGTGGGGCAGGTGGATGCTGGGTCAGCAGGGCAGTGGGTGTTGGTTCAGTGGGGCAGTGGGCGCTGGGTCATCAGGGCAGGTGGGTGCCGGTTCAGCAGGGTGGATAGGTTCTGGTTCAGCGGGACAGGTGGGTGCTGGCTCAGCGGGGCAGTGGGCACTGGGTGAGTGGGGCAGGTGGGTGCTGGCTCAGTCGGGCAGGTGTCTCTGCCCACAGCCCGCCCCAGTACCTGCTGCCATGCCCGGGGCACACGGCTCTCCCTGTGCTGGTGCTGCCTCGGCTCCCGCTGCTGCACCGGGGGCACACGAGTCTCCCTGGGCTGGCTCTGCTTCCTCCTCGCCGCCTGCGGCTCCCTCAGCGTCCTCCGCTGTGCCCACGGGCTCCTGCTCTCCGGTCCCGGCCCTGCGGGGACACGGGGGGCTCGCTGGTGCCCGGGCACGGGCGGTGGCACAGAGGGTCTGGGCACGGGCGGTGGCACAGAGGGGTCTGGGCACGGGAGGTGGCACAGAGGGGTTCGGGCACGGGAGGTGGCACAGAGGCTTTGGGCACTCACGTGCGGAACAGCAGGTCGTGCAGCCCTGCGGAGGGAGACGGGTGTCACGTTCGGGGGTCGGGGGCCGGGCTGCGGCCCCGAGGCGCCCCCGCGGTCCCCGCACTCACGCGGGAGGGTGTCCCTGTGGCGGGCGATGCAGTGCACGGCCAGCAGCGACGCTGCGCTGGCCACCAGCATCCCGGCCACCGCCGCCCCCGTCACCGCCGGGTAGGCCTCGAAGGGAGGCTCGGCTGGAAGAGAGCAGAGCGAACATGGCAGGCAGCAGGGACGGGCAGAGCCCGGAGAGGCCCGGCGAGGTGCGAGCCCGTGCCTGAAACCTGCTGACGGCTGCTCACGCTCGGCTCCTCAGCTCCACCGCGATGGAAACGCTGCCCTGCTCCACTCAACCCTCGCTCTGCCCCCACGGAGCAGCCCCTGCCCGCTTCACCTGGCGTCTGCACCTCGGAGGGGTGCCCGGCCGTGCGGTGGTTGACGGCCAGGACGCGGAAAGCATAGAGCACCGCGGGGTCCAGCCCCCCCAGGCGCCGGTCGCGGGAGTGCGGCTCGATGTCGCCGGCCGCCGTTTCCCAGGGGCTGGCGCTCTCCCGGAGGGGTTTCTTGGTTCGGCGCCGCTGCACCACGAAGCCGGTGAGGTTGCCGGCGCCCTGCGTCCGCCACTCCAGCCGCACCTCGGTGCGCGCCCGCGTGTACCGCAGCTTACTGATGGTGACATTGGGCGGGGCTGGGTACCCTGCGGCGAGATGGCGCCCGGCAGGAGGGGCTCGATGCCCCCAGGCCACCCTCGATACCCCAACCCACCCCTGCCCTTCCCAGGACTCACGGTCCACGCGGAGGCGGACGGGGAGGCTGGCGGTGCCCACGGCATTGGTGGCGGTGCAGCGGTAGATCCCGCTGTCCCCCGGCCACTCGGCATCCCGCACCGTGAGGTTGACCCACTCTTCTCCCTGCTCCAGCTGGTACTTGGCCAGCCCCGGTGTCACCTCCCGCTCCTTTGGGTCGTACCAAGCCACCGTGGCACCGAGGCTGGCACTGCTGCCACGCTGCCGGCACGCCAGCTGCGCCTCGCCGCCCTCCAGCACCGCCACCTCGCTCTCCGCCTGCAGCTCGGGGACCTCTGCTCGGCGACAAGGGGGGACACCATCGGCCGGGAGGTGCCACCGCTCCGTGGCACGGTGGCACGGTGGGGACCGGTCGGGCTTACCCAGCCGCAGGCGGCACTCGGCGGCAGCGGCCCGCAGCGGGTGCGCGGCCTCGCAGACGAACTCGCGGCCGCCCAGGCTGCCGTCGGTGCCCAGCACCAGCACGGCCGTGGAGGGCGCGGGGTCGCCCAGGGCCCGGCCCGCAGTGTCCCGCCAGCGCAGGGTGACGAGCGGCGCGCCCCCCGCCCAGCGGCACCGCAGCATCACGAACTCGTCACCCTTGGTGGCCGCCGCCGCACAGCTGGGGCTGCCCGACGGGACCCCTGCGGGACGGAGCGCCGTCGGAGCGGGGCACTGCCACGCTGGGCCAAAGCACCCCAAAAAGGAGATACCCCCACCCCAGGGTGAGGGGGGGTCGGCAATCCCGGCCGTGCCGCAGCGTCCCCGTTTTGGAGCAAGCTGGAGGGGCTGAAGGTCCCAGGAAAGGCAGCAGCACCCCCTGAGTGCCCATCCGTGGTTTGGCCCGGGGTGACTGCAGCTCTGCTGTGACACCAGGGGGTCACAAAGGGGGCCGGGGGGCAATGGGCCCACTGTCACTCACACAGGGTGGTCCCACAGGCAGCCCCCAGTGGCAGCGCGGGGTGGGAGGCCAGGCACGAGAAGGAGCTGCCGTTCCTGGTGGCTGCCCCTGACTGGATCCTGGTGGCCATGGAAAAGCTGGTCCCCATCAACCCCTCTTCCTCCTCCTCCTCCTCCTCCTCCTGGGGCCCCACCCAGCGCAGCCGGGCCGGGGGGAAGCCCCCCAGCCAGCGGCACCGCAGGGCCACATCCCGCTGGTCATCGGAGGCCAGGGCGGAGCAGCTGGGGCTCCCGGCGGGCGGATCTGCAGGAGACCATGGGCGCTGGGGGGCAGCGTGGGCTCCCCCAGCCCCACCCTCCCTCCCACATCCTCACCAGGGAGCTGCGCTGCTCCGGCTCACCCTGTGGGGACCCAGGGCCCCCCCGGGGGTACTCACAGTACACAGTGAGGACGATGGTGGCCTGGGTGCGGGTCTGCAGGTGGCTGTTCTCGGCCAGGCAGGTGTAAGTGCCCGCCTGGGCACGGGCGATGGCGGTGATCACGTAGGTCTGGCCGACGTGCACCTGGGAGCCGTTGTGCAGCCAGACATAGCGGCTGGGGGGGTTGGAGGGAGCCAGGCAGCTCAGCACCACGTCCTCCCGCTCACCCGCCGAGAAGCCCCCCTGCTCTGGGGAGAAGGGCTCCACACGGATGGCCGGCTCATCGGGGCCATCTGCGGGGACACGGGGCCCTTCAGGCAGGGACAGCCCCACAGAGGGGACACAGCCCTCCCTGGGCTTCCTCCCACTGGTGGGAAGGACAGCAAAGCTTCCTTAGAAAGGGTGCGCCATGAGGGCTGTGAGCACACCGTGACACACAGCGATCACAGATGCAGCACACACGGTGGCCATGGTGGCTACAGGGGCATTATGCCAGTGAATGGCCATAAAGCAACAAGAAGCCATACCCTGGTGGCCACAGAGACATAGTGGTGGCCACAGAGGCATCACGGTGGCAGGACACATGATGTCCATGGATGTTCCATGATAGCTATGGACATACCATGGTGGCAGCCTGCTCAGTGGCCATGGACAAACCACAGAGCATTGTGGTGGCCACAGACATGCCATGGATGGCTCCAGCAATGAAGATGCCATGGATGGCACCCACCCTGAAGATGCCATGGATGGCACCAGCACTGAAGATGCCATGGATGGCACCCGCCCTGAAGATGCCATGGATGGAACCCGCCCTGAAGATGCCATGGATGGCCCCAGCCCTGAAGATGCCATGGATGGAACCCGCCCTGAAGATGCCATGGATGGAACCTGCCCTGAAGATGCCATGGATGGCACCCGCCCTGAAGATGCCATGGATGGAACCCGCCCTGAAGATGCCATGGATGGAACCTGCCCTGAAGATGCCCCCCAGCTGGTGACTGAGGCCCCCCGAGGTGGGTGGCACCCAGGGCACTCACAGACGATGTCCAGGTAGACGGGGTCGCTGCTGCGGTTGTTGACCTCGTTGCTCGCGGTGCAGATGTACCAGCCCGTGTGGCTGCGGTTGGCGGGTGTCAGCTGCAGCTCCGCCCTGGAGCCCCCCAGCCCCGCAGGGGACACTGAGGGACCCCCCCGAGGCTCCTGGTGCTGCCAGGAGAAGCTCAGCGGCTCCGTCCCCTCCCGCACGGTGCACGTCAGGGCCACGGCCGCCCCCTCCGCCGCCGCCGCCGCCGTCGGCCGCACGAAGGGCTTGGACACGGGCACTGGGGGCACCGAGTGTGAGCGGCCCCACAGACAGCAGAATGCCCCGGGAACCACCCATGCCCCCCGCCCAGATGGACTGTTTGGCCATGAAGTGCCACAGCAGCCTGTGGAATGGTAATGAGGACACCTGCAGGCTGGTGAGGGGCACCCTGGCTGCGGGCATAGGTACTGGCTGGGGGAGCTACTGGGACCAGGTTGGGGTGGTGGGATGCTTGGGTAGCCAGGGCAAGGAAATGAGGGTGGCTTAGTGGGCTGCTATGTTGGCTCGTAGGGGGCTACACTAGGAGGCAATGGAGGTTTGGTGGCTGATGGTGAGCTCTGGGCTGGCTGATGAGTGCTATGTTGGCTTGCGTTGAGCAGCCTTGGCTGATGGGATGCTATATTGGCTAGTGGTGTGTTATGTAGGCTATAATGATGCTTTGCTGGCTAGTGGCAGACTACATTGGCAAGTAGGGTACTCCGCTAACTAGTGGGGTGCCTGGTTGGTGAATGGGGTACTACAGTTGCTAGTGAACCACTATGCTGGCTAGTGGGACTCTGCATTCATTGCCTAGTGGGGCACTTTGCTGGCTTGTGCTACACTTTATGGACTTGTGCAGCCCTTTGTTGGCTAGGGGGGGTGTTTGTTGGCCAGTGGATGGCTCTGTTGGCCACTGGGCAAGGGGCTGAGCTTGACCACGATCTAGGAGAGTGTGATGCTGGCTGCTGCTGGCCAGCAGGTCCCCCCCAGGTTGGCCACAGCCAGGGACTTACCCAGGACACGCAGGAGGACGGCGGCATAGCCCACACGGAGCCGGCCCCGCTCTGGGAAGAGCCCCTGGCAGAGGAAGCGGCCCTGGGCGGCCACGCGCAGCTCCCGCAGCTCCAGCGTCCCGTTGCGCAGCGTCACCCGGCCCAGCGTCCCCGTGCCGGGGGCCATGGCCACCTCCCTGCCCGAGCCCACGGCCACGGCCCGCGGGAGCCCCTCTCCCTGCGGCGTGAAGCTCCAGAACACCACGGCCGGCGGGGCCGCGGCCGCGGGCCCACAGCTCAGCTCCACGGCCCGGCCTCGCACGCCCGTCGCCCGCCATTCCTCGTAGGCCGCCTCGCCGGCCGCCAGCGGCTGCCCTGCCCGGGACAGCGCCTCCGTCAGGGCCCTGCTCGCCCCCCACCCGGGACATGCAGGGACAGGTCGGTGCTCACCCCCCGCCAGCGCCGGCAGCAGCACCAGGATCCAGGGCCCGATCCAGGGCCCCCTCCACGGCCGTGCCCGGCCACGCTCCATGGCGCCATGTCCAGCACCGCACGCCGAAGCAGGGCTGCGCTCTCCGGCACGACCTGCTCTCCGGTTACCCCCGGGTAATTAAGCCCAGCCCTGATTAACTGTTAATTATTTATCAACCTGCCGGCACAGGGGGAACCCGACGCCACTGCCGCCACTGCAATCTCAGGGCTGAGGAGCGGCGCACTTGCTGTGGCAATGGCAGCATCCTTGCATTCCTCCCATGTGAGAATTTAATCAGAGTGTTTTCTCCTCCACACACAATAAGTTTTTGGCTAAAGGAGGGGAAAATAAACTGCCATTGATCCCCTGTGATCAATGCTGGGGGGTTTGGAGCTGGGGAAGCCAGGCAAGGAGCAAGGTTTGATATTTCATCTCCCACTGTCTGCAACGCCCCAGACCATCAAACATTGATAGGGGCGGCTGTGCCGTAACGCAATGCCGGGGGGCTGGAGCAAGCCAGGGGGGATTTGGGGGTGCATGTGGTGAGGGGGATCAGGGAACACCCAGCAGAGCCTGGAAACCTACCTTGCATCTCCCATCTCCCTCATTGATCCTTTAATTAGAATTGCCAAAACCACACTGTTAATACTAAATGTGTACTCTCCACAAGGAGGCTTGAAATGCCCCAGAGGGTTAAAGCTGATGGCAAAGAACTGCAGAGCCAGGGTCAGGCTCCCTCCTGCTACCACCAGGTCCTGCTTCCACCTCTGGCTACACTCTCATCACGTTTTAGTCACTTTTTGTGCCTGTCCAGGTTGGGTTTGGATAGAAATCTGGATGAGGAAAGCAGGGTGCAGTAGCCAACCCAATAAATGACACCATTGTCAACACTGACCTAATCAAACCTCACCTGCAAGGGTTGATGTATTGCAGAGAACTTTGGTAAAGAAGGAGCCACCCTGGTGATTACAAACAATTTCATTTATTAAAGATTAACAAAGGCACAAACACCTGTCCCTGAGTCCAGCTTCTGTCCTCACACTGCTGGGACCCCGAACATTTGGGTTTCAGACCCCTGGGGTCCAACCTCTCTCTCTCACCGATGGGATCCTGAACACTTGGATTCTGGAACCCCCGGGGGTCCAACCTCTCTCCTGCACTGCCGGGACCCTGAACACTCGGATCTTGCCCCGGGATCTGGGATGGCAGCAGTGGATTCCTGCTGCCACCTAGCGAGACAAGGTTCGCTCCAGCCTCTCCTCAGGCAACACAACAGAACTCAACAGCTTCAGAATACAAGAGAACCGGGAAGTTTTCCCCTGTAACTTTTCCTCCTGTTTAGAACTGCAACTTGGATTTGGGAGAACAAATCCCTGCTCCTCACTCAGCTGCAAGCTTCTCCAGCTCGTCCATGTCGTAGGGATCCAGCTGCTTGATCGTGGTCTCTGTAGGAAGGAAAGAGCAATTGTTGGGATGTGAGTGCAGAGCTCGCTCCCCTGAACGCTGTCTGTGCCACCTGAGTGCCCCATGCCAGCTGGGAAGCTCCTGGAGTGCTCACTGCAGCAGGGAAACCAGCTGGGAGGAAGTGCAGGGGTGTCAGACATCCTCTATGAAAAATCCTTTCCTTAGGATTTTTCCTCCTGAGAAGCTGGGAGGACTCAGGAACAGAATGTAAACATTGATTATTGCTGCTGTGGAATGCAACAGGTGCATTGTGATTGGCCCATGTTAGTTGTTTCTAATTAATGGCCAATCACAGTCAGCTGGCTCGGATTCTCTGTCCAAGACAGAAGCCTTTGTTATCATTCTTTCTTTTTCTATTCTTAGCTAGCCTTCTGATGAAATCCTTTCTTCTATTCTTTTAGTATAGTTTTAATATAATACATATCATAAAATAATAAATCAAGCCTTCTGAAACATGGAGTCAGACCCTCATCTCTTCCCTCATCCTCAGACCCCTGTGAACAGCATCACACAGGGGAAATGGGGTCAGCAGGGAAATCAGCTGGGACAAAGCAGGAGGGGAACTGGATCAGGACAGCAGCAGCAGCCCCACAGCAGCACAGAGCTCAGCCCCTGATGTGCCCCTGTCCCTGTTCCCACCCACAGCCACACAGGACAGGGAGGGTCCGCACCCTCCAAGTGCAGCACCACAACATGAAAAGCACAAATCAGATCGCTGGGGGTTCATCCTCACACTGGCTCCTGCTGCCCGTGGCTGTGGTTGGGCTCATCCACAAGCCAGCTGTTCCAGCTGTTCACTGCTTCTACTCCACAGCAACAATCTCTGCCAGAATGTGTGGCTGGTGCCTCCTCTGCCTGGTGTCTGCCTCAGGCTCACTCCAGGCTCCAAGGACAGGTGGACATTTGAAGGAACCAAGAGGCTGAGTGGCTCTGAGGCTGGAGATGTGGAATGGACACAGTTTCCTGCCCATCAGAAGGCTTCTAAAACCTTCTTTCCTCTAAAAACCACAGGGATAACAGGCGCTGGGATTCAAAAAACCATCAGTGCAGCCCTGGCATCTGGCAAATCCCATGAAAATCCTCTTGATGTTAGCAAGTTACAATCAATTTCCACTCAGGAAAGATTTCCACAGCTGCCATCTCCTCTCCCACAGCCAGGGCTGAGCTGAGCTGGGGCACCAGGTCCCCTGTGACAAGCGCTTGCAAGGAAAGGCAGAGAAAATGCCTGAAAGAGGGAAAAGAAGAAGGTGCTGAGGCATCCTGGGTACTGCTAACATCCCCTGCAAGTTGCACACAACCTCCAGGGCTGCTTCTTGGGAAATTTGCCTGCTGGGGAGCAAAAATCACTCTAAAAGCTGTATCTGTCACCCATTCCCAGTGAGATGAGCCCTGGGGAGAGGAGCAGCCCGACAAGGACTATTTGCCAAAAGGAAATGATCCCTGGAAGTGTTCAAGGCCAAGCTGGATGGAGCTCTGAGCAACCTGGTCTAATGGAAGGTGTCCCTGCCAATGGGAAAGGGTGGGAACAAGATGGGCTTTAAGGTCCCTTTTAATTGAGGCCATTCTATGGTTCTGTGAGTAAATCTGAGCCTGTAACAGCTCAAAGGAAAGCTAAACAAGGTGAAGTGTCTTCCTGTGTGTCCAGTGCATGCAGCTGTACAGAGATTTGATGGAGGGGATCCCAGTCCCAGCCCTGCCTCTGGGAGCAGCAGATCCATGTTGATACTTGTCGCAGACATCTTTTCATAAAAATCCTTTCTTTGGGATTTTCCCTTCTGGGAAGCTGAGGCCCCAGAAAAAGAATGTAAGCAATGGTTATCTGCTGCTGTGGAATGCAACAGATGCATCTGTGATTGGCCCATCTTGGATGTTTACAATTAATGGCCACTCAAGGACCGAGCTCTCTCTGGGACAGTCAGAGAGAGCTCCTTTGTTATCATTCTTTTCTATTCTTAACTTAGTCAGCCTTCTGAGAACTCTTTCCATTCCTTTTAGTATAGTCATAATGTAATATATACATCATCAAATAACAAATCAAGCCTTCTGATCACGGAATCGACATTCTCGCCTCTCTCTCCACCTGCAAACCCTTGTGAGCACGGTCACGGATACTCACGGAAATACTCCTCAATCTTGTGCACGAGGGGCACGGTCTCCCTCTGCACCACGCTGAAGGCGATGCCGCGGTGCCCGAAGCGCCCGGCCCGCCCGATGCGGTGCAGGTAGGTCTCAAAGTCCGGCTCGCCGTCCTGATCCATGGGCAGCCCAAAGTTCACCACCGTGGTCACCTGCTGCACATCAATGCCTGCAACAGAGGGAGAGGATCCTCTGGGGTTACCTGGTCCCACGGGATCTGCTGCTCAAGCCCGCGGCCTGGTGCGTTTTGGGCCGTCAGAGGGGCGCTGGGTTTGCCAGGGTACCTCTGGCACAGACGTTGGTGGCGATCAGGACCTTCTCCTTGCCCTCGCGGAAGCGCTGGATGACGCTGGCCCGCTGCACCACCGTCAGCTCTGCTGTCAGGATGGCCACTTGGTGCCCGTCCCGGCTCATCTTCCCCGACAGCCAGTCTGCCATCCTCCTGGTCTGCACACACGGGGAGAGGCTGAGGCCAGCAGCTCCTCTCCAGAGTGCCCTGCCCCTTTTCAGGGAGCTCATGGCAGCTTTCAACACTCCCCTGGGGGCTGCTCCTTTGTTTTGGGGGTCTTGTTAAGAGCCCACTGTGCCCACACGGTAAAATGACCCATTCCTGCTATTCCCAATGGGAGAGGGGCCGTGCAGGGCTCTCCCAGGCAGGCCCCTTACCTGGCAGAAGATCATGACCTGACCGATGGTGAAGCTGCCATAGAGGTTGCAGAGGGCCTTGTACTGCTCGTCTGAGCTCTGGCACACCATGAAGTACTGCCTGATGTTGCTCAGGGTGAGCTCCTCCTCCCGCAGCTTGATCACGATGGGGTCGGGGATGATCCGCTCGGCAAAGGCCCGCACGGGCTCCTTGTAAGTGGCTGAGAACAGCAGCACTTGGCAGCTCTTGGGAAGAGCCCTGGGGCAGGGAAAAAGCTCTGTCAGCCCCTTTGTCCCAGGCAAAGGACAGAAACCCTAATTTACACTGATTTTGTGTTGCCTTCAATGGAAAGGGAAGCAAAGATGGAGAGGGACTTTTTACAAGAGTCTATAGTGACAGGAAAAGGGGGGAATGACTTCACACTGAAACAAAACAGGTTTAGATGTTAGGAGGAAGTTCTTCCCTGTGAGGATGGTGAGGCCCTGGCATAGGTTGTTCAGAGCAGCTGTGCTGCCCCTGGATCCCTGGAAGTGTTCCAGGCCAAGCTGGATGGAGCTCTGAGCAACCTGGTCTAATGGAAGGTGTCCCAGTCAATGGGAAAGGGTAGGAACAAGATGGGCTTTAAGGTCCCTTCCAGTTGGGGCCATTCTATGGTTCTGTGAGTCAATCTGAGCCTGTAACAGCTCAAAGGAAAGCTAAACGAGGTGAAGTGTTTTCCTGTGTGTCCAGTGCATGCAGCTGTACAGAAAGACAGACTTGTGGACAAACCTCTTTGGCACCATGGGCACACTCTCACAGCCCTTTGGTGAGACTCCTTTAAAGCTACAGGAAAGAAGGGAAAGCAGGGAACCAGGGCAGCAGCTCTCAGCAATCCTCACCTGTGGATGCGGATGCTCTGACAGGAGAGGCCCTGCGTGTCGATCATGATGTCAGCCTCATCCAGCACGAACAAGGAGATCTTTGTCAGGTCCAGGATGCGTTGTTTGAAGCACCAGTCCAGGGTGGTGCCCGGAGTTCCGATGATGATCTGCTCCTCCAGCACTGTGCCCTTCAGAACTGCAAGGGGACAAAAGAATTTATTTGGCTGCCGCCAGGCACGGAGCTCTCTGCTGCTCTGTGTTTTCCCTTGGCTTGCTCAGACTCTGGCTGCTCAGTGATGCCTTCAAGGGGTCATCACGACACTTCCCTACAGCCCTGGGGCATGGGAACCACCCCCACATGGGAAAAGGGAGTCTGCAAGCAGCCAGTGATGATGGAAAGCCTCCTAAGCAGGAGAGGGGACAGACACATTGTTATTGCCCTTCATGGATGTCTGGGCAGTCCCTGGTAGCTCCAGGCTCTAAGAGAGGATCCCTGTGCCCCCTCCCTGTTTGTGCAGCAGTGCTGGGAGCTGGGCTGGGCTGGGCTCACCTCGGTTTCCCCGGACAGCGTAGTTCACCTTGATGTCCGTGCAGAACTTGCCAATGGCGCGCACCACCTGCCCGATCTGCAGGGCCAGCTCGTAGGTGGGAGCCAGGCACAGGCACTGGCAGGAGAGCAGAGGAAGGAGCTGTCAGGCCCAGGATGGGGCAGAGGAGCTCAGGAGCACCCCACAGCACTGGGGGACAGGGCATGGGGCAGCACAGCATGGCTGGAGGCTCGGGAGCTGGGCTGTGTTCCAGCTTCAGCCAAGGGGGCAGAAAGAAGCAGCTGCTGCTCTTTTTGAGGAGGAAATGCATCTCTCAGAAGCGTGCTGCAGCTTGTTCCTGTGCCCTAGTTCAGTCACACTGTCCACACGTACAAAAGGAGATCTTACATGGCTGGAAACTGTTGGCAAAGCTGGTTCTGCACCCAGAGAGGGCACTGGGAGTATCTGACCACCAGAAACCAGCAGTGTCTGCAGCTGCTCCTCAAAATTCCAGGGTAGCTGAAGCCTGGATTGATCCACTCTGGCAATCCTGAGGTGGGCACCGTGCCTTTGGTCCTACCTGCCACTGGGCCCTGGTGGTTTATCACCCCACTCCAGTGGGTAAAGTCACTCAGGAACTGGGACAAAGCCCAGAGCTCTGCCCCTGGCAGCGTCCTGGGCGCCTGGGCCACCCCCTCCTGCAGCTGCTCTCCCTGTCCTGCGTTACCTGCGGGTATTTCTCGCTGGCAATGGCTCTGCTCAACATGGCCAAGACAAAAGCTGCTGTTTTCCCTGTCCCTGACTGGCTCTGGGCAATCAGATTTTGGGGCCTGCAAGGCAAAAGCAGCTTAGTGCAATGCAGGGGTCGGGTGCTGGGGTGCTGTGAGGAGCCGGGGCTCAGCCACCTCACCCCTTCCTACTCACGGGTAAGCCAGCATGAGGGGCAGGGCCTGCTCCTGGATTTTGGATGGTCTGTTGAAGCCCATCATATAAACCCCCTGCAGGAGCTCCTTCTTCCTGTGGAAACAAAGCACCCAAGTGCCCATGTGAAGGAGGTTGGTGTGCTGGAGCATGGGGGGGCCGGGGGCTGTGGCAACTCACAGGGGCAGCTCCTCAAAGGTCTTGATGGAAAAGAGAGGGGAGCTGGGGTCTCGCTGCAGGATCTCCACGTGCTGCTGGGACTCCACCAGGGACGTGTGGATCAACTTGTTCATCAGTGACAGCTCAGCCAGCGGCACTGGGAAAGGCAGCAACTCCGTAAATAAAACAAACGGAATCACAGAATCATTAGGGTTGGAAGGATTCTCAGGAAATTATCCAGTCCAAACCCCCTCCCAAGGCAGGGTCAAATGGAGGTGACACAGAACGTGTTCCTGTAGGTCTGGAATGTCTCTAAGGAGGGAGAATCCAGGACCTCCCTGGGCAGCCCATCCCAGCTCTCTGCCACTCTCCATGTCAAGAAGTTCTTCCTCATGCTGAGGGGGAACTTCTTTTGTTTTAGTTTACAACAAAGGGCTTGCAGTGAGAATCTTCTTCTCTCCCCAGAGGATATCTTATTGTTCTGAGGGTTCATTAGAAACACTGCAGGCAACATCCATTATTCCAGACTTACTATCACCACACTCATAAATGAGCATCTAAACGCACTGCACTGAGCCCTTCCCTCCTCTCGATTAAACACCCTCTTGATTCAATTACGGCTCAATGCCGCGGGCCGCCGCTCCCTCGGAACCCCGCGGGGTCGCTCCGCGCTCGGCGGGGCTCGGAGCGGGGCGGGCACCGCGATCCCCTCGGGACCCACCTCTCTCCTCGTCCTCCGCCTCGGGCCGGGGCGCGGGCGGCGCGGGGGCCGCGGCGAGCAGGCCGAGCCCGCGGGCCGTGCCCCGGCCGGGCCGCTCGGGCCAGCGCAGCCCGGGGCAGCGGGAGCCGGAGCGGCGCGGGGCCGCCCCGTGCCATGGGCAGCCCGGGCCGGGGCCGCCGCCCGCAGGGCCGAGCCCGCGCAGCCCGCGCTCCGCCCCCGCCATGGAGCCGTCCCACAGTGCCGGGCCGCCGGATGGGGCGGGAACATCCGGCACCGGAGCGGCGGGAGCGGGTACGGCCCGGGCAGCGGGGCCCGCGGTGGGTGGGCGTGCTTGGGGAGCTGGGCACCGGCGCCTCGCAGGGCGGGGAGGGTCCCCTGCAGCACACGGGGACTCTGCACGGTGCCGGCTCTCGTCCCTGTAAGGTCTGGGGGGCTCCTGTGTGGCACAGGCTGCTGGCAAACCCTGCGGAGTTGGGGACCATGGAGGAGGGAGGGTCCCTGTCTCCAGCAGGGTTTGGGGACTGTGGCCCCCTCCCCGTAGGATGCTGTGTCCTGGGACACCAAGAGGGAAGGAGGTGTCCCCAAGGTGATGGAGATGCAGGGATCCCATGGAGTTTTGGGGGGTCCCTGGGGTGTTGGGGAACAGGGACCCCATAGGGCAGTGAGGGTCCCCAGCTGCACAGAGGGATCCTACATGGGGCCAGCACTGGGCCCCATAAGGTTTTGGGTGTCTCTGGGGAATAGAGACTGCCCTATAGTGGGCCTGGTGGGGTCCCTGGGCAGTTGGAGGACAGGGACCCTGTAGAGCAGGAAAGGGCCCCTGCTCTGCCGTCAGGGACCCTTGGATGCTGAAGGAACAGGGAGGCTGTAGGATTGGGGTGCTGTCCCCTATAAGAGTTTAGGGAGGGTATCAAGGGTTCTGGGGCACAAAGACCCCTTCACAGATGGATGAGAATCCACAGGGTGCTGGAGAGTCAGGGACCTCCAAGCTGGAATGTCCCCCAAGATGCCAGAACCCCTTCACTGTGGGGCAACAGCCGGGTCCTCAAGCTTCTTTGTCCCCCATCTGGGATCACCTCCCAGGGAGGTTCAGGGGAGGCTGGACACGGAATTCCAGGCTGCAGCTGTCACATGCTTCCCATCATCCTGCTCCCTTTTCCAACCATCTCACTGAGCTTTCGGGGACCCTTTCCTGCACCAGAACTGCCACCTTTTCAGTCCATTCCCATATCTTGGAAAAAAAATTAACACTAGGAATAGTAATAACACTACTAGTAGTGCTAATAATACCTTGCTTCCATCCTAAAGCTCCTTTATTTTAAAGATGAGGTAAAATAAGGCAAAGGCAGTAGAGTTAGGTGATGCAGAGACAAGTCTGGAATAATGGATGTTGCCTGTAGTGTTTCTAATGAACCGACAGAACAATAAGGAATCTTTGCAAATGCTTTATTGAGAAAGATACTGCCGAGACATTGCAAAGAAAACCTCCTCCACACCAAAACTTAAGCTGCTTGAAGTGCACCGGGGGATTTTCCAGACTAGGGAGGATGTTGAGGAGAAGCAAGCAGCGGGGCTGTGGCTCTAGGAGGTGGTGTTCCGGCGGGGCATGTTGCAGTGGGCCAGGTCGTAGCGCACGCCGAAGCGCAGCGAGTCGCGCTTCTTCGTCGTGGGCACCTCGTACGTGTTGGGCACGAGGCGCTTCTGCGCCTGGCGCGGCAGCCCCGACTGCAGCATCTGCGTCCGCATGGCCCAGCGCAAGCCCTGGTGGGAATCCTGCCCGGGAAAGCGGAACCTTTGCCAGTCCTGCCTGTACGCATTGAGTCTGGCCACCGGGTCAGTTCTCCGCACTCTCTCAGCCTGTGGAGCAATGTAAGCGGGCACCACGGGCGATCGCTCGCGCTCGCGGGGCACAGCGTGCTCAGATACAGTGTTGCTCCCAAAATCCCCCAGGAGAGAGTAGGGCCTGTCCTCAAGGAACCACTCATCATCCTCATAGTGCAGGAAGTCCTCCAAGTTGCCGCTGGTGGTCTCTGTTCCCCCTTCGGAGATGGCGTCATCCATATAAGTCCTGGAATGCCCCAGGTTCCATGGACAGGTGTTTATATCTGACTTGATGCTCGGTGACTCTTCGGAGACCTCCACCCTTCCATCAGGTCTGTGCCTCAGCACCTTCCTCTTCATCACCAACCTCCTCGCTTCCCTCTGATCCATGGGAAGGTCTGACTGTGTGCCAGAAACGATGGATGAGTCAGCATAGGGATCATCCTGGAAACACGATGGCATGTCGCTGTATCCGTGCCAGGAGCTGTGCGGGCTCAGATCAGCTGCCAGCTGCTCCCTGCGCTCTGCTCTTCGCACCTTCTCCATGGTTCCCACCAAACTGGGTGGATTCTGCAGAAAAAGAAACCAGGGTTAATTTACTGCAGTACATTCAGGTTGGCTAAAGATGTCAAAGGGGTTCCGATGCTCAAGTTTTTGGGTTCAGGGGTGTTGATTTAGGTTGGGGGTGTCCTCAGTGCACTGCTAAACCTCCTGCTGCCAGCAGAAGGCTCTTGCCTACAGTAATACAAACACAACCCCTAAATTCCTGCTAGAAAACTACACTAAAATTAATTATATGATAAATTAACTGCTCATGGAAAAACAGAGGGCAGGTTCCATGCACTGGGTGAGAGATTAATGGTCTTGCCTTGTACCTCTGCTTCTAAACCCACAATATTGAGTCATAATTTAATCAAGAGACACCCAAGAGGTTGTTTTACTTCCAGAGGAGGGAAGGGCTCAGTGCAGTGTGTTTAGATGCTCATTTATGAGCCTGGTGATAGTAAACCTCCAGCCCTGTGACAAAAAGGGATCCAGACACATTCCACTCTCAGCACAGGTTTGGGATCTCTTTAAGGCAATTTGAAAAGCCGCAAGTGCGCTGGGAGCGGTGGGAGCAGATGGCGGGGCGGGATGAGTGGCAGCCGTCAGCGCGCTGTCTGCAGCGGGGATGCAGGTGTGAAAACGACAAGGGCTCCGTGACGGCTCGCCGCGAACGTGCTGCTGCTGACGGAGCAGATCCCATCAGCTGGGGGAAGAGGAGTGATTGAAGAGCCCAAAAAAAGAGATTTGAGTGAAATGAAGCTGCCCGAGCTTCACCAGTGGCCCTGCCCTGTCTGTGCTCCCCTGGGAACACCAAGGGGCTCAGACAGTAAAGACTGACTCTGTTGGTAGCAGTTATTTTGCAGGAAAAGCCGAGAGATCTAATAAAAACCACATAAAAATGCAAATCCACCATTTTTTTCTTTCCCTGCAGACCCCAAGGATCCATCAGCAACAAACTGACACTCCAAGGTGGTGGCTATGGCTGAGGAGAGCACGGCTACTGACCACGAGCAGCTCCTGAGGAGGGTGCAGGAGCTGGAAGTGGAGGTGAAGCGGCTGCAGGAGAAGCTCCAGGAGGACAAGGAGGGTGCTGGGAGGAGAGAGGCTCCTCCAGCCTCTGGGAAAGCCAGGAAACGCCAACAACGGCCCTTTGATTTCGCTGCCCACAGCCGCAGACACGTGGCACTGCGCATCGCCTACCTGGGCTGGGGCTACCAGGGCTTTGCCAGCCAGGAGAACACCCCCAACACCATCGAGGAGAAGCTCTTTGAAGCCCTGAAGAAGACACGGCTGGTGGATGATAGACAGACGTCCAACTACCACCGCTGCGGGCGCACGGACAAGGGCGTCAGCGCCTTTGGGCAGGTCAGCAATCCTGAGTGGGGGTTTCAGCATCTCCTCAGTGGGGGTTCCTGTCGGTTTTCCTTGGGGGGATAGACATCTGATGGGACTACTGCTTGGATTTGTTCCTTAAAGCCATCAGCTCTTAACCCTGGAAGTGAACCTGGCAATGGCTTCTTGCATGTGCAATGATGATTTCAGGCCTTTGAAGCCTTTTTAGTGCCATTTCCTCCCCATATTAGTTGTTTTCCAGGGTCCTGTTTTAGGAGGATAAAATGTGTTTTAGGCTGCAGATTCCCCAGTAGCTTGGTGATGCCCTGCCCTCAGCAGGGCCCTCTCAGCTGATTTAACTTGCCAGCCCTACAAAAACCCAGAATCTCTAGGAACCAGCTCACTTCCTGCAGCATCAGGCAGCTAAATTCTTGCACAGAAGGGTCTGAGGGGAGCTGCAGCCAGCGGAAGGGAGCGTGGGAGTGGGAGCTGGAGGGAGGGAAGCAAGCTGGCCTGCTTGGTGGGCATGGAGCCATGAGCCTGGCTGAGACGCTGGGGAGAGAGCAACCTTGGTGGCAACCACAGGGCTGGTTCTCCTTTCTTCCCTCCCAGCACAGAAAGCAAAGCTGGCGTAGGTTTAACTTCAAATGGCTGCTCTGCTCTCCTTCACAGGATGAGCTACATGAAATCAGGGCATTTGGTGCCTTCTCTTGCACCACTTCAGCACACGGCACCCACAGGGCGAATGAACTTGTTCCCACACCAGGCTTCCTGGCCAGCCAGGCTGTTACTGCCTTCAAGTCATCACCTCCAGCTTGAGGAAAAAAAAAAAGCACATTACAACCCCGTGACTAAAGATGAAGCCGTTCCGAGACTGTGCTACGTAGGCAGCCTGCAACTTTCCCATTTTATTAATGGAATCCGTGGCATCTGCTCGGGTCCTCAGAGGCACTCGCAGCTTTGCCATGGCAGGATTGCCTGACTGAAGGCACCTTCATCTGTAGGAGATCCTGGATTTATTTCCCAGAGGTGTGGGAAGACTTGGCTCCACACACCGCTGCGCCCATCCATCCGCGCTCTAATCCTGCCTTTCCTCATTTCTGCAGGTGATCTCCCTGGATCTGCGCTCCAGCCTGCCGGAGGGGCAGCAGCTCAACGGCCACGAGGCTGGGGGGCAGCAGGAGGAGCTCCGCTACACCCACATCCTCAACAGGGTGCTGCCCCCCGACATCCGCGTGCTGGCCTGGGCGCCCGTGGGGCCGGAGTTCAGCGCCCGTTTCAGCTGCCTGAGCCGCACCTACCGCTACTTCTTCCCCTGCGCCCAGCTGGACGTGGCGCTCATGGACAGCGCGGCCCAGCGCTACGTGGGCACCCACGACTTCCGCAACCTCTGCAAGATGGACGTGGCCAACGGGGTGCTCAACTTCCAGAGGACGATCCTCAGCGCCAGAGTGACGTGGGCGGACAGGGGAGGAGAGGCCAGGCCACGGGATCCCTTCCGGCTGTGCCAGTTCGAGGTGACAGGACAGGCGTTCCTGTACCACCAAGTGCGCTGCATGATGGCCGTGCTCTTCCTCATTGGCCAGGGCATGGAGAGCCCGGATGTCATTGATGAGCTGCTGAACGTGGAGAAGAACCCGCGGAAACCACAGTACAGGTAGGGATTGGTCTGGAAAGCACAATGGGCTGCTCTTCAGAGAAAGAGCTGTGCCTGGAGTGCTGCTGGCAAGCCATGCCAGCACATGAAGCAGTCTCATGCATGGAAGCAGACCGCCAGTGGCCTCACTGGAATGTATCCACAAGGATCTCTGTTTTCTTGCTCTTGAGCAAAGTTTTGATAGCTGTACTCCTTGGTATTTGGTGAAAATTAAGTTACTTATTACTCAGAAAGGAAGTTCTCTGAAGTTTAGGGCTGGTTTTGGCAGATCCATTGTTCTTGAGCCTTTTTGTGGTTCCTCCTCCTGTCCTTGTCTCCAGCATGGCGGTTGAGTTCCCCCTGGTCCTGTACGACTGTGAGTTCCCTGACCTGCAGTGGCTCTATGACCCAGAGGTGCAAGGCTTCAACGTGACACACTTGCAGCAGCTCTGGGCCAGCCATGCCGTCAAAACCCAGGTGCTCCGGGACATGTTGGCAGGCCTGGATGCTGCTCCCGTGGCCACCAGAAATGGTAAAGGGAGTCTGGGGGGAATAACTTGGAATGCACGCTGACAGACAGCAGGGTTAGATGGGATATTGGGAAGAAATTCTTGCCTGGGAGGGTGGGCAGGCCCTGGCACAGGTGCCCAGAGCAGCTGTGGGTGCCCCTGGATCCCTGGCAGTGTTGAAAGCCAGGCTGGACAGAGCTTGGAGCAACCTGGGATAGTGGAAGGTGTCCCTGCCCATGGGAGCAAGTGGAACAAGATAAGCTTTAAGGTCCATTCCAACACAACCATTATGGGATTCTGGGAATTACAGAGGATTAACTGCTTTAAAAAAGAAAAAAAAAGAAAAAGAAAGGACGGGATAATTAAATGTTGTTTTTCCATGATGTCACAGGTCCAGAGAGCAGCCTGGTGCCCTGGGGTGAGCTGCAGCCCCCGCTCCACAGCCAGATCAGCGGCTTCGTGGAAGGGGTCCAAGCCCGCACCTACAAGCCCCTGCTGGCCCGGCCGCGGTGCGAGGGGCTGGAGGCGCGGATCGAGCACTTCGTGCGGAGGGGCCGCATCGAGCCGCCCCAGGGCCCGGGGCTGCCGGGGGACGGGGCCGAGGGCAAGCGGGGCAGCAGTGGAGCCCCCGAGCAGCTGCCCAAGAGGATCTGCATGGACACCGAGTGACGGGGCACCTCGGCACAGGGGCAGCAGACGCTTCACCCTTTTTTTAAATTACTATAATTGAAAAAAAAAAAGCTTTTTCAGTGCTATTTTTTATAAATCGCAAGAAAACCAGCGTAGCGGTGTTGTGTTCTGGTTTGGGGGCAGTGGGAGGGGGCTCAGCGCCCCCAGCGCAGTGAGGCAGCGCTGAGGGGACGGCTGAGGCTGTGCGGGCTGGGACCCCCCCACCCCTCTCGCTCCCCGGTACCTCCGGCCCGGCCGCGCCGCTCCCGCTGCTCCGTTGTACCCCGCAACTGCCGCCGCGGTTTAAACACCCCCGCGCGCCGCCATTGGACAGCGCGGCTGTCGCTCAGCAGGCGGCACCTTCCCATTGGGCAGGCGCTCCGCGGTGCTGCTCCCGCGGCGCCGCCATTGGCCGGCAAAGGGACGCGGAGAAGGAGGCAGAAGATGGCGGCGGGCGGCGGCGCGGCGAGGCGCTGTTGGCGGAGCGGCGCGGGGCTGGCCCGGGCAGTGCGTGGAGTCTGCGGGAGCGCACGGGCGACGGCGGCTCTGCGGGCGGAGGAGCTGGCGGAGCGGCTGCGGAAGAGCGAGGAGCAACAGCGAGAGGTGAGCGGAGTGCGGGCCGCTGGGTCCAGCGTGTCCAGACTACAACTCCCGGCATGCACAGCGCGGGCAGGCACGGGGAGCGGGACGCGCGGTGAGTGACCGGGTGCGATGGGTGAAAACTCATCCAGTTCCGCCCCTGCCAGGGGCAGGGACATCTTCCCTATCCCAGGGTGCTCCCAGCTCCTTCCAAACCCGGCCTTGGGCACTCGGGGATGGGGCAGTGCTCTGGGCAACTTGTGTCAGGGCCTCACCACTCTCAAAGGAAAAACTTCTCCCCGGTATCCCCTCTAACTCCGTGTTTTGTCGGTGTGAAGCCATTCCCTCCTACCTGTCACTTCAAGCCCTTGTCCCCAGTCCCTCTCCAGCTCTCCTGGAGTCCCCCTTAGGCACTGGAAGGGGCTCTGAGCTCTCCCTGGAGCTTCTCCAGATAAACACCCCCATCTCTCCCAGGCTGGCTCCAGAGCAGAGGGGCTCCAGCCCTTGCAGCATCTCCGTGGCCTCCTCTGGGCTCCTCCAGCAGCTCCAGCTCCTCCCTGTGCTGGGAGCCCCGAGCTGGGGGCAGCTCTGCAGGTGGGGTCTCACCTGGGGGGCAGAGGGGCAGAATCCCCCCCTGCCCTGCTGCCCAGGCTGGGGATCAGCCCAGCACAGGGGGGTTCTGGGCCAGGGCCTGTCCAGCTCTCCCCCACCTGCACCCCAGGGGCTTCTCCCAGAGCTGCTCTCCATCCCTCCATCCCCAGCCTGGATGATCCTGGGGGTTGCCCTGGCCCAGGTGCAGCACCTGCCCTTGGCCTTGTTGACCCTCATGAGATTCCCCAAGGCCGCTGACTGAGCTTGTCCCGATCCCTCTGGATCCCAGGCTGTCCCTCAGCCATGGAGCAGGAGCTCAGGGAAGGCGAGCACGTTGCTGCAGGTGCCAGTGCAGGTCTGTGTGAGAGCCAAGAGCTGTTTAAACCCCAGCACTGGTGTCTCCTCCTCTCCTCAGATCCCCAAGGACCCGACGCAGCGATGGCTCCGGGAACTCGCTGCAATGAGCCAGCAGCTGCAGCAGGTTCACCCCAACGTCCTGGCCAAGATCCTTAAGCAGAGAACTCTGTACCAGAACGAGGAGATTGTGGTGATAGACAAACCCTACGGGCTCCCTGTGCACGGTGAGGGCGAGTGGGGAATGGAAATGGCTCCGTGGTGCTTATGGTGATCCTCTGTCTCTGCTCTTCCTATGCTGGGGTTTCCTTTCCCAGGGAAGGTTCCAGGGGCTTGGTCACTGTCAGATCTCGGCCTTCCCTGGCATTTTGGGCTGATTTAGGGTGCATGGGGAGCACAAGAGGTGAGACTCCTTGCTGCCCTGGGTCACACAGGCGGCCCCGGCATCAAGAACTGCATCGCTGATGTGCTGCCCATTTTGGCCAAGATGCTGGAGAACATGAGAGCTGAGCCCCTCCACCTCTGCCACCGGCTGGACAAGGAGACCACGGGTGTGATGGTGCTGGCACGGAGCAAGGAGGCAGCAGAGAAGATCCGTCTGCTCTTCAAAACCCGTCAGGTGGAGAAGATCTACTGGTAGGAAAGGCGTGAGTGAAGATGGGGCTGTTAAAGGGTGAGGGGAAAATCCCTGGGCTGTGGGGATTTTGTGGAAGTAGAGGGTGTTGCTTATCTCCCCCTTTCAGCACCATTTTATGGGACTGGGTCGTGGGAGAGGGGCTGAGGGGAGGGTTCCCCTCCTGTGAGAGCCACACCGCACACACCTCTGCTTTCCCTTTCCAGGGCAGTTGTCCTGGGGGATCCGGACCCTGTTGAGGGCGTTGTGGAGATCCCCATTGTGGAGAAGGAGGTGAAGAGCCACCAGTCCCACTACAAGGTGAATCCTGTGTTCCCTCAGCCGCCATTCTGGCCAGGCAGCCCCAGCATCCCCTCCTGTGTCCCCCAACTCCCCTCTCACCACCCTTAGATGACGCTGGCTCCCAGGTTCCGCGTGTGTCCGGAGGATGGCCGGGTGGTGAAGGCGCGCGGGGACCGGCACGCCGAGCGCGCGGTGACGCGGTACCGCCGGCTGGCTGCTGCCTCTGCCTGCTCCCTGCTGCAGCTGCAGCCCATCACCGGTGAGTGGGGCCTGCCCGGGGCTGGATCTGCTCCCTGCCTGTGGGAATCTATAAAATCAGAGGGTTTTGGGAAAGCTGCAAAAGGCAGGCTTCAGAGGCAGCAGAACTATGAACTCCTTCAGCTAAGCAGCAGCTATGAGATAGGTCAGCAGAAAAATTATTTAAACTGTAGAAAAGCAAAGACAAATAGAACAATGGTCTGTGTATTAATGCTTGGCTGGAATAACTCTCTAAGCTACAGAAAAGTTTATCTAGTGAGGTATTAGGAAGGTTGAAGCTTAATAATGGAGCTCTGTGCATTGTATCTTAAAGCAGGTATTGCATTTGAAATAACCAAGCACTGTTTTAACCAAAGGTATGTGTGCTTATAGTGGTTAGACAGAACTACTGTCAAAGTGCTTTTGCTTTGTGTGATTGGTCAAGAAACTTATAAAGTAAGTTGTACCATTAAATTCTTGGTCTGCTGCCTGAGATGTGAGCTGCTGGCATCTTCCCATTGTCATAGCCGTGGAATGAGACTGATGCTGGAAAATAAAACAGCTCAAGGCACGTTCCACAGGAGTCCCATCCCGTTTGTGATTTGTATACAGACCCCTGCTGGCGTCACTGTGCAGTCAGCAGCAGCTCTGGAAGGGAGAGCTTGTCATTAGACAACACTTTGTCCCATTTCTAGGACAAAGCTCTGTTTGCTGGCTGCCAGTGATTTCAGCACAGCTTTGTCCAGCATTGAGGGTGAGGCCTGGCCCAGCTGGATGTCAGCTTTCTCTTCTTCCCCTTTTCTCCTCAGGGGTGAAGCACCAGATCCGGGTTCACCTGGCCTATGGCTTGGGATGCCCCATCCTGGGGGATCACAAATACTCACACTGGAGCAAACTGGCGCCCCAGGTAAGGCAGGTCTTGCACTGGGGAGCAGTTGGAGCTGGATACAGCCCCTTGTGTCCCCCAGCTGCTCGTGGGCTGGGGATTTCAAGTCCCAGCTGGAAAGCTGCAGTTTTGAAGGGAACATTTTCTGTCCTTGCTGCAGAAACTTCCTGAGCTCACCCTGAGGAGGCTGAAGCTGGAGCAGAGCAAGGCTCGGCACCTGCCCCTGCACCTGCACGCCCAGCGCCTCTCCCTGCCCCTGGGCCAGCCCTTGGACTTTGTCTGCAAGCTGCCCCCCTTCTTCCAAAAAACCCTGAGGAAGCTGGAGCTGGACATCCCCAAGGACTGACGAGGCAGGACTGGAATGGTGCCATGTATCTCCGCATCTCCAGCACGTGGCAGCAGCTGTGCCCACCTTGGAGCCGGTGGTGGGGTGAAGCCTGCGGTCTCTGTGCTGGTGCTGATGCTGCTGGATTCGGAGTGGGCCCAGGAAAGCACCTGGACATACTGTGAGGAGCCTCTAGGAGAGACAAACACGGCTGGGTGAAAGTTGGGCTTTGCCTGATTTGTGCTTTGAACTTGTCTCTGGGCAATAAAAGCTTCAATTCCCTTGAGGGAAGGTGGTGTGTGTCTCTGTGCTCTGGCTGGGTGGGACTCAGTCCCTGTGTAGCTTTGAGCAGACCTGGTTGCAGCCCCTCCCAGATTTTGGAGCTGTTGTCTCTCCAGAGTTGTTTGGCTCAGATTTGGAGAGTCCCTTCACTGGAAAATCCATCGAAAGTGCAATTTGGCAGTGGCTGTGGTATTTTTTTGCTGTGTTGAGAGACTGCACAACAGAGAGTGGCTTGGCTGGGCTGGGCTGGGCTGGGCTGAGCAGCTCTGACACTGCCCCTGCTCTGTGCTGCCAGCAGCCTTGGTGTGGATTTCTCAGCACTGTGCTGCTGGGAAACTGTTCTGTAACTGCTCCTTCAGCTACCTATTCCTTATTTTTAGAATCCCTTATTGGAGTCCCCTGCTCTTGGGAGCTTTCCTTGGGGCCAGATTCTTCTCCCTGTGCCCTGAGAGGGAGGCTAGAGGAGGGATTGATGATATGGGGAATTGCAGATGTTCTGCCTCACAATTACCTCATTTGATGTCTCCTGACCTGTCTGAGAAGCTTGGAGCTGTTGTCTGGCCCCTCTGGCTGGTTTGGATGCTGGAAAAGGGGTTTTGTACCCCACAGGGCCACTGTGTATCCGGCTGGGGCTTCTTGCTGTGGGAGGGCCCAGTCCCCTGGCTCCCTGCTGAAAATAGCCGGGGACCCCCATGCCCTGGGGCCACAGCGCCAGAAATGTGCTGGCTGATGAGAGAGGGCGGTAAAACCACGGGGAGCCAGGAGCGGCCGCGGCCGGGCAGGAACGCTGCCCTGCAGGAATGCTGTCAGGGAGCAGAGCTGCCTTCCCCGCTCGCTGCTGCGGTGCTGGGGTGGCTTTTTCTATTTCTGTTCGTGAAAAGGCTTCCCCTGTAATTACGAGGTGATTTAACACCCTGCCTGAGCTGCCGTTCACAGCTGCCGGACACAGCACTCAGGCTCTCGGCAGGGACTCCTCAGCCCGGCAGTCACACCTCGGGCAGCCCTCATCAGTGTCCCTTCGTCACTTCAAGATGTCCCTGTCGCACACGGCTGCCGAGTACATGCTCTCTGATGCTCTGCTCCCGGACCCCAGCAGTTCCCGGGCCAAGGGCTTGCGGCTGGAGCTGCCGAGCGATCGCCTGCTGAAGTTTGTCACCGTGGGGCTGCCCCTCTTCCTCGTCTCGCTGGCTTTCGCCCGGGAGTTCTCTGCTGGTGAGTTGTGGCTTTTCCAATGTGTTCTCCAGGTCGTGGGCAATCCTCGGTGGTGGTTTGGTTGTCGTGGCAAACCCCTTGTGTTCTTGATGGTGTCGTGATCCAAAGCGGAACAGCCTGGAACAGTTTTAGGAGCTGTTCTGCCCCATGGGTGTTTATTGATTGTTTCTAATGGATCATAATTCACTGGGAGAGTGTGGGAACAGCTGTGCTAACTCCAGGAGCAGCACTGAGGCAATGCCCAGTCTCAGCTGCTTGTGCCCAGCACCTTTGGGTGCCATGGGCTGGTTTCCAAGGAGGAGGAAGAGGAGGAGGAGGGTGCCAGCAGCATGGAGAGATGCACTGTGACCTCAGGCTAAATCTGGCCTCGGCCAACATCTAACTGCTCTCCCTGAGGGTTTGGTTTTACTCCAGTTTCTGGCTGGTTAGTTGTTAGTCTGTAATTCCCTACACTGTGTACACACTGCTACACACAAAGGGTTTGTGTTTGGGAAGAAATGGAAAAGTCCTGGCTAGAAACACAGCAGCTCCAAAATGACCATGAAAAAGGCTTTTTTTGATTCAAAGCAATGCCTGAGATGTAATTACCCTCCTGTAAGGCATTTGCTTGTGGCTTTGGAGTGTTCCTCCACCCTCCATGGCTGAGATTTGCTCTCCTCCTCCTTGCCCCAGGCTCCCAGATCAGCTGCTTCTCTCCCACCAACTTCACGGGGAAGCAGTCCGCCTACACCGACACGGCTTGCTGGGACTCCCTCATCCACCATGGCTTCGACGCCGAGGGACGTGCCATCACCAAGTCCCTCTGGGCTCTCAAGGTAGGCTCAAAGTCACCTCTGGGTGCCCCTGCATCCCATCTGGATGTCCACAGCAAGAGCGACTCCACATCCTCCGTGACCCTTCGTGTTCTTTGCCCAGGCCTTCCCCTACTCGCTGCTGGTGGTGGCGGTGCTGATGTACCTGCCCTACCTGCTGTGGCGCTACGCTGCTGCCCCCGCCCTGCACTGCGACCTCCTCTTCATCATCGACGAGCTGGATAAATCCTACAACCGCTCCGTGCGCCTGGTGCAGCACATGAAGAAGGTGCAGCAGGCCAGTGCTGAGCCAGAGCAATTCTGGGAGGAGTACGAGAGGTGAGGCCAGGCCAGGTCACCGTGGCCCGTTGAGTCCCTCCACCCAGGATGGACCTGGGTGAAATGGGGGGTGGCTCTCACTCCCCCTGTGTCCCTCTACCCCCAGGGCCCGCCGGGAGAGGTATTTCCAGTTCCCATTGCTGGAGCGGTACCTGACCTGCAAGCAGCACGCCCACGCCCTGGTGTTCATCTACATCCTGAGGAACCTGCTGCTGCTCCTCTTCTTGGCTGCCACCTGCCTCTACCTGGTCTTTCTCCACCTTAACATCTTCTTCCAGGATGAGTTCAGCTGCTCCATCAAAACGGGGTTGCTCGAGGCAGAGCCGCACATCCCGTCGCTCATCCCTTGCAAGCTGGTCTTCTTCTCCGTGTTCCAGCTCATCAGCCTCTCCGTTGGCAGTGTCTATGTCCTCCTCATCCCCGTGGTCATCTACAACGCCCTGCAGCTCTGCCAGTGGGACAAGGGGCTGCTCTCTGTCTATGAGATGCTGCCTGCCTTCGACCTGCTCAGTCGCAGGATGCTCACCTGCCCCCTCAACGACCTCAACGTCATCCTCCTCTTCCTGCGTGCCAACATCTCCGAGCTGACCTCCTTCAGCCGCCTCAACGCCGTCAGCGCCCTGAGGGAAGCCACTGCCAACAAGGAGGACATCGACACTGTCATTGACTTCATGACGCTGCTGGCTGGGCTGGAGACCACCAAGCCCAAACACCAATCCTGCACCCCCGAGGCCGAAGGCAGCACAGCCCACTCCAATGGTGCAGCCCTAGGTAGGCTTTTTGGGTAGAGACAACTTCTTCCCTCTTCTCTTGGCTCCCACACCATAAGATCCCACCCTCAATATGTGGCTGGACCACCCTCAATCCTTTGCCAAGACCTTGAGGGGTTTGGGGCATAGCTGGGGGTCACTGTGAGGGCTGACAAATCCTGAAAGGGGTTCTGGCATGCAGAGTGTGATGCTACTGCGATCCAAAGTGTGGGCAGGGGTTGCTATAGGAACAGCAAGCCAAGAGATTGCTGCTTAAATCCAAGCTCTGGGCAAACTGCAGGGCTGGGAGGGTCCCTGGTTTTGGCAGCTCATTCTGCTGGGAGTGGGGTTGGGAGTTTCAAATCCTGGGGGGCTGATGCCAAGGATGCCATGCCTGCTCCCTTCTCCCATTCATATGGCACTGGTGGGCACAGTGGTGCTGTGTGTGGAGATGGAGATGGGTTCCAAGATAAAACCACATTCCCAGGACCTGCACTGCTCCCTCTCCCACGTGCTTTGGGTTTTGGGGAGCTGGATGCCTCCTCTGCGGTCTCACAGGGACCCCTGGTGCCCATGGCAAGTGGTTTGGAGGCTGTGGGAGACAGCCCAACCCCACAGGTAGGAGCTGAGAGGCCCGGGCTTCACTCCTGGCCCTGAACAGTCTGAATTATGTTTTAAAAAATCCACAGACTGAGCTGGATTCTGCATCCTCGTTACTATGGCAACCCAGGGCCAGCACAGCTGGCTCCTGGGCCAGTTACTCGGTGCTGGAAAAAGCCCAGATCCCAGATTGCCATTGCCCAGCTAATTAACTGCCTGCTCTCCCCCCCTTATCTAGAACCAAAGCCTGGAGTGGAAAGGATGGGAAAAGCCTCACGGGACTCACTCGGCTCTGCCTGACCCAGGAGGAGGCAGCAGGAGGGATCCTGTCATCCCAGGATCCACTTTTCTGACACAGCTCTGCTGCAGCAGCCAGGCTGAACCCACCTGTGCTTCCTGCACCTGGCCTTCCCCTTCTTTTGTACATTTGTCCAGCCAAAAAGGGTTAAATAATCAATATTTTGTGCAGAACCTCTTGGGTCTCTTATTCTAAGTGCTGGGTGCCACGCTGTGCCTCTTCCACACAAATTTCCCTGCTCTTTTGGCAAGAAGTGGGGCATGGAGGATTAGAAATGCTCATCTGAAGGAAAAAAAAAGATCTAGGAATAAAATGAGAGATCCAGGAATAAAATGAGTTGGTTTATTAACTTTTTATTGAGAGGGAGGTGGAAGGCACTCGCAGCCCTCCACAGCTCCCTGTCCCAGCCGTGTTTGGCCGTGTTTTTTTGGCAGAGCTCCTCTCTCCCCCCCTCCACCCTGCAGCTGGAAGCTGATCCCTGGATCCTGTGAGCACCCTACTCTGGATCAGCAGTCCATGCCCAGAGAAATGGGGTGTCTGGGGGGCCAGGACCAGCTCCATGGGCAAGGGAGCAGCAGTGAGGGGTTCAGCTCCCATTGGTGTGACCTGCTGCTTTGCCTTACATAATTTTTCCTATATTTAATTGTAAATTGGCTTTTCCCCCTTCCCCCCCACCCTGCAGCCTTGGCTTGAGTCCACAGAGGAGCTGAAAACTTGTTTAATTAATAAGGGAGTAATGAAGTCTCTGATTCCATGGCTTGGGAAGGGACAGTGCCAGCAGCCATGAGTGCTTTGCCAGAGCTCTGAGCTCACTCATCTCCCTAATTTAGGGGGAACCCAGAGCTGGGGAGCAGCAGCAGCTCCCTCCCTTCAGCAGTGCTCCCTGCAGGGAGGGTGTCCAGCAGGAAGGAGGGTGCAGGCAGCCCCTGGGAGTTGTAGAGGGGACAGGCCAGGTACTCACAGGGCCACTCAGCCCAGGCATAGCGCAGCCCCAGCACCAGAGTCCTGCAGCCACTCAGGGCCAGCGTCACCGTGTGGGACCTTACTGCCACCACGGGTGCCAGCAGCCACTGGCACGGGGAGGCCAGGCTGGAGCAGCACACCTGGGGAGCAGAGAAACCCCATCAGTGCTGCTTTCCCTTCTGCAGCTCTTTGGAGAGGATATCCCACTCCTCACCTCAAATGCCTGTGCGTCCCTCTGGCGCCAGATGAGCTCCTGGCTGTAGGTGACATTCAGCAGCCCCCTGGTCACCTCCAGGACAGCTCGGGTGGGAAATGGTCCCTGGAACACGAGGCCCTTGTCCCCATAGGCCACAGCCAAGGCACCCAGCAGCAGTCGGTGAGCCACGCTCTGCTTGTCCCGGGGGTGGACACTGCCCAGGAAGAGGGGAAAGATGGAGCTGGAACCCAAAACCTCCATCCCTACACCCTCACCCCAGCCCAGGACTCACCTGCCATAGGGAGAGTGCTCATCCCCCAGATCCATGGCCACAGCCATGAAAGTGCTGGGCATCCTGGCGTTGGGAACAACCCCCAGGTCGGCTGTCTGGTGCCAGCGGAGCCGGGCAAAGCTGTCATCTGCACTCTCACGGCGGTAGGTGGACAGCTGTGAGGCACAGGGGACATGGGGGAGTGGCTCAGATCCCAAAAGTGGCCACTGTGGTCCCTGCCTGCGATTTTCAGCACTTGGCAGGATGCATATGTGCTTACAGCATCCTCTCCCTGGGCATCCCCCAAGGACAAGGGGAGATGTCAACCCTCTCACCCCCCACACCTGCACAAAGCCAAAGGGGAGACGTGGCTCCGTCTGTCCGGCTGATCCGGTGTGGAACGCCCAGCGCCAGTCAGCAATGAGTGCAGGGAAGGTGCAGTTGTACTGGTCTGTGTTCAGCAGGGTATTCTCCTCACCTGTCCCCCAGAAAGAAGGGCTGGTGAGAGCTTGGTGGGACACTGGGGGCTGCTCCATCCCAGGGGACAGAAATGGGGGCTCACCCTGGTACCAAGCGACGCCCCGCAGGGTCATGTTGAGCAGCGGGTGGATCATGGCATTCCAGAGCACCGAGGGCGTTTTTGGGCCAGAGAGATGCTGATGTGGGGAGGTGCTGGAAGACAAAGCTAGGTTTAAGGAGGGCACAAAGCCCAAAGCAGCCTTTAGGTTAAAGCAAGCACCACGGCAAAGGGAGATCTGGGGTCCCTCTCTTCTCCCTTTATCCACCCAGATGTGCTTATGCTCTTGGCACGGGAGGGGTTTTTATCCAGAGGGGTATAATGATGCATAGAGGGGGCTGTGAGGCTCTGGGAGAAGTGAGGTGGGAAGGGATGAGGATGCTCCCCAAAAGCGTGGTACAGAGCAGGAGGCGTTTCCACAGCACCTTCTCTCACCTCCCTGTGTCCTCTGGGAGCCCACATGCCTGCAGAACCCGGCGGGAGGACCAGGCCTCGACGGGGGTCCCTCCCCAGGCCACCTCCACCAGCCCGATGGGGGTCCCCAGAGCCTCATACAGGGAGCGCCCCAAGAGCCAGCACACGGCCGAGAAGTAGGTGAAATTCCCGTGGCCCAGGTTTTCTGCTCAAGAAACAGCAGGCTGCAAAGGGAAACAGCGGGAAAAAACCCATTTCCAAGCTCTCTTCTGGAGGCACATTGCACTCACCAGCTGTTGGGATGGACCATGGCAAATCAATCTGCTCCAGGTCCTCCAGCTCCACGCCGGAGCGGGCAGGCGCCGCAGCAAAGACACGGACGTAGGGATAGCGAGCGGCGGCAGCGAGCTCCTGGCTGGCATTGGCCACCTGAAGAAGGGCCAGGAGCATGCAGGCTGCTTCCCTGCCTCATCCCTACCTGGTCTGCCCGCTCTGTGCTGAGGGGCATTACCTGCAGGACTGTCATTGCCATGTTGCTCTGCCCACTGCAAAGCCACACGTCTCCAAAGTAGATGTCCCGCAGTGTCACGTTCTCCAAGCCCTGCTCAGCTGTCAGTGCATAGGGACCGCCCCGATCCATTGGGTCCAGGACAGCTCTCCAAGTCCCAGAAGGCTCTGGAGGAAGAGGATGGTGCTTATCTTCCACCACCCTTATGAAGGCCTCAAGACCTTCACAAGGATGTTGGATGAGCAGCCATCAACCAGTAGTGAAGGAGAGGCAACACAGGGAAAAGCTTCTCCATCACAGAGACAGGTTGAGGAAATAGATTTCAGAAGCCCTCTGGCATCAGAAGGACCTCTCTCCTGCAGGAATTTAGGGGTTAAAAAAGAAAACCTGGAAAACAAATGTGTGTCAGAGCAGAAGCTGCTGGGAGGAACTGGGATTACAGGAGCAGCTTGGTGTGTGTGACACTGAGATGTCTCCAGCTAATTTTAGAGGCGCCAAATCGAAGCATAAAGATATTCTGCTGGAGCTTAGCATGGATTTTCTGGCTGGATCCTGCAGATCTTCTGGATTGCTGCTCTCCCACAAGACACCCCCAGGCTCTTCATCTTATGGAGGTACCCTTGGGCAGCACTTTTACCCTCCAAAGGTGATGAGCTCCCTCCCAACTCTTCAGGCAGGGATGTAGCTGGGATTTGAGGTGCCCCTGAGCCCTCCCAGCTCCAAGAAGTTTCTGCTTGCACAGGCAACATCCTTTGGGGCTTAGAGATCCCACAGGGCAGAGATCAAAAGAGAACCTGGAAGTGCTCTGGAGGTTCCTCAGACCTGGTTCAGACAGGGAGAGAAGGTAAATTCCCCTTGTCCCCTCCACAGCCTCTCTGCTGGGCTCAGGCTGTGCGGTGCCACCCACTCCAGCAGCAGCTCAGCTCCCTCTGGGCGCCCACGGGAGCCACTGCTGGCAACCACAGTGAGCAAAGGCTGCACTGCTGGGGAGGGGATGGCTGAGCCCCACAGGTCCCCTGGAGAGGGAAAAGCACAATGTCACCAGCACCTTGCAGCCCCAGGGCAGCAGTGTGACAAACACAGGGGTGGTGCCAAACCCTGTCTCACCCACCCCACCATTGGCTCTGAGCTGGGCTCAGAGCAGTTCTTTGGCCACCAAAACCATCGATTTCTAGTGAAAGTCTGGGACTGACCTTTAACCTGAGCTGTTTTCTCCATGATGACGAGGCCACTGGCACCTGAGAGAATCAGGGTCACCATGGCCCCGAGCTCCCCGTGGCCCCACACCACGGCCCCCGAGGGCTTCTGCTGCAGCACCATGTGGTCACCATAGTAGGAGGCAAAGCTGAGCATCCCCCCTGGAACCAGCAAACAATGCAAACATCAGCTCTGAGAGAAAAACACCCTGACCCCCTCTTAAATACTGATTATTTGAGATCCCACCTAATTTACAGATTCCTGGTCAGCTTTAAGGTGGTTAAAACCACCACAGAGCTGAGGGGGATGCAGAATTTAAATTCCACAAGAGGGAATTCACCTCCTAAAATATAGAGAGCATGTTGCATCTTGTATTACATGGATTTGGGTACAGATTTTGGTAAAAATTCCTCTAATAGCAGCATGGGAGTGTCTCTCCCAGCCCAGCCTTGCTAATGAATGTTATGATGTATTTTTCCCTTGAAAAAGGTTTGTCAAAAGTGGGATGGAAAACATTGGGTGTGCAGCATTGGCAAAGGCACCTTCAGTGGAGATGGAAGGAGAAGGCTCAGCCCTGGCACCCCCAAAAGCCCCATTTTTGCAGTGTGAAAAGAAAATCATATTTGAAAAGGGGGTCAGAAGGAATGTGTGAGGGGTGATCTGGGCAGAGAACCCCAGTGACCAAAGCAGAGCTCATGGAGCCTCATCTGCTCTGCAGCTCATCCTAGGCTGGGTTTTTGGGAAGGGAAGGGAAAGGGAAAGGGAAAGGGAAGGAAAGGAAAGGAACGATGTTCTTGGCCCTTCAGGAGTCAGCTGCATCTCTGGTCCCGCTGCCTCATGCCACAAGGCTCCGGGAGTTATATAAAAAACAAGTCGGAGGAGAAAAAAAAGCCTAAAACTGAGACGCCAGGGAAGAGTGGAAGCTATAAAAAGCAGCTGGGAGGAGGGAAGGGAAGAAGAAGGGAGGAGGGAAGGGAGGAGAGCCCACGAGACACCACCAAGGAGCCGCATGCGGCTCCCACCTTACGTAAAGCATCGTCCCACGGCAGCAGAGCTGGGCCAAGGGCGTTGGGGAGGGGCTGGGGGTGTGAAGGGCATCAAAGTGGGACTCGGGGGATGCAAAGGGCATTGAACTGAGATTGGGGGGATGCCACGCTTGTCAAAGTGGGACTCAGGGTGTGCAGAGGGCGTCAAACCGCGGCTCTGGGGGTGAAGAGGGCATAGAAGCAGAGCTTCGGGGTGCGCAGAGTGTGAAAGATGGGTGGGGGGTAATAAAGGCATCAAAACTGGGCTAAAGGGGATGCCAAGGGCTCCAAAGTGGGGCTGGGAAGGCACCAAGGACTCCAAAGTGGGGCTCTGAGTAGTGCCCCCACTCAGAGGGGCACTCTCACAGAGGGGCTGGGGGTTCAAAGGGTATCAAAGCGGGGCTGGGAGGATTTACAGGAGGCGCCAAGAGAGGCACCCGAAAAGGAGTTGGGGAAATGCCAATGCACGTACGAGGAGCGTGCAAAGGGCACCAAATCAGGGCTTGGGAGGGCTTAGGGAATTCCCTTGGCACCGGAGCCGGGCTGCTGCGATGCCAGGGGTTCTGGCGGTGCCAAGTGCCCCGAAATGGGTCTCGGGGGGTCTCAGGGGAGGCTCGCTCCGGGGCCCGGCTGCAGAGGATGCCCGCGGGGCTGGGGGGCCGGAGGGTGACCTTGCCCAGCCCTTTACCTGCGGCCGCCGGAGCCAGAGCCAGCAGCGCCAGCAGCGCCCACGCCGCCATCCTGGGGGCACAGCGGACTGCGAGGGCGCCGGGACCCGCGGTACTCCCCGGTGCTGCCCGGTACGGGCCGGTACCGCCCGGTACCCTCCGGTGCCCCCCGGTACCCCCGGCCCGCCCCGCCCCTCAGGCGGGCCCGGCGCGCGGGGGCGGGGCCTGGGCACGCCCCGCCCATGGGGGGAGCGGTTGCCAAGCGACGGCGTCCGCAGCACGGCCTGAGGTGCAGGCGCTGCCCCGTCCGGCTCTGACGGGAGAAGCCGAGAGCAAAGGCCGGGAGCGCGGGGCCGAGGGTTGCGGAGCTGCGGGGGGAGCCGGGGCACACCCGGGGAGAGGAGCTGGGACACACCGGGGAACGGGAGCCGCGGGCCCCCCGCCCCCGCTCACCCCGCACAGACCGCGCGTGCGCAGAGAGAGAGAGAGAGAGGCGGCGGCGCGCGTGCGCGGCGGGCAGGGAGCGTGTCTCCCCCTAGCGGCGGTTCTGGCCCCCTCAGACGCTGGGCCGCGGGTTCGAGTCCCGGCGGTGCCCGGTGGCACCGGGCGCTGTGGGCTGCGGTGAATCCCGGGCTGCAGAGGGTCCAGGAGAAGCGACCATGTCCATCGCCGCCGCCAACACCAGCATGAGGGTGCCCGCCGGCTTCCGGAACCTGCTGGAGGGACTGGCACGGGAAGTGCTGCGGGAGCAGCCCACCGACGTGGTGGCCTTTGCAGCGCAATACTTCCAAAAGCTGCTGGAGAGCAGAGAGGGTGAGTGGCCTTGCCCAGCAGCCACCCCCACACTGCCATCCCCTGCCCCACGCTGCATTGCCCGCCCAGCCTGCCCCATCTGCCCATCGCCAGGGCGTCAGGCCTGCCCCACATGTCCCTTGCCCAGGGTGTCAGTCCTGCCCCCCGTGCCCACCACCTACAGCATCAGGGCTCTCCTGTGTGCCCAAACTTGCCCTTGTGCCCATCGCCCATGGCTTTGTGTCTGTCCCAAATGTCCACCACCATTGGCCATCAGGCCTCTCCCGTGTTCCCAAACCTGCCCATGGCCTTGTGCCTGTCCCAGATGTCCACCACCATTGGCCATCAGGCCTTCCATTTGTGCCATCGCCCAGGATGTTGTGCCTGTCCCATATGCCCATCACTCGTGGTACCAGGTGCCCACTGCATGTGGCATCAAGCCCTCTCCTTCCCCAGCTGGTGGCATTGACCCGGTGGCGTGGGGAGCCATGCTGGAGGACGACCGTCTCACCTGGCCTCCTTCCGAGGTAGGCTGCCCTCCATTCAGGTGCCAAGAACCACACTGGGTCCCTGCTCCCCCGCTGTCCCTGCCCCCCTTGTGCCACATCATCTAAATTTTCTTCTTTCCTCCAGGACCTGAAAGAGGCCAAGGACACGGAGGGGTAGCAGGCAGCACTGGCAGGGGCAGGCAGCAGGCACAGCTCTGGATCACTGTGATTCCACCCCAAAACGAGTGGAGAGGAGCCAAAGGGGAGCATGTCCCCGTAACCCTCATGAACTGGGACACCTCTCTGGAGATGCAACCGCAGCACTTGCCCCAACTCCCCCATTTCCCACTGTCCAACCCCAAAACTAAAAAAAGCCCCTTGGTCCTCCCCTGGCTCCTGCCCTTTTCCCGTGGGTGGGTGCTCCACTCCCATCCTGCCCCTGCGGTGCTGTTTTAATGAGGAATTTTATTAACGAGGTCCCCGCTGTTATTAATGTCGATCACTTGAGATTTCTCCCCGAAAAATCCTGGGTTTGGGGCTGAGCTGAGTACGGGATGATATTTTTAGCCTCTATATTTAGGCCCCTGCATCCCTGGAGGATGGAAGAAACTTCATAACATCCCAGCGTGAAGGAATGATGTGACATTGCTCCTCCATAAGCTGAGATACCTCCATGGAATTCTGGGGGGCACACAAGAGGCCCCCAGTCCTATTTCCACTTGTGAAATTCATATTTTCCAATACAGCGCGGTTTCAAAATCCCCCCCAAAAAGTGGGGTTTGCGTCGAAGCCGGCTGCTCTATTTTTGGAGAGGACTGAACCCCCCCATCCATGCTCACCCCGTTTTTACCCCCTCTTTCCTGTTTTCCATCGCCATATGTGGCGCTCGCCCACGGCACGGGGCATGACAGCGGCTCCCCCGGGAAAAACAGGAAGGAGGGATGGGGAAAAAAAGCTGGCGGGGACCCCGTGCCGGGGCTGATGCCAACCAGCTACGCCTTGACCCCCCCTCCAGCACCGCCCCGCCGGCTGCCGGCTCCTGCTTCGCCCAGGGCAGCATTCCAGCATCCAATTCCCTTTGCTTTTAAGGTTTTTTCCCCTGTTTTTAAAGGATTTTTTAACACCTCGGTGCCACCATCTCGAACCACGACGGCGGGATGTTCTCAGCGGGTCTCGCCGGCTGCACTTGTCGTTCTGCCCTTCCAAAATCTGAGTTGTTGCCTTGGAATTCGAATGTTGGAGGTGCTGGAGCACCTGAAAAAGCATCCTTCAGATGAAGGGGTCCAAGGAGGAAAAATGCAGAGCCTGGAACAGGCTCAAACCCGCCATTAATGATTAGAAATGTTCTGGCATTTCGCGTCCCTCCTCCGCAGCCGCAGCCTGCGGGAGACGGCGGCGCTCGGCGGCTCTGCCAGGACCCGGCTGCCATGGAGGGAGCAGATTCTGGGGGCTAATTGAGGGACTAATCCTCCTTTTGGGGCTAACTTCTCAGATCCATGACCCCGAATGATTGACTCAGGTCAATCAGCCCAAAAACCCTTCCCACTTAACAAACAGCCGGTCTTCTCTCATTGGAGCAGGCAGTGATGGATCTGGAGGGTCTAAAATCCAGGGAAGGATCTCTTCCCATCAAAAATCCCAGCAGAGCTGCCAAGGCTTCTCCTGGAAGCTGCAGCAGGGTTTTCTGGAGCAGAGCTCTTCCCACCCCCCACCCACCGTGGTGTGCTTGTGGAAAGAAGTGATGGTGGAAAAGCTCTCCAGTGGGAGAGCGGAGTGGCTCACAGGGGATTTGAGGGATGCCTGGAAGCATTTCCCAAGGGGAATTTGGGTGCCTGGCATGTGCTGGGGCAGGGGTGACCCCCATCAACCTCCAAGTGTGGGTGAGGCTGCTGAGGGAGGTGGCAGTGGTGGGATGTGCCTGGGATGGGGTGGGGTGGGATGGGGAGCAGGGTGTCCTGCGAGCTGGGGTGTCGGGGGACAAGAGGTGACACCGCCACGTGCACCCAGCAGGAGTGGCCCTGGAGAAAGAGATGGAAATGGGAGCAAGGATGGTGATATGGCAGGGGACAGGGCCAGGGATGAGGGTGATGATGGGGATGGGGACAGGGAGAGGGATGGGGTTGAAGCTGGGAAGGGGAGCAGGGATTGGCTTTATGAAGAGGATGGGGACGAGAAGTGGGATGGGGATCATGACAGGGATGGTGATAGAGATGGGGACGGGGATGATGGTGGGGATGGAGGAGGCGGTGGAGGTGATGGGGATGAGGTCAGGGATGGGCACAGGGCTGATGGCAGCAGAGGGGACAGTGCCCATTCCAGTGCCAGTGGGACAGGGATGCTAATGGGGATGATGATGGTGAAGATAATGGTGGCAAAGAGGAAGGTCAGAGCCACCAGGCCCCCAGGCAGGATGACCCCCGTGAGCAAACCTGGCCAGGGGGAGGCAGCGGGGCCGGGCTGTGCGGGTGGGCCGGGGTGCTGTGCCCGCCTTGGGGGGGCCAGGCTGTGTTTTGGGGGCTGGCTGGAGCAGCCTCGGCGCGGAGCCCACGGGCGACTTGTGCAGTTGCTTAGCAACTCCCAAACCCGGATTAGAGGCGAGCGAGGCAGGGATGGGGGGGTGTGGGCTGCAGCCCCCCGCATTGCCCTGGGGGTCCCTCCTGTTCCCCAGGGTGCCCCAGCTCGCCCTGCCAGCCCCAGCACCTCGGCGTGGTCTGGGGTGGCAGCAGGGTCTGCAGGGAGCACCGAGGGTGTGAAAGTGGCTGGGACTGCAGGTCTGGTAGGAGAACACCCCAAATGTGAGGGGGGCAGATGCTCCTGTGAGTGGGGAAGGGACCCCCAGACCCCCAAAGTGGATCCCATTCCTCTGCTTGGATGTGCAGCTGGGCACATCAGCCCTGGGGTTCTGTGGGTGCTCGGTGGGACTGTGTGCCCCCATGCCCACCCTTCCTCACCATCTTCATCCTTGCCATCCTCATCCTCACCCTCCTTCAGGACCAAGTCCTAAGTAGGTCAAGAAGGTTTTTTCCCCCCCCATGCAAACCACCCAGGGGGCAAAACCTGCCTCCAGCATCACTGTGGGTCATGTACCTCCCAAAAATGAACCCATCACCCCCATTTGCTATAGCTTTGTCCCCCAAAAAACCCTCCATGCCAAAGGCAGGGCTCATCACATCTTGGCTCGCGTCCTCTGCATGTGATGTTGTATTCCACGAAACTCCAAAGCGAGCTGCCGGCTCCTTTAAGTGTTAGGAGGGAGTTGGAGGCTGCAAAATAAAATTGGAGGAGGGAAAAAAAAAAAAAAATTAAAAAAAAAAAAAGAGAGAAAGGGAGGAAAAAAAAAAATAAGGCACCCCTCCTTCCCCCCCAAAAGCCTGGCAGGGGTGTCGGGCTGATAGGCTCGCCCGGAGGAAAGCGCATTACGTAGGCAAGCGGCTCCGCTCAACTTGCCACCTGCGCCGGGAGAGCTGCCGGGGAAGCGAGATCCTGCCGGAGCCCCTCGCCCGCCGCTGGCCGCCCACCCGCCCTCCGCCATGGACTGCTGCAACGTAGGTGCCCGTGCTTCCTTCCCCGGCCCCGCTCCGCTCCTGCCTTCCATCCCTGCCCACATCCCTGACCCCCCGCGCTGGGGGCTTTGGGGGTTTTGGGGGCTTTGGGGGCTTTGGGGGGGTTTGGGGTGCGGGGGGTGCTGCGCCCACCCAGAGCTCACCCAACTCTGCGGCCCCCCCAGCGCTGCTGCTCCTTCCCCAGCCCCCCGATCCCCACTCCTGCTCACCCCAGTTCGGGCTCCATCCCACGGCCAGCAGCCTGACCCCACAGCCCACGGAGGAAAATCCCCCCCCCCGACCTCGAATCCAGCTTTTATCGAGCTTTTTCTTCCCCCCACCCCACAATTGCTCTACAGGTGGGATCGGGGGTTGCCTATGGAAAAAGGGCTCAATTGGGGTGCACCCCTCTCTCCTCAACCGAGGGTGAGCTCCCCTCCTCCTGCTGAACCAGCCTGGGGAGAAAACCACATCCTTTCTCCCTGACCCCCTGACTTTTCCTGCCCCTTTCCCCCTTTTCCTCCCCCTTTCCCCTTTTTTTTACCCCTTTCCCCATTTTTTCCCCCTTTCCCCACTTTTTCCCCCGTTTTCCTCCTCCTGCTAAGACAGCAGCACAGGGAAAAGCCCCCATCTCTCTTCCTGAGCACCTCCAGAGAGGCAAAGCCCACCCTGGATATAGGATTTTTCCTGCCTGGATGTAGGATTTTTCCTACCTGGATATAGGATTTTTCCTGCCTGGATATAGGATTTCTCCCCTATGTATAGGACTTTTCTCCCTCCTATGTAGGATTTCTCCTTCTGAATATAGGATTTCTCCCCTAGATACAAGTTTTCATCAGCTGCATAGAGGTTTTCACCCCATGGATATGGTGGTTTTCCACTGGATATAGGATTTCTGCTGCGAATATAGGATATGGCCCCCTGTTTATGGGTTTGTGGGTTTTCTTCCCTCAATATAGGATGTCTCCCCTGGATATAGGATTTTTTTCTCCTGAATATATGTTTTTCCTACCTATATACAGGATTTCTCAACTTGGATATAGGTTTCTGCCACCTGTATGTAGGATTTCTTCCCTGAATATAGGATTTCTCCCCTGAATTTAGGATTTCTCCCCTGAATATAGGATTTCTCCCCTGCATATAGGAAATGCCCCCACATATATAGATTTCCTCCACCTGTATATGGTATTTCTCCCCCTGGATATAGGATTTCCTCTCTCCTAATATAGGATTTCTCTCTTGGATATAGGATTTCTCGCCTGGATATAGGATATGCCCCTCCATGTACAGGTTTTCCCCCCTGACTATAGGATTTCCTTCTCCAGATATAGTATTTCTGCCCTGGATATAGGTTTCTCCCACCTGTATATAGGATTTCTCCCCTAGATATAGGTTATTCTCCCCCACCTCTGCATATATAGGATATCTCTCCTGAATATAGGATTTCTTTCCTAGATATAGGATTTCCTTCCCCTGGCTATAGGATTTCTCCCCTGGCTATAGGATTTCCAGCCCTGGCTATAACATTTCCACCCTGGACATATCATTTCCACCTTGGACATATCATTTCCACCTTGGAACTATCCTCACCTTTCACAATGGTAAAACAACCTGAGCAACTTGGTGGAACCATGGCATGCTCCAATGGGATGAACTTCCTCCCCCGTGAATCTACAGCTTCCAAATAAGCCCCCCAAAACTCCTTTAAGTGCCTGTGGGGCAACACAAAGGCGTCACCCCCACAGCTGCTGGCACTGGATCATCCAGTGCCAGCTCATTTCCACCTCATTTCATTTTCCCGTGTTTTTCTTTTTTTTCCCATTGAACTTGGTGCTGAGTCCAGCTGCTCTGGTGGGCTGTGGCAGGAGGGGAATGGGTTACAGTGATTTGTCCTTGGTGGGGCTTTTCCTCCCTTCTGGCATCACTGCTTTCCTAAATTTCCTGATGTTTCCAACCAAAGCCCTGAGGAGGGATGCAGGAGGATGCAACAGGCTATGAGGAAAGGGAAAACTGAGGCACGACCAGCTCATTTTGTGCAGGATGGCCTCCAGCCCTCTGCCAAAAATACCCCCCAGAACCCAACCTCTGCTCCATGGATTTTCCTCTCCCTGCATCATCACCCTGGCTGGACTCTGGCTTCCTGCAGCGTGTGCTCCAGGGTTGCCATTTCCCCAAGACACCCGCAAGCGACCCCAATTTTTAGCAAAACCCCTCATTTTTAGCAAAGGAGCATAATTTTTTAATGAGTAAACCTAATTTTTAGAACAGGGGCTCATTTAAGACCTTCTTGAGCAGATTATTTGGGGAGAGGGCTGAGCTGTTTGAGGTCCCAGCTGTAACCCTGCCATTGGCACCGCCAGGAGGGAGCCTGCACAAAGCTGGACGAGGACATCCTGGACATCCCTTTGGACGATCCCGATGCCAACGCGGCAGCTGCCAAGATCCAGGCTAGTTTCCGTGGCCATATGACCCGCAAGAAGATCAAAGGGGGCGAGATCGATCGGAAAACCAAGGACGCCGAGTGCGCCAACAGCACCCGCGGCGGCGACCTCCGCAACGGCGACTAGGTACCCCCCAAATCCCGCTCTTCCCCCCAAAACTGGGTCATTTCTGCGAGGATGCTGCTCTGAGTGTCCTTTGCTCTGTTGATTTGGGATGGAGCATCCTTCCCTGCAGACATTTGGGATGGAGCATTCTGCTCTGTGCAGATATGGGATGGAGCATCCTTCCCTGCAGACATTTGGGATGGAGCATCCTTCCCTGTGCAGATATGGGATGGAGCATTCTGCTCTGTGCAGATTTGGGATGGAGCATCCTTCCCTGTGCAGATTTGGGATGGAGCATTCTGCTCTGCACAGATATGGGATGGAGCATCCTTCCCTGCTCAGATTTGGGATGGAGCATCCTTCCCTGTGCAGATATGGGATGGAGCATCCTTCACTGTGCATATTTGGGATGGAGCATCCTTCCCTGTGCAGATTTGGGATGGAGCAACCTTCCCCACGCTGATTTGGGATGGAGCATCCTTCCCTGTGCAGATTTGGGATAGAGCATCCTTCCCTGTAGAGATTTGGGATGGAGCATTCTGCTCTGCACAGATTTGGGATGGAGCATCCTTCCCTGTGCAGATTTGGGATGGAGCAACCTTCCCCACACTGGTTCAAGGTGGAGAAGGGTTTTTTCCTCCCAGGAGATGGAAACACACAGGCAGGCAGCCCCTGCCTTGCCCTAAATTTGGGTGCGCGCCGTAGTAGTTGGGAAGGATGGGAAGTAGGATGGGAAGGCGCAGCCCTAGATTTGGATTGAATCTCTCCCTTAGCAACACCACCCCGAGCGCCTCGCCTCAGCACATGCTATTTTTAAAAGCCTGTGTCACAGTCTCCTGGCAGGAAAAGGTAAATTTAAAAAGCGCCCACGGTGCCGAGGCCGCGTGGCATTGGAGCCCCGGTGGTGGCAGCGCCGTGCCCGGGCCGTGCCCTGCGCTGTGCCGGTGCCGGGAGCGCGGGATGGCCCCGGAGAGCGGCGGGGCCCGCTCGGGGTTAGCGGCGGGGAGGGAGCGCTGCCGGCTCGGCCACGTGAGTGTGGCGGGGCTGGGGGAGATGCAGCTGCGATGGAGCTGGGATGGAGCTGGGGTGCAGCTGGGATGGAACTGGGATGCAGGTGGGATGAGACTGGGGTGCAGCTGGGATGGAACTGGGATGAGACTGGGGAGCAGCTGGGATGAGACTGGAATGCAGCTGGGATGGAACTGGGGTGCAACTGGGAAGGAACTGGGATGGAGCTGGGATGCAGCTGGGATGGGACTGGGATGCAGTGGGCATGAGACTGGGGTGCAGCTGGGATGAGATTGGGATACAGCTTGGATGGAGCTGGGGTGCAGCTGGAAAGGAACTGGGGTGCAGCTGGGATGGAACTGGGATGGAACTGAGGTGCAGCTGGGATGAGACTGGGGTGTAGCTGGGATGGAACTGGGATGCAGTGGGGATGGATAGGAGTGCAATGGGGATTCAGTGCAGATGCAGTGGGGATGGACTGAAGATGCAGCGGGAATGCAGTGGGGAGGAAGAGGAGGATGCAGTGAGGATGCAGTGGAGATTCAATAAGGCTGCAGTGGGAAGGAACTGGGGATGCAGTGGGGATGGAAGTGGAGCTCAGCTGGGACACAGTGGGGATGAACTGAGGGTAGAGTGGGAACAGAACTGAGATGTGATGGGGGAGCAATGGGGATGCAGTGGGAATGCACTGGCGAGTCAGTGAAAATGCAGTGAGCATGCACTGAGGATGGAGAGGGAATTCAGTGGGGCTGGGATGAGAATGAACTGAGGATGCAGTGGGGGTTTTGTGAAAATCCAGTGGGGACAGTGTGGAAACACAGTGAGGCTGCAGTGGGGCTCCAAAGGGGATGCAGTGAAGATGTGAGGGGATGAACTGGGGATGCAGTGGGGATTCAATGGGACTGCAGTGAGGGTTGAGCAGGGATGCACTGGGGCTGCACTGGAGCTGCAGTGAGGATGTCAGAGGGCTGCAGTGAGGAGGCAGCTGCCAAGTGTAGTTGCTGTGCAGCTTCCTAGGGCCCAGAGGTTCCTTTGGGGTGTCTTATTAGGGGGGCTGAGCAGGTTGGCAGCAGGGCAGCCGGGTTCCCCTCCTCCTGTCACGGTGCTCTGCCTAGGGGGTGCATGCAGGGGTCCCCCCCCAGGTTCCTGGGCTGGGTGAGGGCAGTGTGGGCAGCAGTGGAGGCAGGACAAGGGTGCAGGCAGGGTGTGGGCGGGCTGCAAGTACAGCACGGGCAGGGTGTGGGCAGGGGGAGGGCACGGAGAGGGGGCAGGCTGCAGGAGCAGCCCGGGAGCAGGGGGCAGGGCGTGGGCAGGGTGCAGTCAGGGCACGGGGTACAAACAAAGCTCAGGGTGCAGGGTACGGGCAGGGTGAAGGCTGCAGGGTGCAGACAGGGCATGGGGAGCAGGCAGGCACAGGGTGCAGAGAGCACTAAAGGGCACAGGGTACAGGCAAGGCTCAGGGTGCAGGGCACAGGGAGGGCACAGGATGAAGGGTACAGGCAGAGTGCAGGGCACAGGGTACAGGCAAGGCTCAGGGTTCAGGGTACAGGCAGGGCAGGGTGCAGGGAGGGCACAGGGTGCAGAGAGCATTAAAGGTGCCGGCAGGGCACAGGGTGAAGGGTACAGGCAGGGTGCAGGGCACAGGGTATAAACAAGGCTCAGGGTGCAGGGTACAGGCAGGGTGAAGGCTGCAGGGTGCAGACAGGGCATGGGGAGCAGAGAGCACTAAAGGTGCCAACAGGGCATGAGGTACAGACAAGACTCAGGGGTACAGACAGGGTGCAGGGCACAGAGAACAAACAAGGCTCAGGGTGCAGGGAGGGCACAGGGTACAGAGAGCACTAAAGGTGCAGGCAGGGCACAGAGCGCAGGGTACAAACAAGGCTCAGGGTGCAGGGTACAGGCAGGGTGGAGGGTGAAGGGTACAGGCAGGCATAGGGTGCAGAGAGCACTAAAGGTGCAGACAGGACATGAGGTACAGACAAGACTCAGGGGTACAGACAGGGTGCAGGGCACAGGATACAGGCAAGGCTCAGGGTTCACAGTACAGGGTACGGGGTACAGACAAGGCTCAGGGTACAGGGCACAGGCAGGGCACAGGGTACAGGCAAGGCTCAGGGTACAGGGTACAGGGTGAAGGGTACAGACAAGGCTCAGGGTACAGGGCACAGGCAGGGCACAGGGTACAGGGTACAGGGTACAGGCAGGCCGTGCCCAGGCTGACCTCTCGCTCTCTCCTTGCTTGCAGGGGCCACCAGCTGCTGACCGGACACCCCTCGCCACCGACCCCCTCCCAGCGCTGCCCGCCGAGGCCCAGGAGCCCCCGCTTCACCCCCTGCCCCCCGCATGCGTCCCCCAGGGTCCCCCCACAGCCAGGCCCCGCCCCTGTCCCTGGCTGTCCCCCCCCACCCCAGACATCCCCCGCCCCAATAAACGCCCCTGCCAGAGCCCCGGCCTGTCCTCGGTGCCTTCTGATGCCACCGGCAGAGCGGGGAGGTCACAGCGGGCAGGGGGAGGGCTGGAGGTGCCAGCAGGGACCTCCCATGTGTGTGTACAACACGCTCCAGGCACGTGTGACATCTCTGCCAGGCTGGGACGCGACATCAGGGTGTGCTGTGACATCACTGTGGGTGGGAGATGACCTGTGAGGTGCTGGCATGAGATGGGTGGTGATGTCACTACTGGACAAGTGACAGCTGCTGTGACACCATGCAGGTGTGTGTGACGTCACTGCTGGGTGTGTGACACTGTACAGGTGTGTGTGACACTGTACAGGTGTGTGTGACGTCACTGCTGGGTGTGTGACACTGTACAGGTGTGTGTGACACCGTACAGGTGTGTGTGATGTCACTGCTGGGTGTGTGACACTGTACAGGTGTGTGTGGCACTGTACAGGTGTGTGTGATGTCACTGCTGGGTGTGTGACATAATACAGGTGTGTGTGACACTGTACAGGTGTGTGTGACGTCACTGCTGGGTGTGTGACACTCTACAGGTGTGTGTGACATGTGTGATGCCATGCAGGTGTGTGTGATGGGTGGAGTGACATCATTCCACTGTGTGTGATGTCACCACCAGGCGTGACTGTGGGTGTGACATCATACAGGCACGTGTCACGTCCCTGCTGTGTGATACTAAGTGTGACATCATGCAGGCACACATGACATCCCTGATGGACATGTGACATGCATGTATGGCATCATCCAGGCCTCAGTCAGGTGCTGTGATGTCACACACTCATTGTGGCATCGCACCCCCTGACACAGGGAGTGACATCACAGTCATTGGGTGTGACGATGTCACCTCAGCCTGAGGAGCTTGGCTGGTGCACTGTGACATCACCCTGCCCCGTGACATCACCCAGAAGGTCGTGGGACATCCCTCCCTGCCTCGAAATCCGCACAAACTCACCCAAAGCGCCGGTGCTGGGCAGCGCAGCAGCTTTTAATCAGAAAACCCCTAAAAAAAGTGTGTGTGTGTGTCCCCATCACCTCCCTCCCCCCACCCCTACTTTCTTTTGTGAAAAAAATCCCTCATTTCACCTGATATATAGATATAGAAAAAAAAAAAACCATAAAAGGGGACCCCCCTGAGGCAGGGCTGGGGCTGGTTTGGGGGGTGATATTTATGGGGTCCCTCCAAATGCAGAGAGCCCCTGCACCCATTAAACACACCCACGATGAGTCCAGCTGCTCGAGGCATCTGTTAAAAAGAAAAGGAAACCCCAAAAAGGGACCAAAACCACCCCAGGAATCGGGGAGTGGGATGGGCTGGCTGTGGGCACCCCGTTTTTGGGGTGCTCACACCAAGGAGCCCGCTCGGCTCTGCGCTGGCACCATGACTGGCACGGCTCCGGCCCGTGCCAGGCTGGAGGGGGGCAGCGCGCCCGCGGCGGCAGTGGGGGGCTCCGGGCGGCGCCGGGGGGTCCCGTTGGCGGCGGGGGGGGACAGGCTGGGGGGCCGTGCCCCTGCCCGGGGCGGGGGGCCCCGGTAGCTGCCGGTGCTGGTGAGGATGGAGGCGGTGTCGGACGGGGCTCTGGCTCCGTAGCCTTGCCGCGTGCCCGCGATGGAGGACAGCGTGCTGGTTTTGGACAGGGTGTCTGAGGCCGGCCTCCTCGGCCATGAAGGGGTTTTGGGGGCCACGGCGTCTTCCCTGCCAAGAGGGGAGAGTGTCAGAGAGATCAGCCCTGGGAACCCTTCCATCCCTCCATCCCTCCCTCCACAGCGTACTCTCCCTGAGCAGTGAGGGTGAGCAGACATCCTGGACCCCCAAACAGAGGGACAAAAGGGAGAGGGAAAAACAGGTGGAAAATCCCCTTGTTAATTCTGAAACCTCATAACAACTGGCCAGAGGTGGAAACTTTCTTCCTGATTGCTGCCTCTGGAGCATATTGATGACCGGCCAGAGATGAAGAACTCCTCCCCACTATTAACTCTGAGCCTGAGAAATGATGGGCCAGAGGTGGAAACACCCTCCTTGCCCATTAACCCTGAAACCTAATGATTATTTGAACCCCCTCCACAGGAAGAGTTCCTCACTTGATCTCATTGGCTCCCTCCTCCTGGCTGTCACGTTTTTTCCTCCTGTAGCCAACAAACTTCTGGGCAAAGAAGATGATGGTGGCAAGGGCACCCAGGGAGCCCAGCACGGCGCCGGCGATGACTGCTTTGGTGCTTGCTGCCAGAGAGAGACAGAGATTCCCTCATTGCCTTATTCCCATAGGGACCTCATGGGGACTGTGTCCCCTTCCCCAACCCTGTGGACACGTACTCACTTGATTGTACCTCCAGGACAATGCTGCAGTTCTCAGAACCTGCTTCGTTTTCAGCCCTGCAGACGTAGACCCCCGACATTTCCAGGGAGAGGTTGGTCAGCTTGAGGGTGCCCTTGGCCCGGTCTGCAGGTGAGAAATTTGGGTGCTGCCTCACCCAAAGCCACTCCCACACCCTCCACCTCCTCGTGCAGGAAGTGCTCAAGGGGATGAAATCTGAATCTTCTCAGGATGTTCCAGCCCACTCCCCAGCCCCACACTGGTGCCACCTTACCCTGGGCAGGGGGAAAGAAGACCTGCAGGGTGGGCGGCTCGCGCTGCCACTGGTACATGGGCGAGGGCTTCCCCTTCTTGGAGGAGCAGCTCAAGGTGACGTTGGCCCCCACGACGGCGTTGCCGTGCAGCTGGCACGTGGGGGTGGCCGGCGGCACTGTGGGCACAGGTGTTAGTCCTGAGGGACACCATGGGGAGCGCCAAGGGAGCCGGGGGGACTGGGGGAGCCTTACCCAGCACGGTGAGGTTGATGAGGCCGACGTTCTTGTGCATCCTGATGATGTCATCCACCACGTTGACCGTGCACATGTACTGACCCGAGTCTTGCTCGCGGGTGGCGTTGATGAGCAGCGAGATGTTGCGGGTCTCGATGGGATGCAGGAACCCCACGCGGGACTTCAGATCTGTCTCCTCCACCTTCACCACCCCGCCTATGACTGACAGGATCTGCATTGGGGAAATACCACATGCTTTTGCTTCCAGATCGTGCTGCTGGAGAGAAAAGCCCCTCAAAATCCCATAAGCCCCCTCCAGCCTTACCTCTGCTGCAGGCAGCTCCCCACCACAGGCACAAATACCCCTGGCATGGGCACTATGAGCAACTGTTCCATCAGGAGCATCTCCCCATCAGGAGCACTCCAAGTGGTGCCCCATTGTGGACATTTCCCATTGTAGGCACCATGGGCATTTCCCAAGGACATCTCCCCACCAGGGGTATCTCGCACCTTCCTATTGCAGGCACCCCGGGCATGATCCCAGTGTGGGCATCTCCCCTCATGGGCACAATGAGCACTTCCCCACCACAGGCACCTCCTGATCATGAGGACCACAGTCATCTCCCCAGTGTAAGCATTTCCCACCATGGACACCACAACACCTGCCTGTACAGGCATCTCCCCATCTTGGATGTCTCCCCGTCTTGTGTCTCTCCCTGCTGTGGGCACCACAACATCTCCCTACTGCAGGCACTGTGGGCATGACCTCATTGTGGGCATCTACACATCACCATGAGCACCCTCCATCAAGGGTACCCCCATGGTGGGCACCATGAGATCCCCCCATGGTGGACACCACCCCCTCACGGGCACTACAAGCAGCTCCCCATGGGTATGGGGATGGCACCATGGCTATGTCCCCATGGTGAGCACCATGAGCATGTCCCCCGTGGTGGTCATCTCCTCATGGTGGGTGCCATGAACTTCACCCCATCATGGGCCAACTGTCCACCATGGGCACCACAAGCATGGCCCCACTGTGGGAACCCCACACATCTCCCCATGGGCACATCCCCACCATGAGCATCTCCCCTTTGTGGGCATCTCCCCATCATGGGCACCACGTCCTTCCCATGGACACTTATCCACTGTGGGCCACCATGAGGATCCCCCTTCATGGGCATTTACCCATTGTGGGCATTTCCCTGCACGGGCACCATGAGCACCATCCCATTGTGAGCATCAATGGTGGGCACCATGAGCTTCCTTCCAGCATAGCCACCTCATCATCATGGGCTTCCTTCCATCATGGCCACCTCATCATCATGGGCATCCTTCCACCATGGGCACTGTGCCCACTACCCCATGGTGGGCACCATAATCTTCCCCCCATCATGGGCACCACCAGCAGCCCCTCCATGGTCCCTGACCAGCTTGGTCCCCTCCATCTCCAGTCCTGCAGCCCCTGCCCTCTCCTCACCTGGAAGGGAGCAGGTTTCTTGTTCAGCATCCAGGTGATGTAGGGCTCTTGGTGGGAGTGGCTGGAGTACCAGACAGGCAGCACTGCCTGCTGCCCCTCCACAGAGAACACCAGGCTCGTCCCCACGTGCACCTCCAGCACGGCCAAGGAGACACCTGCCCATGGGAGAGGGAAGAAATGGGAAATGACTCAACCCCAGGTGCTACTTCTCCACAAAACCTCACTGTGAGAAAAACCCCCATTCCCAAGACAAAAACAACAATCCCAGGTTATCACCAGGAAGCTGAGCCAAGAGAACATTCTGCCTCCTTCCCTGCCACAGGAAGGGCTTTCCGCCTGCTCCGGAGGACGCGGGACGTTGCTGCTCCCTCCCACCCCAGCTTCCGCCCCACACTCAGCTTGGGAATTCCTAAGGCACAAGTCACCCTTCCCAGGAAACAGCCAAATCCAGCAGGCAGACACCCCCTTAGCTCAGTACTGGGGTACTCCCAGCCTCCCGTGATGCTGCACCAGATCCCATGGGATTTATTTGTAGGGCTCTCCCATGTGCGCCCCACAAGCCTTTCCCAGCATCCCATTTTTGCTGCCAGCACTGAACTGGGATAATCCATCAGTGGCTTCCTCTGGTACCCCATCTCATTTGACCCCAAATATCCCATCCCAGCCCCCTGTGTCCCCTGCATCCCAGCATCCCCCAAGCCCCACTGGGAGGGGTTGATGGGGTAAGGGTGGTACCACGGACCAGAGAGGGATGCTCAGCTCCTGGGGGAAGATCATTCCCCAGCTTTGCCCCTAAGGCTCGGCCAGAAAATTAATCAGCCCAGGCCAGGCTGAGTTTGTGCTGGGGCTGGTTTGTTTTTCCCAGGGGAACATCAGCAGGCCCTGCATGCCAGCAGCTCCATCCCTGCATCCATCCAGCATCGATCCGTGACCCTGGCTGGCCCTGCCCTGCCAGCGCCCCAGGGATGCCTCACATCGGGATGCAGGGGGAAAGGATGGTGCTGCCCCCTCATCCCAAACCCTCAGTTTGGGGGGAAAAGGAAGGATTTCGGGAGCTTTCAATAACCTCACACTTTTCCCTAAGAGCTCAGAGGTTTTAATTGGATTTTTCCAGGGTGGGAAGAGGGAAACAAGGAGCTGGGGGGTATTTTTAGCCTCCTCCCGCATCCGTTCATCCCCCTCCTGGCAAGGCATGGGTGCCATTTCCGGACGGAGCCTTCCAGCTCCAGGCAGGAAACTCTGCTCCGGCTGATAAGTCTTCTCAGGAATTAAAAAAAAAAATAATTACATTTCCTTTCTCTGGTGAAAAACTGGGAGAAATAAGGCCCAGTCTGGTGAGGATGCGTAAAAATAGCTCACCCAGGCTAAGAACATAAACCTTTAAATCCTGGAGGGGTTGGGGGGGGGAGATGCTGGAGGCGCCTGCAGGTCCCAAATCATTGATAATATTATTTATTCATTATATAAAGCTGTGGTATCAGATCCAATAGAGAGTATGGAAAAATAATGGTAATTATAGTGTATTTATATGTAATTATACAGAT